TAGTATGACGTACCGAGGGCATTGAGCCCAAAGGTCATATCATATATGTCTTGCTCGAATTCCGTAATTCAAGGATTGGTGTAAGGGGCGAATCGTCCGCCACGACCACTGCCACGACTACCCCAACCGCGACTTGCTCCACGGCCGCCACAAGCACTAGTTGCCGAGGCAATCGGGCGAGGGGCATTGGCTTGGTTGCCGTCAGTGAACCCATGAGCCACATGAGCACGACGGGCTGCAGTGATAGCTTGATCGAGAGTGATAGGGGTGTTGATGTTAGTAGTCTGCAAGACTTTGAAGTTCGTAACGGCTTCAGCGAGATAATGACCGATTACTGTATTCTTGAGAAGACCGGCCTTGAAGTATCGAATCTGATCAATAAGGGGAATGGTGCCTTGATTGTTATCGAGACGATGAGCAGCTTCGAGCTTGTTATTGGTGTCCTGAATCTCCTTGATATATTTTTCGAGAGAGTCACCGAGCTTGAGGCCGGAGAGCTTGAGCTCAATAGTATTACGCAAGTTGCGAGGATAAAAGTGAGCGACAAGAGCCGTTTGAAAAGCTGTCCAACTTGCGGGGGCGCTGGTGGCGTAAGTCGTATTGTACCACTCGAGAGCAGTACCCTTGAGGTAAGTAGTGAGCGTAGGGGCATACTCTGCCATAGTAAAGGGTATGGCGTTGGCAGCTCCAGTACCGTCTGTTCCAGCTGCTACAGCCAGGACAGTGAGAGACTCGAGGAAGTTGCTGTGAGACGTAACAAACTCTTTGATCTTTTTGGCAGCTTTGGCGCCATCGTATTCAACGAGCTTGTTCTTGCGAGCGTGCAGAAGAAGTCTGAAACGTTCGGCTCATTAACCGTCCTGCGTAACAGCAAGCTCTCGAATAGCGAAAGCAGCTGCGACAGCCGCAACAATAGCTTGAGTTTGTTGGTCCATTCTTGCTTGTGAACGTGTGTAAGGGCGACGTCCGGTAGAGGGGCGACGTTGACGAGGAATGTCTTGGTGATGTTAGGGGTAGGTGGTGCTACCATGTAACGTCAGAGGAAACGTAGACGATATTGGGCCCTTCTGAGAGGGCTGAGATCAGTGTATTGTAGTGAAGAAAAAAGTAAGACGCTCTTCGCAGCGGCCGCTCAACTGACAGCTTTATATATGGGTTGCCAGTGGGGCTTGCGTGGCTTCAGTGAGGCTTGGCGCCTTATGTAATGTATCACCGAGAGCTCGGGTTGCCAGCCCGGGTCTCAGATCAAGTAGAAGTAAAGAGATATAATATGAAATACAAGTGAAGATGAGATATCCCCAACAGCTGGACTTTGGGAAAACCCTGTTCGGTGGAGGTTTCTTTGATGTTGATGTTGGCGGCACGGGTGGTGGTCTTGTTCTTGACGGGGCAGGTCTTTGCAATGTGCCCCGCGCCACCGCACTAAAGGCAGAGGTTGTTGGAAATGCGGCGTTGGCATTCCTGAGCGCTCAGAGGGCCGCGGGGACGAGCGGCGTCAATCTGCATAGGCTCGTTGTGGTCGACGGTGGTGGTAGTGGTAAACAAGGTATGGGGAACTGGGAAGGTCTGGCGGCTTCTGTTTCGTTCCAGGCGGCGCTCAAACAGTCGGTTATCACACTGGATAGCCTGCTCCATCACCGCATCAATGGTGGCAGCAGGAGGCATCGTGAGCCTCAGGTCTTTGACGTCTTCTTTGAGGCCACGGCGGAAGGGAGCAATCAGGGCCTGGTCGTTCCAGGAGACATCGCATTGTAGCTGGCGGAACTCAGCGATGTACCCGGTTGCTGCACGGGTTTGGCGAAGGTTCTGGAGCTTGTTTTCAGAGTTGCGGACCCTGTCGCTGTCTCCAAAGACAGATTGCATCTGACTGATAAAACTATCGAAGTCCTGAAGGCTGTGATCTCGGCGTTCGACTAGGGGCGCCATCCAGGCTTGCGCAGTGCCGGTGAGGTAGGTGCCAATCGTTTGGATCTTGATGATGTTGCTGGGGTAGCGGTCAGGCTGGAGAGCAAACATAAACCGAATGTTGTTCAACCACCCACGGAATTTGCTGCGGGTACCATCAAACTTCTCGGGCGAGCTGATTCTTGGCTCCAGAGCAGGGTTGGTGACTTGGGGACGGGTGTACGTATCGGCTTGAACCTGGGCAGCGATGCTCTGGGCAGCTTGTGCGTCGGCTTGGGCTTGCGCTAGGTTGGCCTGCAAGTTGGCGTTTTGGCTTTGCAAGGCAGCGATGGCTTGGCACATATCATTCCATTGCTCGGCGGTGAAAGGTACGGATTCGGATTGGGACATGGCGAAAAGGTTTGGCAGATGCAAGGCTTGACGGGTTCTGAACTTCGCAGTGTTGGAGCAGATCAAACTGTTATGACCTCGACAACTGAGGCGGAAGCGAAGTAGAGAAGACAAGGCGAGAGCGATAGGCGACGGGAGATTGTATTGGCGAAACAAGAGACAAGGACTAGAACAAGAGATGAGAAGAACTGGTGTTGATCTGCTGGGGAGGAAGGGAATGGACGAAGAGAGGCAGGCTATTTATAGATAGACAACCCAGCAGATCAAAGAACAACAACAACAAGAGGGGACTGGGGGGGCGCCAGCTATGCTCCTAAAGCGGCCGTGGCGAGCGTAGAGGGCATTGCTACAGCTGCTGGCTATGGAGAAGTAGTGGGGGGTGTGGAGAGGCCGTGGGGGGATTGGCAAAATGAGAGGAGGGAGGAGGAGTGGCGATATTGCCGGAGGATTGGCGAAATGAGAGGAGAGAGGGGGAGTGGCATTGACGTTGACATTGACACTGACATTGACACTGACATTGACATTGGCGTTTGACATTGGCGGCTGTCAGTGTGCTGTCATGAGGTAAGCTTATGGTATGGGCGCATCGTCCATAACACAACGTGCAGTTCCACAACCTCCTCCACCAATTGAAGAACGCGGACAATCTGAATGGGTTGTGGAGGATATCATCGATGAGCGACGCGCCGTATGAAATCTTCTAGTCAAATGAACCGGTTTATCCTGACCCTACATGGGAACCCAAATCCGCACTTTGATACACGCCTGCCTACAAACGATGGCGTAAAGCTTATCCACAATCTTTGTGGATACGGAGACGAGCAGCATAAAAGCACCAGGCCAGCGTGACGACGCAAGAACCGATCGTCTCATGACATATCACACGCACGACGCCGCCAGAACCGCTCACTATCAATCACACCGCTGACAATAGCAATGTAAACTACATCGCATCACGCGCGGCGATGCAAGAACTCACCTTACACACATTAAACACAACGTCCGCTTAGGCACGCCTTTGCCTCAAACAAACACACATTACACAGTGCGTCAAAACTATAAAATGAACATGAGCTCTCCCTTTCTTCACATATCCCTCGTAGTTCACCTCTTATTTATTCAGTGCCCTCCTCAGGATCTGAGGGAGGTATCGGGGATATCTCACGTTCATTTGTATTTCATATTATACTTCTCTACTTCTACGTGATCAGAGACTCAGGCTGGCCACCCGAGCTCTCGGTGATACATTAGATCAGGCGCCAAGCCTCATTGAAGCCACGCAAGCCACACTGGCAGCCCATATATAAAGCTGTCAGTTGAGCGGTGTGAAAGTGGTCGATTATTCCCGGAGATAGGTCCTAAATCAGGTCGTTCGCAGGCGGAGATGGTCTACTTGTGGCAAGTGCAAGGTAAAAGGTAGAGACCAACTAAATCCCTATTCTCACCACACAAGTAGACACGCTTGGGCGTCCTCTGTATATTGGCAACCCAGGACTGCTAGGCGTAGGTACGCTAGTCAGTTGGGTCAAATGGGCACTTATGGTACAGACTTATGGTCTAGTCTATAGCCGGTAAGATGCTCCCCAGGCAATCTACGCCAGTGTCGTCCTTTTTATAGTGGGGGGGGAAGGGAGTGTGTCCCTATCCTACTACTAATTACGTTGGTCACACGCGCACAAATACTAATCTTCCCTTGAATCTCCCCATCTCCTCGTACGCCGTCGACCTGATCACTTTCACAACGTATTCATCATCAGTTTCAAAGTCTCTGAGTCTCCAGCCTTCGTGTGTTTGGGCTAGATTCGTCTGTTTGGAGCATGTGGACACGTTTTGTGATGACGTTGTATTGTTGACCGTGTTTTGGGTGTGCAGGCTCAACATGCGTAACGAGGAGTTCCAAACGCCTTCCAGTTAGCCTTCTATCCTACGAATGCAAAAACCAACGCTCTCAACGAATGACTTCTATAAGGCAATGGATTCGTATGTTACGGAGTTCAAACGCAACCTGGAGGTTATGCACTCCTGACGATTTGGATAACTTGTGTATTCGTGGCCTTACCCGTGATAAGAACAACTGCAATGTAGACGGGCGTTTACAGGGCTCACAAGGTGATGTCCGCCTATACTGCAGTGGTAACAAAGGATAGACAGACGAGATGATGTGTTCCGTGCTAGTAGAGAGGTACTTGCTTAAAGGAATCCATCATCGCCTATAAAAAATAAGAGATCCGCAAACGGTGTGTCATTAGCTATTGAAGAACACGCTGAGTGTGACTTGGGCGCCATGTTTGTTTTGAAATGCTTTTCTGTCAAACTGACCAGACACATTGAGCAGTTGTCAGTGCACGTTTTTGGCCAGCATTTCTTGGGTGTAATGTGTGTTCCCACGGAGAAGCTGGGGTTGCAGGAAAAAGGAATAGATCAAAGGAAACCTGTGCGTGGGGAACGACTGCGAAGTGTCTGCCCCCAAAAGCTTTCAAAGTGGTGTGGTAGGACATTTATTCAGAAACAAGCATCCCTTTCCTTACACAAAACACATAGAAAACACCAATACCCAGGCGCTCACCCCCAAAAACTATATGTAACCTGCCGACAATCGGGAATCGAACAACCGGCATACCACCGGCATGCATTGCTGGCAACCAGCTCGATACTCATATATACACCTCTCCTCATAATACCGGTGTGACTCCGCACCCCCTCCCCCCATCCCCGACTCCCACCTCCTATTCCGCCCAGGCCAAACAAGCAGCACCCCACGCACCTATCGCCCCCTCCTCGGCGACGAACTGGGCGGCAGGGCGCCGCTCCCTGGGCGCCTCAAAAACACTTCACGATCATCCCCCCGACCTCGGACATGAGCACCAATGGCCAGCTCCATAGTTTCCACACGATCCAGACTGCGGAGCCTACGACGCCGGTTGCGGTTGTTGTCCAGGTGAGGATGCGGAGGCGCCAGGTGTCGGGGGGTTGGGCGGGATGGGGTTGTTTTTGAAGGTGGCGCGGTATGGAGGTGTCGGGTTTTGAGGGGGGTGGTGAGGGCGGGAGTGGGGATGCATCGGTGGCACTGTCCCGTTCCATTTTCCGCTGAAACTGCCTCGTGAACTCGAAATCAAAGTATTCTTGTTCCGCACGCGCCTGTTTACTCGTGATGTAATCCGTCGATCGAGGCGTGTTCGCTCCGCTATTATCGATTTCCGCAGTTGATGTCCGGCTCCTGCTCCCGACGGGCGAAGAGGGAGGTTGTGGTGAATGCTGCGGGGATGGTTTGACGATCTGTACGAGGCAGAGGAGGTGCCGGCTCATATCGCTTGGGTCGGGGGATTCGTTCCCGGGTGCGGGGCACGGACCGACGGTGAAGTGCACCCATGTCGATGGGGGAGGGAATGGTGGGTGGGATATGTGGGGAGAAGGTGATGAGGAATTCTGTGATGAGGTCGAATTTTGTTGTGCGGCGTTCTCGTCCTGTGGTGGCTTCATGTCAGATAGTGACTGCGTCGAAACTGCTGGCCGCAGATCAGGGGACGGTAGGAATGGGCCTGGCGGTAACTCTGTAATGCTCTGCCTTCTCGACAAAGACCGGGGTGGCGGTGGTAGAGGCGGGGTCACTAAGCCTCGCGAACTATCGTGGTTCCAAGGAAAACTGTTATGGCGAGAACGGGTCGAGTCCCGATCTGGCGTCCAGAGATGGCCGAGGCGCGGCTCGGTATTTGAGGACGCGAACACCGATGACATTGTGGGAGTCGTCGACCTGTCCACGTCAGCAGTGACGGAAGTAGTTCGACCGGGTGAAGCGTTTGGAGACGAAGGGTCAGATAACAGCAGCTGCTGCAGCGGATCCATGTCTGACGATATCGTGGAAGTTGAGTGGTGGCGTTGTAATGGTAGGGGCAATGGCGATAATGGCGCCGAAGGTGCGAATGCGGAACAGGAGGCGGACATGGATGCGAACGAGCTCGCCCGGGAATTGACTCTCGCGGTGATGTACGCTTGGATCTCCGCCAGCCGCTCTTCAGTCTCAGGATCCACGTCGTCTTCCTGTTCTTTTTCCGGATCGCTCTCCTCATTTACTACGGTTTCCTGGCTGCCTAGGCTGTTATGATTTGTGCCTGTCTCCTCTGTCGTCGGATTGCTCTTAACCGTTTCGTGGGTCTCTATCTCGAGCCATGTATTCCACGTCCACCTGACCATGAAGACGGCATAACCGAACGGTCTGCACGCGCGGCTGAGACTTCTGCAAAGTTCTGGCACATCTTCTTGGACGATAAAGCGCATGAGGAAACGGTTGAGCAGGAGCTGCGTATCTTGACCCAGGAACGAGGTCATGGGAAACGACTGGATGATCCGCCCAAAACAGTTCAAGCGCAGCACGATTGTTTGAGTTTCCGGCGGTCGCTGGTCAGGTATGCTTCTCGGTATCGAACGGCCCGCATCGTCCGTTGATGCGCCTTCCTCACCCTCGTCTTCCGCAAAACCGGGCGGAATCTCATCTCGTTCGACCTTCACAGCGACGCAGAGGTTCCGAACATGGGTCACATCGTCCATGAACCATAGTACATGGGTGGGGACGGTGTTGGCGTATTCGTTCACGCGATGCCCGCACGCCTGAACATAGAGGCACCCGCTGTTGTCCTCCTCCTTCTCTCCTGCATCGGCCGCGCCGGCAGCAGCCGCCCCTCTCCTCCGCGGCAGGAAGGGCGAGTTTGATATCGGCCGTGGGAGAATTCGGCATAATGTCAGCTTCTGCAGGACACATTGCGGGTTGTTTTGCTTCGCTGTCGCGTTCGTGGAAGCATCCACTATCTGCACAAAGTCGCTCCATTTTTGTCCGACAACCAGAGTCGAAGTGTGCGATGGTCCGTGTGGGTTGGAGTTCAGGAACGCGAAAGCGTCAACGTCGGTAGACGGAGCGAGCAGCAGTCGTAACGCGTGGGTAGAGGCCGATATTATCGTTCCCGTTTCGTAGTCGACAACCACCACCGCGTTCGTTGAGATTGGGCAAGAGGCGAGGGAATGAACACTTGGGTGAGGGCGATGGGTGTGATGGCGTGGTTGGGCCATTGGATGGGAGGTCGTCGCTTCCATCGCGGCTGGCTTTTCTACCTTCCAACCCAACACGGAGCCTCTCCAACCGCTCGACGCCGGTGCTCTTCACACAGCACCAGGGCAAGTCGTGAGAATAACCCGTCCGTTATGGAATGAAATCCTGTACAGAAGTTTGAGTTTCAGAAAGAAATGCAGTCGCATACGCAGCTTGGGAATGCGGATATCGTACGGCTGAAGGTTTGGAAGGCAGGTTGAATACGCGGAGTATGGCCCTCGTCCTTCTTACCCCAAGGGACTCTCCTCGTAGCTGTGTTTTGTTATGCGGGTATAGAGTGCGTACATAAGATACGAGCTTGTGCCGACAGCGTACGAGCCCAAGTTCTGTTTGGGAGCGAGCGAGAGGTTTTTTGTCACGGGGGGGGGGGGGGGGGGGGTTTGCTGAATCCGTTTAATCCGTGTAATCAGACGGGCTGCTGCACTCGGCCTTTGAATTTACTTTAGGCGCGCCATTAGAAGACGTCGGCACGTGGTGGATTCTGGACCATCATTGTTGTTGAGAATTGGCAGCAGGAGAACCTTCCGGGGGAAACGCCTTCCGCGCTGCCCATCCCAAACAGCAACAGCAACAGCAACAGCAACGCATCTCACCTGGTACACCCTCACCACACGGCGCAATGGTGGTCTTGACAGTTCTGAGTAACAAGGAAGAGGTAACGCTACACTGCGTCGTTCGTGGATAGTTGCCGATTCTCACCACTCAGGGGTGTGGTGGGCTGGTCTCTCACGCGCCTGCTTCCGCCAGGAGCTAATCCACAACGAGCTCAAAAAGAATGCGCTGTCGCAATGCTCCCGGCTTGTGCAAGGTTCGTAAAGCAAAGCTCAAACGTTCCCCAGTCCAAGCTCGCTCCTACGTCCGAGCTGAATCTACACCCCCGCCCCGTCCAGAACTCGTTGCCTGCACAAAAGTCCGCACAATAACAGTCTACTGGGCCTGCAAAGACCAAACCGCCGCGCTCAACAAATGCCTGGCGCCATACACCACCGAAAACGAGCGCGACAAGCTACGCGAGAAGCATATCGCGTTGAAGAACGAGTGGATCGCCGCCGGGAAGCCGCTGCAGGAAAAGCCGGGGAGAGGAGCGGGGAAGTAGGGCATCCAGCGGGGGGCGTGATGACTGTTGCGAAAGGGGAAAGATGAGGGAGCTATTGGCCGGACCAGCTTCCGATCGAAACATCACCGACATCGAACCAGGGCGTAGCCGCACGGTAACATATCGCGGAGAACCATAGAACGGCGGAACATCTTACCCAATACCTAGCGGTCGATGGGGGGGAGGGGAGGGGGGGGGGGGGGGGGGGGGGGGGGGAAGGGGGGGACACGCCGGGTACTTCTTTCGAATGGACAGCGAGGCTGGCGCGGATGGGATCGTACCATAGACACCCTCTAGCCTCTCAAATTCCATAGACTCCCTTCTGCGAGAGACGATTGGAGATGATTCCCAGACAGACGGGGCACAAAGCTCCGGAATGCTGATGGAGGATTCTGGGCCAGATAGTAGCCGTCTGGGATTGTCGGGAGGTCGAAAAAGCCGAGTTTTATTCCCGGTATTCCGGTGGCAGCTGTACATGTTTCTATCACATCCGGAAAATTATCGCAATTCATCGTCCCCCTGTCGCTTCAGGCCAGTCCGTACAGTCCTCCCATTGTTGTCTCCTCAGGATGTTCCATCTGGACCCGCATAATGACCTCCCACACGCAAATCCCCAGAAGAACAAAATATCAGATGTTTCGAGATGATAATCATCATATTATGAAATCAGAAACGAAGAAAGAGAGAAATATAGGGGATAGGGGGGGGGGGAGGGGGGGGGGGCGGTACGATGAATGTGCTATTATAATTGTGAATCGGGGTTGTCGTGTATCAAAAGTATAATGTGAGAGAAAAGGTGGGGAGAACCGTATTATGGGGAATGAATCAGAGAGGTGTGTTCGTCCACCAGGTTTGGGTGGGGGCAGCTAACGCGCCCTCAAATCTATATGGTAAGAATAAATATGGGGCGGCAGTGGGGGGTGGCCAAAAGCCGATCGGTCAACGATTGGCGTGTTGAGGGGGCGTGTGCATGCGGCGTGGGGGCTAGACGTCTCAGAGGTCCGTCCACGGTCTGTCCTTGTCGCCAACCACCACGACCACATGGTCCGATTTCGCAGCAGCGTTGTTGCTTTTCACGGTTGCGCACTCGCCCGAACATGGGTACCCACGACACTCGCACATCTCCCCAGCAGACGACGACGTTACAGTCGTATCGCTCGCATCGCTGTCCTCGCGTCTGTGCCGTTGCCGTTTGGTTTTCATCCACGTGCTCTTCTTTGCTAATAACGGTGACGGGACGAGTGACACCGTTGCGGACGTTGCGGGCGATGAGGGGACGGAGGTGTACTGCTTTGCGGGGAAGGGTGATGTGGCGCGGCGTTGGCGGCGAAGGTAGCGGAGCTTGAGGAGGGCGAGGAAGGCGATCAGGGTGAGGGAGATGAGCATGAGAGTTTGGAGAGGGACGATGTCCGTGTTTGCGGGTTCGGTATGAGAGGGGAGGGTGTGGTGTGCGGGGTGATCTGGTGGGGATGGCGAGGTTATTGGTGCGGGCGCGGGGATTTCGGGGACGGTGGATTCGGGTAGTGGGATGTGTTCGGACGCGGGTAGAGCGGGCGCATCGCCGGTCTGTATCTTCTTCTCCGTGCCAAAGATCGGCACCTTCTTCAACCACTTGCCCAACTTGACAAACATCTTTGCGTCGCCTTGGTGCCATGAGCTGGCGCCCAGATGCCTGAACAACGGGGTGTTGACCTTGCCGCTAAGACGATTCCGTTGTCCGCCAAGGACTTTGAGCTCGTCGCGCTCTGGGAAGATGTTGTGCAGCGCGGAGATGTAGGTGCAGCCGGTGCTGAACATCACACTTGCGTATGGCGAGATAAAATACTGGTTGAACAGCTGCAAGTTGTCAATCACGTTGGCGATGAAGCGTGACTTGGCTGGGACCATGATGAAACCGTTGGAGACGCCGATGGGGTGTGCGGCGTTGGCAAGGAATGGGAATCTAAATGGAAGAGAGGATGGTGAGCACATAGTCTTCCAAGGTGCGGATACTGTCCATACGTGTACTCACTTCCTCAAAGGGTCCAACGACCTCCGGCACATCAGGTCCATGTCCAAGTATGTTCCACCATACGTGTACAACACAAGATATCTCAACGAGTCCGCTTTCTGGATGTTGAACCTGTAATTCATCCACGTTTCCCAAAACCACGCATGCTCCTCCTTAATAAACTTCTCCGCTGCCGCGTCATCCCAATACATCCGTTTCCAATGTGGGTGAATGACGCTGCATGCGTTCGCAGCCTGTAACCATTGCTTTGGGGGCTCGGTTTTCATGCCGATGGCGATGTGGTGAAGAATGGGTGGGATAATGAGATCGGACGCCGGTACTGGTGGTCCCCAGTCGAGCGCCTTTTCGGATGCCTGGATGTACGTTTGCGCCGAGGTGCGGGTGAAGGGTAGTTTGTCGAGCTCGATCAGCTGGGATAGTCGTGGCTCGGTTGACGATGCTGGTGGTGGGAGGTCTGTGACTCCTGCTTCCGCCGCTGCTTGCCTTGCAGCGTTCTCCTGCACCTCGACTTCCAGCTCTACCGACTCAGCCTCCTGCTTGAGCTCCTTCACGACCTCCTCAACGTTCTCGCCTGCGACAACCCTCCTCGCAATGGCAAGGTACGCCAAATCGACATCTGGTGGTGGCGGTGCCAGCCCATCCAAATCCCTCGTTAACCCATCGTCGTTTGACCCAATGAAATTGACTGGCTTGAGATTCCACGTTATGAAACAGTTGGCAATGACCCCCATGCAATACAGCCAGTTGCGGTAGACAACGACTAGAGTCGCCGTGGCAGCGAGTACCACGTAGCGCGGCCGTAAACGGCGAATAGATGATATCCGCATGTCTGATCTACCCGCGTTGAGTGTATGGTCTTATATACGCGTTTGTCGTGTCGAAGTTCAAGCAAGTCGGATGTGTCAAGTTTGACGGCGTACAAGGTATACTGTCAAACTCTAGACCTCACGTTGGCAGGGGGTCGACAAGGGAGACGACGAACGGTGTGAGGGACAAGCAGGGGTGGATAGGCTGTCTGCGGAGACGGTATTCGGAGAGCGCGTTGCGTCCTCGCTTTATATCAGTGGAATGGGCCCACCTCAATGATTCCTGTCATAAAGAAAAAAATAGCTATGAGAAAGAGTGCTTTTGCCCAGAAATGGTAGCGGAGTCTGGGCGCCTCGTAGCGCTTGGATCGGGGCCCGGGGCGCTTAGGAAATAGGGAACATCAACAAGCTCAAGCCTGAATGGGATCCTCTCAATGAGGCCAGACCCGTGGGAAAGGCACAATGTCATGGCAAGCACGAGCGTCAGAGCCAAGCGAAAGCTTATGGCTCATAGAGTGCGATCGGAGCTGATCCGAACAGAATAGCGACACCGTACCCCACAGCCGAGTCCACCCCATGTAATTATGGTGCGTATGCTACTCCTTTGGGCGACTTCACTTACCTATTGGCGATATGCCAAGAATCGGAGTTTATTTACCGAGACTTGGTGGTAGAGACGTTCAATTGGCTATGTAGCATAAAGGAAGAGGAGTCAGTGGAGAACTTGGAGAGCGCCAGTGAGCGGCAGGCAGGGCAATGCTGCGACGGGATACTAGGACAGGACAATATAGTACGTACGTCAGCTTGCTCAGCAAATGTTCCCACGTGTGCGGAATTTCTCGACCTCTAGCAACGTTGACGAAGTGGAATTCAATTGGGTGGTGGCGGCCGGGGTTATATGTACCGACTGTGGGCTGGGAGGCGGAGAGCGGAATGGCAACGCTGCCGACTGTTGTGTAGCGGGATAAGGGGGGGGGGGGGGGGGGGGGGGGAAGGGCAGCTTTCCAGGATGTTCCCAAGGAGGAGTGCGAGTGGGGTTGTTGGTTGAGGAGGGGGGGGGGGGGGGGCCTAAGAGCGTAGGGTCATGTCTGCAATAAGAACAATACGTCGCCGAGAACGCTTGGCGTCTGTCCCGTTGCGCAAAATGTGGCAGCGTACAGGACAGAGGAATTGCAGCCGGCGGTGACTGGTAGCGAGCGGCCAGGCCCCCGTCCGCCCGTCATGTCCATTGAGTGAGGGGGCAAAAGTTGGGCCGCAGCGCGCCCAGGCTCCGAGGATTCCACGATTCACACGCCCGCAGCACCCACCATACCATGATGAACAACATGAACTACTACTAACTACTACGGGCTGTGAGAGAAAAAACTTCATGCTCCAGGCTCACAGGATCGCCACCCAATCATTGGATGTTGTTTCCACCTTCATATCTATATAGCCTCTCTTAGTCCCGCTCTAATCAAAATGGACCCTCATCGGCAGACTCATGCATGGCTGATTCAGTGATTCCACCACCCATGCCTTGAAACCCGGGACTGGGAATTCCGTGCCACCATGATGTTGTGGGGAAATTCACGCCGAAACCTCAAAGCCTCTCTCTCTCAAGACTCAATTCGCCGTTCGGAGCCTGGGCGGATCCAAATCGAATGCAAATCCGTCGCGCATCATCATCAAAAGCTGTTTCAGCAGTGAGCACTACTCTTCTATTTGTGGCCGTAGCATTTTTCGATGTGCGCCGCCCGATTGGTGGCCGCTCTGTTCCGTTCTCCCAATTGAGCCCTTAAAACTGAACGTGAAGTCACGTGCGAGGACGAGATCGCAGCCGTATGGACTTTCGTTCCTCGATGGTTAGGGTTAAGGGTATAGGGCTGGGTGTCGATGATCTCACCGCTTTTTGACTGCACCAAAACCACGCATCGTGAAGATCAAAAAAGACATCTTGCACGTCGGCTGCTACATATCTTATATAGCGACAAGAAAGTTGGGGGGCTGGGAGGAGAGTGCAGTAAAAGGGAATATGTTGCTGGCCCCTGTGACAATCCTCGTTCCCTACCTTTCACTCCGAGTGTTGGCGCGGCTGTATATGTACCGGGATACGGAAGGTCTGCACCTCAACTAACGTCATGCCCAGAAAGAAACCAAACAGTGCCAGTCTGAAGGCCGATAGCGGCAACGCCGAGGCGGAAGAAGAACCGGCGATACCCACTCCTTTCTCCGCAACCCCGCTCCCAGCCACATCCGCCGACCATGAACTCCAAATGGATTCCGTAGACAGCCCGGGCTCCATCGAAGCGATCCACCCCCACTTTGACCCAGCGTCTGTAGAAGCAACCCTTCTCGAAGCGATCGATAATAGGAGCGATGCGGCGAGCTCGGATAGGAGTGATACGGGAGTAGGGGAGGAGGAAAGGCAGTCGAGGACGCCGGAGAACCTTGTTGCGAAGGAGCATATCTTGGAACGCGCTGAGGAAATTGCGACTGTGACGTTCAAGAAAGCGAGATCGCCTGAGCGGCAGGCAAAGGAAGAGAGGGAGGGTGGTGTGAAAAGCGACGACGGCAATTGGTCTGCGGGAGGCAAGGGTATTGTCTCACATACATTGGACGAGAACGATGTGGATGAAGAGAGGGGTCGGGAAATGCCATTGACGTTGGCTCAACAGGGAGTTGGAACCAGTGAAAACCCCGAAGAGGATGATGATGAGGAGGAGAGCGAAGAAGAAGAGGATGAAGAGGAAGATGAAGATGAAGAGGAGGAGGAGGAAGAGGAGGAAGATGATGAAGAGGAAGAAGAGGGAGACGAGAAAGCTGACGCAGACGAGGAGGAAGTAAGCGGAGACGCAGGGATGAAGAGCCAAGACAATGACGAAGATGAGGAAGACGAGCCAAAGCTTAAATACGAGCGACTGGCCGGAACTCTCAGCGAAACCTTGAAAAAGGACGCCGTGAGTTCCATGTCCGTCTCCGACCGGTTTCTGGCTCTCGGGACACATTGGGGCGTTGTGCACATTCTCGATCTCATAGGGACGGAGGTCAAGCAGTACCGGTCACACTCAGCCACGATCAACTCACTGAGCATTGATACCAACGGCGAATATGTCGCTAGTGCGTCTGATGATGGCAAGGTAGTCATCAACAGCCTCTATACCTCCGAGAACCAAATCATCAACTACAAACGACCGGTCAAAGCGATCGCCCTAGAGCCTGACTACAGCAAGAAAAGTACGCGACAGTTCGTATCAGGCGGCATGGCCGAAGTCCTGAGCATGTCCGGCAAAGGCTGGTTTGGAACCCGGGACGCGACGATCAGCTCCGGCGAAGGGCCCATCTACTCCGTCCTCTGGCGCGAGAATTTCATCGCCTGGGCCAACGAAGCCGGCGTCAAAATCTACGACGTAGCCGCGCAACAAAAATTCGCCTACGTCGACCGGCCCCCCAACAGCCCACGCGCCGACCTCTTCCGCTGCCACCTCGTCTGGAAATCCGACACTCAGCTCCTGATCGGGTGGGCAGACAGCGTCAAACTCTGCGTCATCAAAGAACGCTCCAAAATGGACATCTCGTCGGGCTTACCCTCCCGCTACGTCGAGATCGTCTGTCAGTTCAGGACCGAATTCATCATCAGCGGCATAGCGCCCTTCGACACCGACATCGTCCTCCTCGCCTACATGGCCGACATGACCGCCTTCAAAAACGTCGACGTCATCCAATCAGGCCCTGCAAAGCGATCCAAAGCAAAGCCTCCCGAAATCCACATCGTCACACCTACCGGCCAAACAGTTGCCACAGACGTCCTCTCCCTCTTCGGCTACGAGCTCTACAATGCGAACGATTACAGACTCGAATACCTCCCGGCGAGTGGCAACCCGGCCGATAACACCTTTTACATCGTCTCACCAAAAGACATTGTCGTCGCGAAACCGCGGGATCTAGATGACCACGTCGAGTGGCTCGTCGAACGCAAACGCTATGAGGAGGCCCTTTTGGCTGCTGAGAGCGCCGGGCCGAACCACGAGGGACGGCTGCAGGTGCATTCGATCGTCAGTATTGGGTTGAAGTACCTGGAAACGCTGCTCGATGAAGGGCGGTTTGCGGAAGCCGCAGCCAGTTGTCGCAAGATCCTACGCACTGATGCGAAATTGTGGGAAGACTGGATTGGGAAATACGCCGCTGCAGGGCAGTTGAACGTTATCTACACGTATATACCCACCCACGACCCGCAGTTGCCGCCGGAACTCTATACCCGCGTCCTAGACTTTCTGCTGCATAACGACCTCCCAGCCCTCCGCGCCGTCCTCGACACATGGCAGGCACAAATCTACGACGTCGGAGCTATGGTCACCAGCGTCGAAGAGATGCTTGCGAAGGACACGGAAAACGACTTGTTGAGGGATATCGCCATACTGCTACATACCCACTACAAGAAATTCGACCGCGCGCTCTACTACGCACTCACCCTCCGCCGCCCTGACGCCCTTGACCTCGTCAAACAGCACAACCTGTACGCCTTCGTCCAAAACCACGCCCTCCTAGTCATGCAGTACGACGACTACGTAGTCACCACCGACCCGCACATCGCTAACGTGATTGAGAAGGCAATTGCGGCGTACGAAAAGGGGTCGTCAATGGCGTCGTTGGATGCGGATGAGGGGGACGGGGTGACGGTGGAGCAACTGGGGGAGATTGGACGGGATGCGATGTTGGGGAGGGTGAGGGCTGCTGTGTTCCAGAAGGGGGTGGGGATTTTGGTCGAGTTTCCTGATCGGATTTTGGTGGGTTGGAGTCGGTTACTAACCATGTGAGTTGGAGACGTTTTCAGCTCACCTTTGACCTTCGGGTTTGATGAAACTAGGCACATCAAGTTGTGGAACAACTGAAACCGACAACAAAGTACCTGCATATCTTCCTCGACGCGCTGTTCCGCAGGAATCGGTTGGAGAATAGCGAGTTTCATCCCATGCAGGTGCGTGGCGTTTCCGAACCGCTGGATTATGCTGCTTTTCCTTCCCCATACGAAAGCTGAACAGTGCAGTTTTGTAGGTCGGCTTGTATGCGGAATACGATTATCCCCGCCTCATGGAGTTTCTAAGGACTAGTAGTTTTTACTCGGTGGAGAAGGTGCGTCATCGGCAAAAGCCACCGGCTATATTCCAGTACGCGCGTGTCCCCTTACAATCAGTCTCCTAGGCGTATAAAACCTGCGAGCAGCGCGACCTCGTCCCCGAGATGGTCTTCCTGCTAGGCAAGATGGGCGACAATCGACGGGCGCTGAACTTGATTATTTCGCGGTTGGGTGATGTTAAGAGGGTGAGTAATCCCATCACCTCGCCTGGTATAATGGAGGACGTGGGAACTGACTAGGCTCTTTGGTTGGGTAACAGGCTATAGAGTTTGCAAAGGAGCAGAACGATGAAGAGCTGTGGGAGGATTTGTTGACTTATTCTATGGATAAACCCAGTACGTTTTGTCTCATCTCTCATGGCCATTACCAACCGCATAATGTTGACACTAAAAACGCCCTATCTTTCGCACAGTATTCATCGTGGGCCTACTCGAACACCTGGGCTCCCATATCAACCCCGTCCGCCTGATCCGCCGCATCCCGGACGGGCTGGAGATTCCGGGACTGAAGGACGCTTTGATCAAGATTATGACTGATTATGGGATCCAGGTAACGTTTTTATGCGTCAGATAAGCTTCACTCGAAAGTGCCAAGGAATTGACGCCTTCACTCTCGATTCGGAAAGATGTCCCTCCGCGAAGGCTGCGAAAAGATCCTTGTCAGCGATACCGTCTCCCTTCTCGAAACCCTCTACAAAGCGCAGCGGCGCGGCCTCACGTTCACCGAAGATGTCGCGTGTTCGATCTGTGATATTCCGCTGGAGCGAGCGAGTACGGTCACGCCCGCGGCGGCTATGGAGGAGGATGTGGATGGGGAACTGGAGGTGGAGAAGGCAACGATTGTCGTGTTTTTCTGTAGGCACGTGGTTCATAAAGGGTGTTTAAGGGCGCCTGTGGACGAGATGTCGCAGACCCGGGCGGGTGCGGATACACCAAGTAAAACAAGCGGCCGCGGGACACCGGTACAAGGAATCAGCAAACCTCCCACACCCGTCTACCCCCACTACCACCCCCGCGACACAGACCGTGACCTTGCCATCCGCCGCGTCTACGACCGTCCTTCTCAAATCTCCACCCCCGCAAAAGCCCAACTTCTCTCCCCGTCCTCTGCATCTATACCCACAATAGCCCTCTCGTCATTGGCGTCAGAGGGAGCACCACCGAGTAGGAAAACAAGGGTGTTGTCACTGGGATCCGGGCATGGGTTTAGGCCGCCGAAACCGGTGCTGGTGTGTCCGATTTGTAGACGGGATAAAGGGCCGAGGAGGGGGGTGGGGGTATGATGGGTGCTGCTTCTGTAGATGTCCCTCTTCCTGGCCGTATTTGCTGAATCTTGTATTTGTTTTTTTGGGTTTCTTTCGTGTACGTTTTGTTGGGGGTTATGGCGGTAGTGACTACATGGTGCAGATGGGTATCGGCTCTCTTCATGACGGGTTCTTATGGTCTTCATGAACATGGATATGGGAATCCGTTGCATCGACGGCGTTGCCGGCATTGGTCAAGCCCTTCTACTAAGGTTTATGATGTAGATTACGGGTTGTCCTTCATGACGTCTCATAAGGTTTTCGAAATGTTGACCATTACCCAGCCTGGGGCCTCTGATCGAGTCGGCTATCGACCGATCCATTCAGCCAACCCCTTGGGCGAGTCCCACAGCGGTATCCCCGCCCGCGTGATGCTTTCTGCTCCGAAGCCCGTCCGGCGTGCACGGAAGGTGTCGTTTGCTCTTTCCAACTGTCAAAACGCGTGATTTGCTCAGCGGAAACGTGGGGCGGCAAACTCCGCTCTTCCTGGCCGATGACGGCCTGTTACGACACATGGAGGAATGTAGACATGGAGGGAATGTCATATCAGTGCCCCCCAATAATCTGAGACATGGATATGAAAGGTTAACATCGAACGTGAGGGTGGTGCGAGTTTTTTGCCAGCAGACAAGTAGTATGATGCAGCTGGTGAGAGAAATGAAAACCATCTCTTGGTTGAACGCGGCCCGTCAAGAATTTAGAGTTGCGAGTAAACTGTCGAGGCGGGAAAGCATGAACGACACTTTTGCCCTGGCCGCTCCAACTTCCAACCGGCAGTACGCGCCAGGAGAACGAAAAAAACCGACACTTTTGACTGGTGTCGCTCGGTTTTCGGGGGCGAAAAATCGGGACCTTCGTATGATGGCCAGCCCACGGTGAGCCTAACCTTTCATGACCATTACAATTAGCCTTTAACCCGGCGTCGCGCGCCTGCACCAACCAGATGCCCGAGAACGTCGCAATCCCATCCCGTCTTTGCGCTCTTGGCGGAAGGCCCGGCTCGGGAGGAAGTGCAGAGAGCTTGCACGCCAGAGCTGCCAGTTCGTAGAGCGTATAAAAGGCGACCAGATCCGTTCGCCCGCTTGCAACTTTTGTTTTCAATCCCACTTCTCGCCCAGCTCATCTGTCCTGGCTTTTGACTGCGTTCATCTTGATCGCGACTGGCCCTTACGTCAAACAAATACGGACAGCGCATCGTCTTCACTTCCGAATCAGTCTAGAACAACCGTCATTTGACGTGGTATACGACAGACTCACACAATATGCAGTACTCGCTCGCGATTTTGGCGGCGGCGCTTTTGGCGTCGAACGTCGCTGCTGTTCCTGCGCAGAAAGCAGGTGATTTGACCAAACATTTGGGGTGCTTTGGTGGATGGTTCGTCGTGGCTCTCGGACCACATCAGTCTCATTCATTGTGCATTTTCTCTTCCCTGTTTCACAGATCCTGCTTCGCTCATTGAAGACAATTGGACCGAATTCTGGGACATCGAGGAATCGACGACAACTTCTACAAGTCCCGCGTCGACATGGGCGTCTCTGGCCACTTTAGCGCCCCGAGCATTCGAGCGTCGACAAGTCGGAGGACGTACTGTCAGAATACGCTGTCTCGAGAACTGTGCCACTGCTTACAAGCGCACCAACGCAATCTGCAAGCTTCGACCCAACGACAGAAACTGTGCACGGTACCGCGACCAGTTCGACCGGATCTGCAAGTCCAACTGTAACACCAACAACCCCGTGCTTACCTCGGCCGTCGTCGCTGGCTTGACACCGGCTACCAGCACCAGTCGCGCAGTGGCACTGCCAACTCCTGTACGTCAATCCACTACCGCTGCCGTTGTGCCATCATCTGCTGCTCCCAAGCCCACCACCGTCATTGTTGCTGGCACCACAAGTATCGTCAACCCTGCGCGTACCACCGCTGCTGTCCCCGCCGAAACCACACCCGTCGTATCTGGGTCCACCGCTGTTACACCCATCGAGACCACGGCTGCTCCTGTGCCGGCTGGTACTACACTCTTCGTGGATGGCACCACCATCATCGTTCCCGCTGAAGAAACCACCATTGTTGCCCCGGCTGAAACCATCATCATCGTTGACGGTACCACCATTGCCACCGCAGCTCAAGAGACCACGGCGGCACCTGCTCCCGCGGCAACCACTATCATCGTCGACGGCTCAACCGTCATCGTGCCTGGTGAAGAGACCACTGCCGTTGTCGAGCCCGCTACTACAATCATCATCCCAGCCGAAACGACCCTCATCGCGCCAGAGGCGACTACCTTCGTCGTCGGCGGAGTTACCACCATTGTCGTGCCAGCCGAAACTCAAGTCGTTGAGCCCGGAACCACCGAGATCGTACCGGCTCGTACCACAGTGTTCACACCCGAGGAGACTACCTTCATCGTCGCGGAGACCACCGTTGTCGTTCCTGCTGAGGAAACCACCGCCGCTGAGCCTGCGCAACCTCAAGCCACGACCTTCATTGTTCAAGGCACCACTACTATCGTCACGCCCGAGGAAACCTCCATCGTTGAGCCAGGCACTACTGAGGTCATCGCTGGTGAGACCACGATTATCGCGCCTGAGGCTACTACCATCATCGAGGGTGTCACCACGGTCGTTGCTCCGGAAGAAACCACGATCATTATCGAAGGCACAACTACCTTCACCGGTCCCGAGGATACCGTCGTTCCCGAAGCTTCTACCACAGTTTTCATTCCAGGCGCTACAACCATCGTGACTCCTGAAGAAACCTCTGTGGTTGCTCCCGGCACTACCGTCGTTACCCCCGGCGACACGATCATCGTCGTTCCCGGAGCCACAACGGCCATTGAAGAGACAACCATTTTCGGTGCACCTGAGACCACCACCATTCCCGGCGGCGAGGCTACAACCATTGAAGCGACAACCACCACCGAGGCTGCGCCTCTCGAGACTACCAAGGTTATCATCGGCACAACTGACATCTTCGTCAGTGGCACCACCGAGAAAGTCTTCCTCACTTCTGAAATCGTGCGCGGAGGAGAGCTCACTGAGGCCAGTGCCGTTCCTACTACCTTCGGTATTGTCATTACTCTTGAGCCAACTGCTACCGACGATGAGACCACATTGCTCACCTTCAGCACTGTCGTCACGCCCACTCCAGATGCCACGCGTACCCAACTCGACTTCACTACCGACCTCAGCGCGGCCACTACTTCCGCTGGAGGTGTTGTCGTCATCCCCGGATCTCCCACCACGACCTCCGGCGAAGAGGCTACCCGCGCACCGGAGGCTACCACTGTCGTCATCGGTGGAGCCACCACGGTCATCATTCCGGGCGAAGAAACTACCGTCATCGAGGAACCGGCTACAACCGTCATCAGCTCTGAGGAGACCACCGCCGCTGTCCCTGAAGAGACCACCTTCATCGTCGGAGGCGCCACCACGATCGTATCGCCCGAAGCGACCGAGGTCGTTGAGCCGGGCACCACCGAAATCATCCCGGCCCGCACAACCGTCTTTGTACCCGAAGCAACTACCGTCGTCGTGGATGGCGTCACCACCGTGATCATCCCGGAAGGCACCACCGTGGTTGAACCCGCTACCACGGAGTTCATTCCTGCTCGCACCACTATCATCGCTGTCCAGGAGACCACCGTCATCGTCAACGAACCGACTACGATCATCAACCCCGAGGTGACTGCTACTTCTGCAGCGGAGCCGTCGCCTACCCCAGACGTCCTCTCGGAAGCCATCTTGGACTGCCTGGACAACTGTGACAATGCATACGAACAAATCACCGATTCGTGCACGTCTGATGGCCAAGACAGCGGCACTACTGACACCGAGAGCTGCCTTGAGTTTAGGAATATCTATGGTATATTGTCATTGTTCTCGAGCATTCCCACTCTACTACAACATTTCCTAATCTCCACCCTTCGTATCAGCCGACCAATGTAGGTTGTCTTGCCGCGGCCAAGCCTTTACCGAGTCCGTCCAAGCTGTCGACACCTCGTCCGAGGCTGGCCAAGCCGAGCCTACTGCTACCACCGAGAATGTCGATGCAGCGGGCGATATCTTAACCACGGCCGCAGAAGCAATCGATGCTATCCAAACTACGGCCGCAGAAGCGATCGATGCTATCCAAACCACCGCTGAAGCTGAGATCACTCGAGCTGCGACCCTCGCTCCTGGAGTGCCCATCGTCAGCGTCGAGACCACACCCGCAGCCATTGTCAGCACTGTCGCCGGAGCCGCCGGAGCGGTTGAAACCTCAGCTATCTCCGCCATCGAGTCGGTATTGAGCACCGCTGCTGCAGCCGTCGAAACCGGTGCACCCGAAGCCAGCCCCATCGTCAACATCGGAACCACCGCAGCTGAAGTCGCTAGCACGATCGCTGACATTGCAGGAGCCGCCGAGACTTCCATCGCCTCGGTCGCCGAGGCAGTGGCCAGCACAGCCGCCGTTGTTGCTTCGCCTACTGCAGCAAGTGGACCAAGTGCCAGTCCTGTCCAACCCCGACCTACCACCGTTGCAGTCGCCCGCACCATCGATGAAGCTGCCCAAACCACCGCCATCGTGTCTGAGGCTGAGGGCATCCGAAGCACCATCGCTGCTGCCGCGACCAGCGCCATTGCGGAGATTTCCGTCACACCTATTGTTATCGCTCCATCCGCTGCAGCAACGGCATCTCCCGTGGCTCAGATCGTCAGCACGCTCGTGGCCTCTGCGGAAGCTGCTCAAACTTCAGCAATCATTTCCGCTGTTGAACAAGGTTTCAGCACCGTCGCGGCTGCCGAGACGAGCGCCATCGAGGCCGTGTCTCCGTCCGCCGTCGCTGTCGTGTCAGAGACACCCTCCGCCGGAGATGTCTCTGCCCCAACTCCCACGCCTACTGCGGCTCCATTGGGTGCCGTCGCTTCTCAATTAGGTAAGACTTCATACCGCTCTCATCGAAACTATCTTTTTGTGCATGTTTCCTGATTCACGGTCTCGCAATAGGTGACGTCCTTACAACAATCCTCTCCAACATCTCCGCCACCGCCACTGCAGCCGCAACCGCTTTCTAAAGGCTGACGCCGACCGCAATAGCTAAGCATCCAATCACCATACATCCGGAGTAGTCCCGACATTCGACTATACATTATTTGCGTTCTCTTTCCACATCATCGCCTCCAGTCACCGCATGTTCATTGTGAGCGATGACCGTCCGAGCGATGTGTCTGTGACATTATTTTCCTTCTTCTTGTGTACGTTTATGTTTTGTTTTGCCTCTACCCCCCAACTTGTTGATATGAGGGCACATACAGTTGAGGTTTTGTATTCGAATATTCGGACAATAGTACAGTCGTAAAACGTAATTATTGAGCACAGCTACATACATACTTCGAATTTTTTCACCTTTGCCCAGGGCAGCAGAGTAGGAACGGGCGAAAAGGAGCTGTTCTAGCCTACGCCGTGCCCAATGCGGTAAACTCCCTCCCGCGTGGTTTTTGATACAGAGAGATACTTATTGATGTGGTGCCCATACGAGGGAGAACACATTTCCCACCATCTTCCTCTTTCGGTTCACCACCATTAGACTTGATACAAAGGATTGACTGCTCCATCAGTGCTTCTGGCCGATTTCGATCTTTTTGAAATGGAGGCGAACAGCAGTGGCGGAACGCCCGGTATGATATATCTCGTTCAGCACGTCGGCGATTTCTTGCCAGCTTTTATCCAGTTTTCGCCCGAAGACTATGGAGCCCTCTTCATGAGGGGTCCAAGGAATCTATGCAGCAGTTTTTCGGGGTGATGGGTTAGGCCGTTGACCGGTGATTAACCCGGGAACAGGCATATATGCACACACCGGTCTTTCATGCTTGGGCTTTTGCTCTTCAGACCCGTTCATTGTTGCTTCGAGGTGGATGAGTGGACCTGGGTTAGTTCTCTGGATAAAACAAAGCCTATGAATGCGGAAGAGACTTTATGGGTTGGGAGCAGGAGAGGGTGTGTTGCTTCGAGGTGGATGAGTGGACTTGGGATAGTTCTTTGGATAAAACAACCCCGCCTGGGAGCTTTCAATTCGATGCATCCCGAACATGAAGCCTAAGAGGCCCCCCCCCGTTGACTCATGACGTTCAAGTACAGTACATCAGTGAACTCGTGGGGAAGACCGCCGTTGGGGGTGGTGACGGGGGGCCGGCCAGCCGCGACATAGTATTAGCCCAAATGCCGTCAATTCCAACGCCCGTCGTAACCTCCGTTTTGGCATCCTACTGTCAAGTACGGTCATTGCCACACTACCAACATGGAGAACAGCCTAGTCAAGAAACATTACGCCGATTATATTCACAAAACCCTTCTGCGATGAACTATTTTTTGACTAATTACAGAAGGGATTTAGAAAGCTATTTACAAGAGGAGAACGAGATCGGCTGGCTTTCGGTCGCTTCATTTGTGCTAGCACTAGTGGCCAGCGACTTTGACTTTCTCCGCATGCTTTCGAACAGCATTCGGCGTGCGGTCCGTGTGGTACACCTGGTTCAACAAGTCGGTGATCTCTTGCCAGCCTTTGCCCATGTGGCGTAATACCAATATCGGACCCCCTTCGTATTCTGTCCATCCGCCCTTCTCCTTTCCTTGGTTAGGTCTTTGAGCAAAACCCGGTTATCGATGACGAGGACCTCTGCACCACATACCGGCTTATCATGCTTGAGCTTTTGTTCCTCGGATCCGTTCATTGTTGCTTTTCGAGAACGATGAGCGCGAGTGTGGTACTTTCGTTTTACAGAATAAAGCGTTGGGTTGTGGAAGCGACTCGATGGGTTGGATCCAGACTTTCGCAACGGCGGTGAAACCACATACAACGTGCTTTTCTGTGGAGGTGTCCGTAAAATGATGGAGAAAAGGAACCCCCCAATGACACATTCGAGCGATGCGCTTACCCCCACCCCATATGGAGAGCGGTCTAATTGCGAAGCATGCGCTACCATTTGACACGCCGGTGGGGCAAGGATACAGCAACACCAACATACGACACCACCACCGACAGCACGAACAACGCCATCAACATCAACACCATCATCGACAATGCGCCTCCTCGTCGACGACACTGAGACAATCGGTTTGAGCTTCTCAACATCTCACCTCATCGAAGTCGCAGTGGCCTCGTTCTGCACGTCGACACGAACGATCCTCACGAGCCTACAGTTCATCATCCCCAGAGAAGGGGTAAACCAAGCCGAGCACATCAACGGCATTACGCAGGCTATGCTCGCGCAGGCGGCCGTGCCCGGAACACAGGCCATGCTCGAACATATGTGGTCCAGCAGCGATTGCATAATCGCACACAACGCAGGTTTTGATCGACCTTTTCTAAGCCGCCCACTTCCCGACGTTGCCCGATAAACCCTGGTTGTGCACGGTGGCCGACATCTCGTTCCCTCGCACGAAGAGATCCAAGGTGCTGACGCACATTGCGGTCGATCACGACATACCCGTTCACAAGACACTTCGTGCACTTGATGACGTGCTGTTGCTCGCTCAACTGCTCGCCGTTGCTCGAGTCGCAAGTGCGCCACAGCCTTTCCATGGTATTGTCGACGTCTGCATCTGCGCCGGCGGCCGTTCCTGTTCCTGCACCGCCCACACCTGTGTCGGCCGTGTCCGTGCGTTTAGTGTCTGGTTCCTCAAAGTAATGAACTGGGTAATGATCAAAGTAATCATGCAATACATAAATACGCAAATACGCAAATACACAATTGAAATGCTATCTGCCATGCATAAGATGCTCGAGACGTTTGCATCCGGTCGCTGTTGTGGCGTATCAAATGGACTCCCACCGAAAAGAGCTTTACAGAGAAAAACGAGGACCCTTTTACCTTTTGCCCCCCAGACTATGAACGAATTTACGCTACCCCTCGCAACGGCTACTTTGGTCGGAGGGCTCAAAGCTCCCCTCGACTATGTACACGACGCAACTATGAATGTTTTCGCATTGGGCCATGATGACGGTGTTGAACGCCATCACCCATCATACTCAGACGAATCGTCAACAAGCAAAGCAGCCTCGTCAAAGCGCTTCAGGTTATCAAGCCGTCGCTGATTGCCTGCTATGGCTGCTTGGCGCTTGCTGTGGCGGATCGGTGCTGTATTCGCCGGGCTGACGCGCTTCCCGTGATTGTTGATGTGTGGAGCGGGATCGACCGCTTGCACTTGGAACGGTGTTGCGATGTGCTGCTCGCCATTCATGGGTTCGGCAGGATGGTGGTCTGATTCGTGGACGTTGATGTTGTCGTTGTGCGTGTCCTCAGAAGGACCATTTCGGGAATCTTGAAGCGCGAGTTTGTCAGCAGTGGTTCTCCCTACAACCAGCCATGTATATCCATATCATACCGATGGTTGTTGCGTCTGTTTCATGAGCGGCCCCCTGGTGCATCTCTTCCTTGAGAGGTGGGGCCTCATTTTGGCTTTCACCAGTTAATCGGGAACCTTGTGTGTCCATGTCCACATGACTATTGAATGCTTCTGAGTTATTCCTGCCAGTTTCTGTTGGTACATCTTTCTTGCCTTTGGCACTCTTCCCAGTTTTACGTGGTTTCTTTGTTGTCTGTTTGCTTTCCTGCTTGACCGGGGGAGATGCCCCACATCTGGAAGCCACCTCAGGGTATTCACGCAGAATGACTTGATGCCAATGGACTCCAATTGCCGCGGGCGTGCGATCGGTGCCAAAGCCTTTGGCTAGGTTGTTGGAGATTTCAGGCCATCCTCTGCCCATTAATTTCCCCATAATTATTGCGCCGTCTTCTAGCTTGCTGTATGCAGCAGCTTTTTTTACAGGGGCCTGCAGAAAACAAAGCGATATCAGATTGGGGATTAAGCTTTTGGGAAGTTCAGCATGACCAACCTTTTTCTTTTCATCAGGCATTGTGGCATGCTCAGCCTGGAACCGAGTTAACTACTTGCTAAGTTCTACCTCAGGTGGGGAAGATTGGAATGAAGCTTTCGAAAAGACGAGCAACGTGCAGGTTTCTGGCTGCTGGGATGCAAACTTTGCCTCGGGGACTTGGACTTCGTGGAGAGGTGGAAAACAGAGGCAACTGTGACGCGGGTTCTGGAATTATGTCACGAATGGGGGGAGAACAACGTGCGAGAGTTGGAAGGCCGTTGAGGAAGGGAGAAAGGGGGGGGGGGCAAGGACGAGCGGGTGCAAATGCAAGAAATTCGACAGCGCGTAGCATCCCGTGAGTCATGTGCTGTCAATCGTCTCGCTTTGTCGTCGGGCTTAAGTGTTCGGACGGGATGCTTGTGCTGTGAAAGGAGTAAGAGTGTAGATGAAGAGCAATCTGGCGTCGCAGCATTTTGCTCACAGGTTTGAAGAGGTCAGCCGGGATCCAGCAGACTTTGACTGGAATTGTAAAAAGGACTCTTGCGGGCTTAGCAAGAGGGCTTAAGGATTCGCAACGATGCAAACCTTGAGGATCTGGACAAGCTCAGTGAGATCCGTATAATGCGGTTCACATCATATATGTACAAGACGTCGATGGTTCTGTCCTTCTCGTCCTTAAAAGTCCTGTGGTCCAATGGGTGGGGTAACGTCCTAGGGAAGCTATCCGTGTCGAGCCTTTTTGCTGTCAAAATGTCTGGGATTGGCCTATCAGGGAGGTCCCTCTCCTTCGTGTCCTTCTTAGCACCCTTCTTGGTGTTTCTTGTAGCCATATGAAGGCCTGCATTCGACGTAGCGACAGCAGGCCCCACTTGCGTCAACACAGTAGCCGTCGTTGTCGAGACCATACACATTGTAGTTGCCGTAACAGAAGCAGTAGTAGTTGCGGTACCCCTAGCACTCCCCGCGCGAGTCTTCATATCAGAGCCGACTGGTTTGATTGTCGGTTGGATTGTCGCCGTGGTCGTCTCCGTCACCAGCAGCAGCAGCAGCTCTATCACCAGCATCTGAGAAATAGGAACCCGAGGTGAGAGGGATGACAAGTATGTATCGCCATGGAATGAGTTGCCATCATCACGATCATCGCCTCTATCGCCTCCGCCTCCAATGTCATCTTCCTGGTCCTCATCCTCACTCTCGTCCTCATCCTCATCCTCATGCTCACCCCCGTCCTCGTCCTTCTCGTTACCCCCCCGTCCATTTTGCCTTCGCTGGCCTTCCCGCCCAGACTGGATCTCTCTGCCTCTCCACGCGTAACGCAGCTCATCCTGGGCCAGGCCAGCCAAGTCACGCTGCCGAAAGAGAAGTAACCTGGATGCCAGGTCTATGAGCGCGCCGATGGTGAAGAAAACTGGTCCTTCCCTGTGAAATATGATTTGCACAGGTACGCCAGAAGCTATTGTTCTTATCGTGGCCCTCGTGACGACGATTGCATAGCTGAGTCTGGAGCTGCCGAAACGCCTCTTCGCGCCGGCCTTCCGGAGTTTGAAGGGTGCGTTGCGGAGGAAAATGCATTGGCTGTTTGCCCGCGCTCCACTGAAGGATCTCTGTGGCGATAACCAGTATGTGTTCGGGAATAAGCGCCTCTCCCGGCGCGTCGAACTTTTTCAGATCTCGTGCCTGCTGGCGAACCATTGCCTCCAAAAATGTTCTGGTGGCCGGATCGGTGATGGATTCGAGCGGTGGCAAGACTTCTCCAGCCTCCCATATCTTTGCGGTGCCGCGGTAAAGGAATCCACCCTTGACATGACAAGCACCAAGGCTTGCGGCGGTATGGTTCTTCAAACGGCAAGTGCCATGTGGTGTAGTAGTGCGGGAAAGCAGTTGGACGGCCACATTTGTGCGCATACGTTTGATCAAGCAGGTCACATTTGGGTCACATTGCCCCGCCGGACGGTTGGCAAGGTAGTTGCAAGGGGAGATCTCGTTGCGCCTGACACGGCGGTTGTGCAGTATTGGGAGCAGCGATGGCAATGCGGGCAGAGTACCAGAGCGTAAGAAGCCGCGACTGACGGAGATGAGTACGTTGGTGCACGGGAAGGGTTTAAGAGCGGCCTTGTAGAGCGAAGAATTCCGAGCGAGGGCAAAGGTCCTTCCGATTGGACAAATGAAAGTGCTCAGTTAAACAACCACCCCGCCGCGCCCATCAGCCCATCAGCCAGCACATACCCAGTCAGATACCCAGTACAGACGGGCGGACAGAAGATACTCCGGACGCATAGCTTTTTGGATTTTACACTTGGGACTAGGGGCGGCTTGGAGATATTCTGGCATTACACTGCAAGAGCCGCAGCGTATTCCGCGGTTTTGGCCTCCACTGCTCCGGCTTGCAAGCGCACAGCGTCCCCGCCCATTGGCAGCATGTGGGTCCTGGTAGGGGACACAGACGGTTTGAAAGGTACAGACATGGAAGGCGGAAAGGGCCTTGCTCTGCTACCACGTATGTGTGCAGCGCTCAAGGACTCACTTTACCATCTCTCCAGACTTTTCCATGTGGCTGCAACCCGGCAAAACATACACAGTTGGCCGTAAAGATGCAGACATCACGCTTGCGACGGACAAGGCAGTCAGTCGAAAACACGCAACCATAACCGTAGCAGAGGCTATACCCATCGAGCAGATTGGCGACCTGGCTGCAAGGTGTAAAGTCACGGCCACGGACCAGAATTCCAAGTTCGGCACGTATGTGGGAACGGGATCGCTGCAGAGGATACCGGGCAGCCAGGAGTTGAAGGATGGTGAAATTGTCGCCTTTGGACACGATAACTCCGCATTTCGGTATTTGCTGACATTAGTTGGCACGTCAATGGGGTTCAATCACTAACCCACATCGAAACAGGTTAACGTATGTACCGGTGGTGCTGTGCACATCGGGAAAGCTACGCACTAAGCAACGCAACGAGCTGCATGCAACTGCTCGGCAATTTGGTGAGTTGGTCTCGCAGACGGCTGCCGGTCATTGCAGAAAGTTCATGAGATCCCAGATTTCAGGATCGTGAAGGAATGGACGCCAGATGCGACGCACCTAGTGATGGCCGCGTTACGCGTGACGATGAAAGTTGTCCTGGCGATCGCGAATCGCCGGTATGTTGTGACGGAGGATTGGGTGAAGGAGTTTGCGAATGTAGACCCGGCACGGTTTGTTATGCCGGATCCCAATAGGTAAGAGAGGATCCCCTGGACCGGTTTTGTCGTTCGGCTACTGACGGGGATTGGTTGGAACATAAGGTTTTTGCCACCGATAATGGAAGAGGTGATCCAAGTCACCCCTGCCGCCTTTGAAGCGAATCCGGCTCGTGCAAATCTGCTTTCTGGCTACGACTTCTTCGTGTTCAGTGACAACGAGGTGACCTTTTCCATCGGGTTTTTGTGGGAAAGAATCTCCCAGTCCACTGACCTTTACAATACAGATGTCAGTTATGGGGAAGATCGTCACGGCAGTCGGAGGAACTATCTCTCAAATCTCATTCCCGTCAAACCCGCGTGAAACATCTCAACTGAAAACGAAACTGGGGAACTGTCGCCATCCCTGCGTCATTCAACCGTTTGACTCTCCGGACGACGGTTGGGCTAACGTACAGTCTGTCCTCGAAGAGTAAGCATTTCGAACGCATCGTGTCATTGGGCAGCCGGAGCTCCATTGACATTTAAATTTCTGCAGCCTGAACCTTCGCACCCTACAACAGGACGATGTAGCGAGATCGGTGATATACGTCGATGCGCAATACTGTGACGCTCTCACTCGTCCCGATGACATGGTAGAGGCTTCGCGGACTACCGCGAGGCAATTGGCGCAGACTTCATCGAATCCACCTCCTCCTGAGACGGGTTTCGGAGGAGGTGGTGAGCACAATGCGGATGTCCATCAAAATGCAGGTGGATCGTCGCTGTTACCGGTAAAAGATGAATCACAGGTACGAACGTGCAACTGTAGAAAGGTACTGGCCGTACGCAAAGCCTGATCCTTTGATATACAGCAACCCGCCGTAGTACCATCCAAAGGACGGGACTTTGACGACTTCCTAGACGTGCTGATGGACGATGACCTGCCAGCCCCACCTCCCTCTTCGACAAATCTCGCTATCCCTGCACAGCCAGTGAAATCAGAAATCAGCGGCTCTGGAAAGACGAAAGGGCGGCTACGGCCGCAGTCTACTGTCAGTTTGGCTGAGAAGTTGGGGATACGTGTTCAGTCGCAGTCTCAGCCCCAGCATGTGGATGATGATGGTGACCGTATGGAGGGGGTGGAAGGGGCGGGAACCGGGCGGAAAAGGCCGCGAGGGGTTGCGGCGACACCACAAGCCGCCTCCGCATCCAGAGCTACGCCTGAGCATACCGCGGCAATCGCACAGGAAGAGGGCATACCCGAAAGCCCACCACGGCGCTCGAAGCGGGCAAAACTCGCCGCAAACGACGAGCCAGCACCGCCGCAACCCACCGTCACAGCCTCACCGTTCGAACTTTCACAACCACAACTCAAAGCAAAAGTCACCTCCGACCCAAGCCAAATGGACAAACTGACAAAACTAGTAGTCGTCAACGTGGTCCCGCTCATCGTCCAGAAAGGGCGCGGAGTCGATACTGCCAACGGGCGAACAACGACGAATGCAGGCCCGAATTTCAAGCGGTTTCGGAAAGTGCAGCATGGAGCCCGAGCGGGGTTGAATCAACAGGGCGGAGCCGGTGGCGCTGGACAGCCTAGAGCGTATATCGCGGTAGTCGACCCAAATAAAGACGATTCGCGGGTCGTCGGGGCAAGAAAGAATACAGGGAATGGAAAGAGTTCCGAGTGGGCGCCGCGGGTGTCCCAACCAGCCGCGTCGTCTTCTCTCCGAGCGAATGGAAAGCGACCGTCGTCTGCTGGGACTGGACAGGAAGACGATCCGGAATTCACTTCAGGCCCCGTTCGACGCGTGCAGCGACCTACCCGGACACTCGCCGTGACTGGTAAACGGAAGCCCAGCGAGGAACACATTGTTATTGAGGATAGCGCGGATGAGGATGTGGGAACGAGGAGAAAAACACCGGCTGCGCGGCCTGTACTCTCCGACGATGACGACGATGAAGACGACCCCAGCTACGTTGCAAACCTACCGATTTCCGGGTCTTCAACCCCTTTAAAAGCATCCGCATCAACATTATCCTCAACCAAACGCAGAGCCCCGCTGTCAAGCAGTTCCCGCCGACATACAGTCCTAGACAGCGATGACGACGATGAATTCGGAACATCTGGAGGTTTTTCGTCGGCGTCGGCAAGGGGTCGTGTGATGGGTGAGGCTGAGGGGGGGTCGGATGAGGACGAGGGCATTACGTTTTCGAAGTTTGCTGCTACTCGGAGGAAGCGGTGATGATGGGATCGTAGACGTAGGATGGGAGGTCGGTTAGATAGGAGGTGGGCAGTGATAGATACTCTTCGTGTTCGTAGCCTTCGTTATCGCTATTAGGCTTGTATTGTGTGAGGGCGTGGCATCCCTCATCATCTGTGTATGTATGTGCAGGTACAGTACGAAAGTCGGGAGTAACGGGAGCCCTGCTGGCGCGTTGTGACTGTCAACGCGCGAGTCACGGCCCCCACGCGTCCGATTCCTCCTGTCAATTACCCCCTTCTCCCTGGACCCCTCCCACCCAGGAGGCACGCTAAATTGTGGCATTTGCAGGAGTTCATGGCCACTTGCTTTGCAGGGCGGATCTATAAGGAGCTGGCGACGACTCTACAAAAGCTGCCATGAGGTTTCTGTTGCGTCCAGAGTTTTCATTCCCTGCCTTTTTTTTTCGGAAACTCTGGGTTGCGTCGAGGATGGGGCCATAGACTATAACCTCTATCAACCTTTAGGGTCCGCCATCAGCTTTATATTACTACTTCCTGTGATTTTGAGAAGCCCTCGCCTCGCCCCACCAACACAGCAAACAAACAATGAACGGTTCCCTGACCCCCCCGCACTCGACAGCACAAAAACCAAGCAGCAGCAGCTATCCCCGGCCCCGTCGTTCCAAACCTTCCCTGACGAAGCGTCTGCGGCCTACTGTGCTTCAGAAAGCGGCGACACCTGTTGATAGGTTCAACCCCGAACAAATCATGAAGGTCCCACGGACAGGGAGGGATCTGCGGGGGTGTACGGTGGCGAAGCGGTGGAAGATTGTACGTTCTGCGCGGGGTTATGTAATGCATTTTTTCCCTCGGGGTCTCCGTACATCAGATTTTGCTAATCGTTTTGGTGTAGGTGGACAGCATTGCATCGGGCGGTTTTGGCGACGTTTACCGAGTCGTAGACATTTACAGCCATCGCAGCTACGCCATGAAGGTGCGGTATCGTTTCTCAATACAATACCCCATCGCCTGTTCCCCCACCTGATTCAGATCCACGCCATACAGGTGGAAAAACCCAAACCCTCCCGCTCACCCCTCAAAGTTGAAATCTCTCTCCTGCGGCAGTACCACGAGCGTGTGCGGAAGCAGAGGGAGGTGGCGGCGTTTCCGGAGATGGTTGGGCATGGGAAGTTTACGCTTCCTGGGGGTTGTGATGAGGGCGATGGTGAGACGGAGGTCACGTATTCGTTTTTGGTGATGGGGTTACTGGGGCCGAGGTGAGGGGGTTATATCACTTGAACGCGCATGGGAGAATTCACCAAGGTCCTGACACGACGCGCTTTAGTTTAGCGGAGGTGAAGAAACGCACGCCCGGCCATCGGTTCTCCGCCAAAGTGACGGCGCACCTCGCCACCAAGATGCTCGCGGCGCTGCGGGTCCTGCACGGCATGGGGATCTGCCACCGGGACGTCAAGCCGGCCAATTTCTGCACCGCCGGGTTCGACACGTCGCTTCTGACCAGTCACACCCATGCCGTCGAAGACACCCTCGCATCCACCGGCATCCTCCTGATCGACTTTGGCATGGCCCGCCGGCACTCCCATGCCGGGACGCTCAAACCTGCCCGCGCCGGCATCGGGTTCCGCGGCACCTCCCGCTACGCCTCCCTCCGCGCCCACTCCGGCCTCGATCTCGGCCCCGTCGACGACTTGTGGTCACTGCTCTACACCGTCATCGATTGTCTGAAGGGGGGTTTACCGTGGAGCCGGTTGCGCGCGGAGGAGGTTGAGGCGTGTAAGAGGCGGCATCATGCGGGGGAGATGGAGGAGGGGGAGGAAAATGTGCTGGAGGGTGTGCCGAGGGCTGTGAGGGTGTTGTGGGACTATTTGAGTGGGTTGGGGTATGAGAGTAGGATTGATTACGGGCGGGTTGACGCGTTGTTGGAGGGGATTGGGGAGGCGGGGGATGGGGTGGGTGATGAGGAGGAGCGATGGGAGGTGGGTAGTGGGGATGGAGACGGGGCTGTGGCGATGTCTGCAAGTGCGGATGGGCCGATGGAGCGCACTGGTAGCCCGCTACTGCCCTTCGAACGGGATGGACTGCTCAACGACGGCGGGGAGGTGGAAAGTGCGTCGCAACCCACATCAGTGGATACCGACCGCCGGCTTCCGAACCAGCCATCGCCTCTTGCTCTTCAGGTGGAGTCCCACGCCAACGACGCCGACGTTGCAAAGCCCGCACTTACCCAACACGAGACCCAAACCCGGATACCCTCAGCATCCGCATCCCATCACTCATCACCGCATCCCTCAACATCCCCGGACATCCCACAGCCATACCCACGTACACGACAACGAACCACCCGCCCACCTCTCTCCTATGGCCGGTACCTCGCCTCAACGCCCGCAGAGCCGTACACACGGGTCTCGACAGTTCTAGAAGACCGCCATGCCGCCCTCCTCCCCCACCCGGGCCCGAAGGCCGACGCAGACACTATGGATCAGATAATACCATTGATGCAGGGGTTGGGGTGTGAAGGAAAGGAGGAGGCCCCGACTTTGGGACCGCCCATGAGACCGGATGGGCAGTACATGCCACGCCCGCCGCCGTCTGCGCCGCCGGATGGTGTATATATGCGTTATATCCGACGGTTGAGGATTGCGGCGACTCATACGTGAAGTGCGAGGATATGTCCCCAATCGTCTGCTCCCACGCGCATCACCCCCGCTGTAGCCACCCTGTTCACGCCCAAACATGACGGCGATGTCTTTCAGGTCTCCGCGCGGTCGCTGCGACGCATCGGAGGCACGCGGACGGCCCCGAAGTGGGTCACGCACCTCGATCCAGACCTGATCACGTCAAACCACACCACACCACTTCAGACCGCCTCTTCATCACGGCCTATGCATGAGAGTACCCGGTCTCACGGCGACGGCTGAGAGAAGCATTCCTGAGCGACCGGCGGACATGGAAGAGATGGCGAGGTTGCGAATGGGACGGTGCTCGGCTGGACCGCACAAGCGCCCTTACAAACGATGGCATTTCGGACTGCGATGCTGCGCCCGTTCTTGCCGGGGGCATGTCTCGGCCATTCCCTTATCCCGGCTAGCATGGTCGCTCATACAAATGACGACCGGTTGCAGCGCAGCGTGTCCCGACATGTTTACATATGTACACCTCGCATCATCTCGCGCACGCCAATCTGTCCCGCGCACACCATCTGACGGGGATCGTCCCCGTTAGGACTGAGGGACCAACTTTTTCTGGACGACTACACATATAGCAGCAGTGCGATTCGAGAGCATTTGACGATGTTTATGTCACAGATTCATAATGAACACAATCGCATGCGGTACATATACAGGTCATTGCACACGGTCATCCACTTTCCAGTTTTTTTTTTCCATTTCCCCTGCCACTATTATAGTGATGGGTGGATTATGTCGTAGTTTATTGTCGTTTCGTTCGCCTCCGTCATCGAGACCCGGCGCGATCCTCGTGCTTTTGGGTGCATGAATACACTCTTCACGGAGCACGTAAACGACCAGACCGAACACCGTCTATTGCGAACTGCCCATAGGCGATATCTACAAGCTCTAATAAAAGGACCTTTCGGCCTCCCTCAGCGCATATACAACCATCCAGCTTCGCCACCCTCATCGCTCCGGCTTAGCCGTATCCCTCGTATTCTCCGCATTATGCCCATAATACGCCAGCTCAACATCCATAACCTTCTTCCCCCTCGCCAAGGCAATATCCTCCGGCCGCCTCTGTTGCGCGAGCGCCGCAAAGGTGGCTTTGATCACGTTCATGGGGTTGCGCGAGCCGTAGACTTTGGCGCCCAGATCGGAGATGCCGATGCAACGGCAGATCTCGTGGATGTGGTTGTTTGCGACAATTCCGTAACCTAGGGGAATCACGAATGAGTTAGACCATACGCTCATGGGAGATAGTTATGAGTGGTTGTTCAATGGTAAAATGGAAACGCACCTGGAGGCGCACTCCTCAAATGTAACTGCACCGACTTCCAATTGAAATCGATGTTTGAGAAGATCGTCCGGTTATTGAACCTCGAAAAGGTCGTCATGTTCTTCTCGGCCGACCTCGTCGCTTTCTGCACCGCCGCGGCAGCATCAACAGCCCTGCCCTCGCCATATCCCGCCGCCCCCTGGCCATTCCCCACCACGACGAGAGCAGAGACGGACCGCACTTTTCCACCAGAGTTGACGCGGGCGACGTTACGAACGTGCAGCACTCGTTTCATAAGCGGGGGTCCTCTTTTGAAGTCGTTGTCTTTGTCACGGGGTGGGCCGCCTTTTCGGCGGTAAGGGCGCGGACCGCTGGTGTTTCTGCTGTAGTTTTCGCTTCTGGGTTCGGGCGCTAACGATTTTGAGGCTACTGGCTCTGGGGCAGCTGGCGTAGCCACTGCTGATTCTGAGGGGGTGGACTCTGTTGAGAATGGTGCTTTTTGTTGAAGGGGCGATGGTACAATTCGGGATAGTGCGCCAATAACAGGTGCCGTTCGAGACGCTATTGGGCGAGCTTCACGGGGAATGAGCGCTTTAGCATTGGTGCGGCGGTTAGTTCGCCTGCTGCAAAAGTCATTAGGAAACTCACCTTGTGCTGGCGATCTGCCGTGAAAGCTCCGCAGACCAAGGGAGGCGGCGCATCTTGGCAGGCTTGTCACAGCCGTAGCGGGCGATATCCTTGCTGCCATTGCGCTTAGGCACATACGTTGTGGTAGGGTTGCTGCCATTGCCGCGACTTTGGGGCAAAAGATGGCTGGGAGCTTTCTCGTCGTTGGCTTGCGACCGAGTCTCTCGGAGGGCTCATGTTTAAATCTAACGCACGTGACTGAGCAGTTAATCCCTCTGCTTACGTAACATTCAGAAGCGTTCGAACGCGTGAGTCCCTCCTTCCCCATTCGGCCGGCAATCACCCTCTTGATCTGGCAGAGAAGGAGTGAAGTCGGTCCATCTCCCAAAGCGAAAACGCCGAAAACACAGAACACCAGGCCCGAAAAATGTCATTGAAAACGCAATCACATCTCTTCGGAAGCACAAGCTCCCTAGGCGCAGCATCCAGCCTGCTGCCCACGGCCCTCTCGCGTGAAATGTCCCGGGACAGGCTGGCAGGCGAGGCAGCCAAATTGAAGAAACCGAAGCTGTCCTCATTAAGTATGCCCTGATTTTCAGAGAGCTTTTAGGAGGAGATCTTGTGTTGATGGTTTCTTCTTCTAGGCAACCTGGTCAGCCAGCGCGACTCGTCTGCGACGGGCCAATTGGCGCCGCGGCCAGGAATTCCTCTCAAGTGCGTTTTTTGATCAGGGTGAGGGTCTAAATGGATGTGAGGGAATTGAGCATTTGGAGCTATTGAGATGGGCAGAATGGGGCTTGGATGCAAACCCTGATATTGGAATGCATGGGTGAAGCGGGACTGATTTCGAATCGTCTTGCAGGGCATCATCGGAGGTATACAGCGTGAAATTCTCGCTAAACGACGAGTATATTGCATCGGGCCTAGGGGACTCCAAGATACTGGTAAGCATAAAGATACGATGTCTGCAGCTAGTATCGTCAATGCTCAGTGAAGTTCCGTCTCCAGATCATCTCAACCCAAACGGGCGAGCCACTCAACCTCCTAACCCCAACAACACTGGACACCTACCTTCCCTGCACATCCCTCGCCTTCCGTCCCGACAGCAACGCATACAAAAACAAAAACGTCCTGGCCGCTGCATGTACGGCCAATCTTCCTCACACCTCAAACCCTCATTACAAACACTAACTCCATTACTAGATGCATCCGGCCACATCATCCACTGGCACACGACCTCCAACCAGATCATCTCGACCATCGACGAGGGCGATCATCAGACCCAGTGTGTGGTGTACAACAACGCCGGCACGAAGTTTGCGACGGGTGGGAGTGATTGTAATGTTAGGGTGTATGATGGTGTGCAGATGAAGGAGGTCGTTAAGATGAATACCGGGTATGTTGGGAACAAGTCGGGGGAAGGCACATCTGCGAGAGGCTCACAAGTTCCAACAGCACCGGCGGCGCCATCCCCGAAACCGCCGGCCACTCCAACCGCATCTTCACCGTCAAATTCCACCCCACTTCTCCACACATCCTCTACAGCGGCGGCTGGGACAACACGATCCAAATCTGGGACACCCGCTCGCAAAAATCCATCCGGAGTATCTACGGCCCGCATATTTGCGGCGACGCACTCGACCTCCTTCCCAATTCCGATCTTCTCCTCACCGGATCATACCGCAAGGACTCCCCCCTGCAGCTATGGTCGTTCGACGAAGGCAGGGTGGTGGAGACGTTGGCGTGGACGTTACCGGAAACTCCCGGGGAGGCGGTACCCGGGTCGTTCTTGTATTCGGCTAGTTTTAGCAAGAGTGGGAAGTATGTGCTTGCGGCGGGGGGTATGATGAATCAGGTTAAGTTGTTTAGTTTGGCGCTGAAGAGGGTGAGTTTCGTTGTTTTTCTTCCCGCTGACGTTGATCTCGAGACACGGAGACTCATATCAACCCATCTTGTTGATTTATACAGCCGGTCGGGATGGTCGTCAACCTCCCCGCGACCGTCTACTCCGCCGCTATCAGCTATAAGGAGAAAACGGTCGCGTTCGGGGGCGCCGATGGCGGGCTGTGGATCTATGATGTTGATACCAACGGGCTTACGGATTTCGTGTATTGAGTTGTTGGGGAGGCTCGATGGTGTTTTGGGTATTGTGGGTGGACGGATGTGATTGCTGAGCAACGGGGGAGACAGACAGGACCTGGTTGATTGAGAACCATCTCCATGTATAGATGATATCATCGTGAGATCCTATCAAAAACTAAAGGAAGCCCAGCTGTCCTATGTCTGCGTCCTACAAAAACCATCTACATCAAAAAAGAAACACTACGCCGTAACAGAACCTTGCCCACCCTCACCCTTTTCTAACATTCTCCACCGGCCCCTTACACTCCCCACACCCCCCAACTCTGGGACACACCGCGGTCCCCGAACAATGCACACAAACATTCCCCCCACCATTAACCAGCACCCTCCCCACAACAAGCACAGGCGCCAACACCAGCATCCCCGCGGCAACCGGCAGCGCGGCGATCCAAACCAGCAGGCCGTTGTTCATGGTGCCGTCCGGCCCGTGCCGGCAGGGGAGGAGGGCAAGACCGAGCAGGCCGCGTGTGTAGCAGGAGGTTACGGTGCCGGTGCCCCAGCAGGTATTGCACATTTTTTGGATAGGTGGGGAGGGGGTGGTGGTTGTTGACGGGGCGGGAATGCGTAGGGGCTGCGTGGCTGGGCTGCGGTTGGCGAGTTCGTGGGATTCTTCTGGTACCGAGACCGATACCGAGACCGGGATGTCGGCCGTTCCGTCGTCCTTCGTGGTCGCGTCGCTCGAGGCTAGCCCCGCCGATCCAGCGTACCCCGAATCCGACGCCGCCAGTTTTCCCCCTTGCAGCGCCATCCCAGTCCGTTCCGCCCCTCTCCCCACCGCCTGTCCCAACGCAACCGTCACCTCCGCCATCCCCGGCCTGCACCCCGGCTCCGCCTGCCACATCCGCTCCGCAAGCGCCCACACACCACTATCACTCCCGCGCGGCCGCTCCGGCCTCTTGCCATCAAGCACCAGCGCTCTAAACGCGGCGTTATCCACCACATGCTCCCACGGCACCTCCCCACCGCTCATTGTCTCCCACACCACCATGCCGAAGGAGTACACGTCACTAGCGGTCGTGAGCTTCCCACCCTGCAATCGTTCCGGCGCCGCCCACCGCATCGTTCCCGGCCCGTCCTGGTATGATTTATAACTCTTGGAATTCGAGTGGGCGCGGATGGCCGCGAATCCGAAATCGGTGAGCTGCACGTGGCCCGCGCCGTCAACGAGCATGTTGTCGGATTTGAGGTCTCCGTGCACGATCCCCTTTTTGTGCATGAAGGTGATGGCTTGGGCGGCTTCGTAGAGGAGGCGGAGGGAGGACTGCGGGTGGGTTTTTATGTCTGGGTGTGCCGCTAGAAAATGAGACGTAGTCGAAATGCAGGTAAGTTGGTTCAAGGCCGAGACTTACATTGCCGCAAAGTCCCGTTCGGCATATACGGACACACCATGAACGGCTGCTTCGAACTAACGCCTGCCCCCAGAATCGGCAAAATATTCGGATGCCTTAACGAATACCACACCCGCACTTCATGCTCAAACTTCCCCCGGTCCACATCCCCATCTACCAGTTCCTTAATCGCCACATCCGTATGCCCGTCCATCACCCCTTTATAAACCGTGCTGAACCCGCCGCGCGCAATCACCTCGCCCTTTTCGATATCGAAATGCGTCATCCGCCATTCTTCGACGGGCGTGTCCTGTGAGCCAGAGACGCGGAGGAGGGTCGTGTAGGCCGCGCGCGCGAATTTGGCTTCCGTTGCTTCGCCTCCTGCATGGTTACTCCCCAATTGCTCCATCTTCCGCGCCAAGGCCTCCAACGCCTCCCTGATCTCATTCGTGCGGATATTCAACGCGTTCAGTAACAGGTTGTCGTTAGCGAGCAGCGTTTCCAGCTTTGCATTGAGGTCAGCCGCGTCGGCTTCGCGGGCCTGCCGGTCGAGACGGTCGTCGATGGCGAGGGCGACGTTGAGATCGGTCGCGAGCAATGTTAGGTCGGAGTTGAAACCGTCCAGGCGGTGTGCGATTTCGTTGTGGCGGAGGAAACGCTCGATTAGGGTTAGGGATTGGAGTTTTTCGATGTAGAGTTGGATTTTCTTGAAGAGACTGAATGGAAGAGAGAATGGGGATGAGAGGCGAGCGATGGTTGGCTACTGATGCATGGAACGACATCCTGGTCGCTCCGTATCGCTCGCTGTCACTCACGCACCTCTCAACAGCCTCGACCTGGTTGCTCGAAACCCCTCCCTCATCCAACCGCTTCAGAGCCTTCACAAACTCATCAACCCTCCCACTAAGCACAACACATTGCTCGCGGTTGGCAGGCAGCGCGTGGACGCCGTGTTTGATCCAGAGGGCGATCTTGTAGATTTCACCGGGTGACATTGGGAGCATTTTTTGGGAGTGCGGAGACGACCAGAAGAGCGAAGTGGGGGGATGCTATCCTGGATGAAATTCAACGAGGAGGCACCCTGAACGAGCGGCCGCCGTGGGCAGGGGGTCTATCATTCTCATCTTGCCTTTTATCTGTGTTCGCCAAACTTCGATGAATTTGTCGGTGAGCTCCGCGATGGAAGTTCTCGTCTGCCGCAATAATTGGTGATCGGGTGCAACGTTGAACAAAAGCGCAGCGAACGTATGACAAGGGCTTGTTGCTGTTGTGGGACAGTGGGAGTCGGGCGACGGGCAGAGTCGGGACCGCTGAAAGTGAATTCGGGTTTGAGCGTGAGGGGAAAGGAAATAGTGCTTGCCACTGCTTGGAGACCTTCTGGACGAGATGGACGCGCCCAAGACTAGGCATCGGGGCCATGAGGACTATGAGGAAGCCAAGATTGGAGTGGTGCCATCGCGTCCAAAAACGTTGCGAAGAACAGAAGCCCCCCGCACCCATCGAACGTGGGGAACAGACTGCGTCCTGGACATGGACGACCGCGGCCACCCTACCCGCCCCCTTGAGTGGTTTGTGCATGACTTTGTCAATTGAACCGTACATGGTGCAGTGCCCTTCACTTACGTTACCCTCTTGTAGGAACCATGGCTGCACCGGAAAACCGAAATCCTGCCCAACACGCGCAGATCACAGACCCAACATCCGGCTGAAACCTCTTGCATCGGAATCTTCAACCACCTGGCTGCCCCTCTCTACCTTACTCCTGTTCCTGCGTGTTCGTGCTCAACCGGTCTGTCAGAGGACGTCTCTGAACGCCATTTTTTGCTCCAATACTGGCTGCCGCCCGATTGGGCAACCGTTCAGGCAGAGCACAGCGCGAAGCATCAATCGCCGGAAAGCAAGGTATACCCAGAGGATCCGATAGCTTATTTCATGGAACAGATGAACAGCGTCGCCGTCGAGGTCCTTCGCCGCTCCTATCCGAGGTGCCACCCAACAAGCTCTATGACCTGATCACAGAACTAGCTGGCCCAATACACAGCTCAGTTCCTTGACAAATATTCGCGTCAGAAGCAACAGAAGCATTCATAGCCAAAGAAGCTCAAACGAACTTCAGCTCCCACCCCCCACGGGTTCAAAAAGATGAGGACATTCCAGCCCAAACATCGGAGGTCGTATCTGACCTGATTCTGCGCACGCTTTTTGCCCTCCGCCGATACGTCCAGGAGGGAAATGCCGACATCAAGCCTTCTGTGGCCCGACTGCTCAAGCGGAATCTGCCAGCTGTGACCGAACGGTTAATGTTGCCTGGCATGCTTGACGATTCCCAGCGCAGATGGCTTGCCGAATGGTGCCCAACACCACTCCTCCGAGAAGTGACGCACAAGAATACTCACCCTGGCGTTTACCTCTATACCGTCGACAACCAGAAATATGTTGGGGTGAGGAAAAGATGGACATATTGATGACCTCCGTTGAAAGTTTGGAACGGAATGGGCTCAACGCCCAGCTGGTCTGAATGGGACCTTCCTTTTCATTGTTTTTGGGAGTCAGTCTCAACTTTCCGCTTGGGAGGCCGCCGGAGCGAGACGAGCCAAAGTCAGTCAAAAGGCACAAGGAAAAGCGCATCATTTCAAGCGCAGATATGCCAATCCCAAGCGGACGCAGCTTCAGCAGTCTCTCAACAATAAAGGAATTCGGTCACTTTCCCATCAAGTCGCAGCCTTGCACTCCTGGAAAGGAAGAAGGTCAAGATAAGCGCGCAAGGTTATTCGGGATATCGAACCTCAGCAACTACAGTGTGCCCCTCCTTTCAGTTCACCCTGTAACAACATCTATTTTGTAAATACCAAAGGATGTGCTGGGCTCAACAACTTCGTGGATACCATCGAGCAGCTGAAGTCGGCGGTACTGAAGCCATTTTGGGTATTCATGTCAACACCGGCGGACCACACCCGAAACCCAATTTGACCTGGGTCCCATATTGTCCCACTAGAATATGAATGGTCCCACTTCCAGAATATCAGCAAGCATGTGGGCACAGCGGCCGTCGGGGTTCTGACATACAAATGAGCTGCTCCGTGTTCTCTGTCAAAAAGGCCAAGGCGCGCGAAAATGCCGTCAATTTGGCATGTCAATTTGGCATGTCCCATGTCGGAAGTTTGTCCCAACAGCACGCTGTGCTCTGTCCATGTACATGTACTATACATGTACTGAGCTTTCTCCCCTTTTCTTTTCGAGGGCCCAAATACCACTTCTGAAACCCTTGAATATATGGGACCACCCTCTTTAACCCATCCAAACCCATGCACTCCCCAGGAACTTCCCAGCGCACTCGAATACGCCTAAGAGATGGGTATGGAAGCTGTGTCTATCGCCTTTGATAAGTTCACTCAACGTGAAACTAGAAGCAGCTTAGGGAGCACACCTCCTCTTCATCCCATGTGGACTCCAGAGGACAACGTTCATCACGCAGAGCACGCCATACTTGACCGGGCATTTGCTATGTTCATTGTTGTGTAGACTCCCAGGGGCTTGATACATGGTGTATAGTTCCCAAACACTTATCACCGGCTACCCAAACATATACAGTACGCTATGACACTTTTGAAGTTGTGCCGCCAATGACTATGTACACTTGATGCATGACAAAGACAGAAGAGGTATATAGTGGGTGCACATGGACCACTGTTTCCGATAGTGATGGCTAATAGGGTTGAGCTCCGACGAGAAGACTATAAGCGAAGTTACGCCCCCGAAGCCGGTTGACATCACGAAATTCTGCAACTCGGTGTCCAGCTCCGAGAACAGCTCGTGGTTATGGATGTGGTCAATCAAAGCGACAAGGCGGACATGATCGAACTTTCCGCTATCCAATGCCCGGTTTTTATACATCTCAACAGTGGCATCATAGAGGCGGTCCCCCGGGATACCTGTGTCCACAATCTCCAATACTCCTCCACCATTGTACTCCTCTGGTTCCTGCATCCAGAGCTCTTCCATGCCACCGGATCCACCTTCATCATACGTCCAATCCTCACGAGGAATATAGCAGAGGAATATAGCGAAGCAGCCGCATAGGATTTCGCTCATTCCATCGCGGAAGTAGCGTATTGTACGTACTGTTCGCAAGTCACTTTTAGCAAGCAGATTCTTTCCGGAAACTCCCAGGCGATTTCACGTTCCAGAGACCACGGGAGCTGCACGCGAATCTGTGTCAAACTAGGAAACGGTTCCCAGTCGTCAAATCAAGGTCGACCCCAGAGAGAAAGAGGGGGGCATTGCAAAAGCGAAGAAGGGACGCGTGGGCGTGTTCTCCAGTCGTGCCTGGTTTGAAATGGGCCCCTCCCACAACTGCTCCCAGAACGTCCGGATGCCAGACCCCTTCATTCGCAGTTTCATTCTACACTGACAACAGCAGCATCGCTCGGTTCCCACGGACTCATCACATAAGCTTACACTACTACACTCCTCAGCTGCTACCACCAACTGCCCACTGACTGAAGGTGCGACCCCAGCTGCCCCCTCCCCCGCTTTTCCCACGGCATTCTGACCGATCTACGCTTCCCCATCTCCGCAGTCTCTCTGCAACCATGGCTACTCCTATGGAAATTGCCTCGGTCGATGCGACCACCATCGATGAGAGTCTATATTCTCGCCAACTGTAGGTTTCCAATTTGTCGCTGCAGTTTGGGCGTGACGTGGAATGATCTAATGTCAAAACCTGGTGCCGTTTAGCTACGTCTTGGGACATGCTGCCATGGCGAGGATGAGCGCGTCTAATGTGCTCATTATTGGCCTTAAGGGACTAGGAGTCGAAATCGGTAGGCTGCCGGAAAGAAGTTCTGGTGGGGGCTCTTTATCTTGCTACCGCACCTGACCAACATCGCCCATAGCCAAGAACGTTATTCTGGCCGGTGTCAAGTCTGTCACTCTATATGACCCCAACCCCGTACAAGTCGCCGACATGTCGTCTCAGGTAAGAGGTCGCATGCATTCCTACACTTGCCCTTTGACCGAGGTGGTTGATTGTTCTCTTCCGCACACCGCACAGTTCTTCCTATACCAGGAGGATCTCGGCAAACCAAGAGCGGACGTTACATCTCATCGTCTCGCTGAGCTCAATGCCTACGTCCCGGTCTCAGTTCTTCATGGAGAGCTGACTCCGGAGCAGCTGTCCCACTACCAAGTGAGCGCCGGGAATGCATATATGATAAGAAAGTCCGCAGGCTCCAACTAAACCCCCTTTCATCGACAATAGGTTGTCGTTTGCACGGAAACGCCATTAGCGAAACAGTTGTCTATCAATGAAGTGACGCATAAGCTTGGAACAGCCTTCATTTCCGCAGATGTCCGCGGTCTATTCGGTTATGCCTTCGCTGACTTTGGCCCGGAGTTCACCGTCATCGACACGACTGGAGAAGAGGCCGTCACTGGGATTGTTGCCAACGTCTCTCACGTACGTAGCGTGAGCGGATCCTACTGGATTGTTTCTCCTCCGACTCACCGCAATACTCTCATCAGGATAAGGAAGGCGTCGTGGCGTGCTTAGAAGAAACCAGGCACGGACTCGAAGATGGAGACTACGTCACCTTTACCGAGGTTGTTGGAATGCCCGAACTGAACGGAATAAAGCCGAGGAAAGTTGAGGTCACAGGCCCGTACACATTCAAGATCGGAGACACATCCGCCTTTGGGGCATACAAGTCTGGGGGCATCTTCACACAAGTTAAAATGCCAAAAACCCTCAAGTTCAAGAGTCTGAAGGAGTCATTAGCGAATCCCGATCACGTCATCTCCGACTTTGCAAAGTTCGACCGGCCCGCCCAACTGCATCTTGCCTTCCAAGCGCTTGACGCGTTTGCGACGAAGCACAACGGGGAGCTGCCCCGTCCCAGGAACGAACAGGATGCGGCTGAGGTCCTTGCGATTGTGAAGGAGCTGAATGAGAAGGCGACCGACAAGGCTGAGATCAACGACGACCTGATCAAGGAGGTCTCTTTCCAGGCTCGCGGTGACCTGGCGCCCATGGGTGCTGTTATCGGTGGATTGGTCGCGCAAGAAGTGCTCAAAGCTTGCAGTGGAAAGTTCCATCCCATCTACCAATACTTCTACTTCGACTCCCTCGAATCGCTGCCCAAAGGCCTGAAACTGACGGAAGAGAACACTAAAGCCCGCGGCTCGCGTTACGACGGACAGATCGCGGTCTTTGGCACAGATTTCCAGCAAGTTATCGCCGACACGCGGGAGTTCGTCGTCGGCGCGGGTGCCATCGGCTGCGAGATGCTAAAGAACTGGGCCATGATGGGTCTCGGGACCGGCCCCAAGGGACAGATTTTCGTCACGGACATGGACTCGATCGAGAAGTCGAATCTGAACCGTCAATTTCTCTTCCGTCCGGGAGATGTTAGCAAATTGAAGTCGGAATGCGCCGCGGCCGCGGTGGAACGCATGAACCCTGATGTGCACGGAAAGATCACCTCCTTCCAGGAGCGGGTGGGGACTGAGACGGAAAACATTTTTGACGACAAATTTTGGGAGGGGTTGACGGGAGTCACGAATGCTTTGGACAATGTTGAGGCGAGGAAGTATGTCGATCGCCGATGTGTTTACTTTGCCAAGCCGTTGTTGGAGTCGGGCACGCTTGGAACGAAGGGCAACACACAGGTATGTCTCCGGATTTCTAAATGTGATCGTGATTGTAGGCAACAACTAAGCGTGTGACTATGTTATAGGTCGTCATCCCGTACCTCACAGAGTCCTACTCTTCATCACAAGATCCTCCGGAAAAGTCCATCCCCATTTGCACTCTGAAGAACTTCCCCAACGCCATCGAGCACACGATCCAATGGGCCCGTGACCTCTTCGAAGGCCTGTTCAGACAGCCAGCCGAAAACGTAAACCTCTACCTCAGCCAGCCCAACTACATCGAACAACTGATGAGCCAAGGCGGGAACCAGAAAGAGGGCATCGAAAGCATCGTCAACTTCCTTGTGACGGAGAAGCCCACCCTGTTCGAGGAATGCGTTGCTTGGGCTCGGTTCAAGTTTGAGGAGCTGTATTCGAATCAGATCAAGCAGTTACTGTTCAATTTCCCGAAGGATGCTGTTACATCTACAGGAACGCCGTTCTGGTCGGGACCGAAAAGGGCGCCCGATGCTGTTACTTTTGATCCCGAGAACGTAAGTTTGTGATCATATGATGTCTCATGCTGGTCAACCGCTTCTAATAATTGTCTCCAGTCCCTCCACCTTGACTTTATCATCACGGGCGCCAACCTGCATGCGTTCAACTACGGCATCAGGGGCCGCACGGACGAGGAATACTTCAAACAAGTTCTGAAAACGATCGACGTGCCGGAGTTTGTCCCCAAGGCGGGAGTCAAAATCCAGGTTCAGGAAAACGAGGCGGCTCAGGCTGGGCATGCTGGTGAGTAGCGGTCGATTTTCGCTTCTTCAATGCTTCTCGAAATTTCTTTGCTCAAGCCTCCGTTCACTCCCGTCCACTCAGACGAAGACGAACTCGACACTCTGGTCAAGTCCCTCCCCCCACCCTCCCACCTCGCCGGCCTGCGCCTCAAGCCGGTCGAATTCGAGAAGGACGACGACAGCAACTTCCACATCGATTTCATCACTGCCGCGTCAAACCTGCGTGCCACCAACTACGCCATCACGCTTGCGGACCGGCACCGGACCAAGTTTATTGCGGGCAAGATTATTCCGGCGATTGCGACTACGACTGCTTTGGTTACTGGGTTGGTTTGTTTGGAGCTGTACAAGGTTTGTACTTTAGAGGACGGTCTTGCTTTTGGGTTTTGGTTTGACGATTCTGATCCAACGCTTCCGCTGTCAGATTTTGGGAGGCGCCGACAAGATCGAGGACTTCAAAAACGGGTTTATCAACCTGGCCTTACCCTTCTTCGGATTCTCGGAGCCCATCGCCGCGCAGAAGTTGAAGGTACATTCCCATCCCCTCCCCCCTCTCATCCCCCCGCGTCAGTCACAATAATCAACACCCCCCTCTCTCCTCCAGTACCACGAAACAGAATTCAGCCTCTGGGACCGCTTCGAAGTACAAGGCGACGTGACCCTCAAGCAGCTAATCGACCACTTCAAGGAGAAGTACGAGTTGGAGATCACGATGCTGTCGTGCGAGGCGACTATGCTGTATTCGTTCTTTATGGCGAAGAAGAAGTTGGAGGAGCGGTTGACGTTTCCGTAAGTCTCTTCTTGCATTATCACGTTTTGAAATGTTTTCCCAGGGATGTTGTAACTTATTATTTGGTTTATGTACGGTAGGATTTCGAAAATCATCGAAACGATCCAAAAGAAGCCCATCCCCCCGCACGTCCGGGCCCTGGTGCTCATTGCGTGCGTGAACGATCGCGAGGGGGAGGATGTCGAGGTGCCGTATATTCGGGTTGTTATTCGGCCGTAGATTGTGTAGATTCCTTGGGAAGATCACAGGCTATGCTGGCTTGCGGTGATGTGAGACTCGCGTCCTGTAACGGAGTACGGCGCGGAGTACAGTACGGCGCTGTCTCTGGTTCTCTTCCGTACTTTATGTAGCTATAGCCCCCCCTTCTTCGTTGTGCTAGGGCTTTACCCTTCCTTTTTTTGTTGTTTCTACTCCCTTTTACGGTTTTTGTAACTGGTTGTACGCCTTTACCCTTTTGCAAAGATTTGACGTATGTAGATTGCTCCTGTTCCTGCTGCGTTTTTAATGCCATCGATCTCTCTACCGTGCACTTCAAACTCCATGGGGGGGTTGGGTGAACCTACTCACTTCAGGTTCTATCTCCGCCGAATGAGAGAAACACGGGCAAACCGTCTTCATCTTTTTCATGACCCCTCCTCCCTCCGTTCTTGGTTGGAGTGCATGCGCATGGCCCGGAATCGGGTAAAAAAGTATATTTCATAAACGGGGTCGTTCCATGCCCCGTCCGTAAGCAAAACGGGGGCTTAGATACATACAAAGGCGCCTCCGTGTCGTCGCGGGACCCCCTGGCGGAGAAGTGCCGTCCCGACTCCGAGGGATCACGGTCCGAACCTCCTCAGCACACACCCACCCCCCCCCCCCCCCCCCCTCCCTCACACACACACACACATAGACATATATGCCCAGCATTGCACGCAACCCCGCGGCCGGTCTAAGAGATCAGGATCTAGAAACCGGCGATCGGGAGTGTTAGCCAGACAGAATCCGCAGGTGTACGTCTCAAACGGCGCGAACGGGGGGGACCCAAAAAACGCACCATCCACCCGATCACGAAATAGAACAAGAAGATGGGATAGATCGCCAGCACGCGGCGTTGGTTCAGGTTCAGGTCCGAGAAGAAGCCTATGGAGGCTGGTGTGCCATCCGAAAAATTCGTAAGTGATTGATTGATGCATTGAGGAGGGAGTGGGGAGGGGGGGGGTGGTTACCGTAGACGGCCCAGAGAAAGGCGCCGAGGATGACAATCATGCGCACAAAGACGGGGCGGATGATCCCACAGACGATGGAGGCGATGACGAGGGGGAAGACGCAGTAGCCGAGGACGCAGACGGATTGGAAGAATGATCTTTGTGGTGGGTGGTGATGGGTTAGTGGTGGTGGGGGGTTGATGAAAGGATTGGGGGGGGTTTGTTGGGACACTTTTTTTACATTTTACCACCGAGGAGTTTGGCGTTCAATGTCACTGCTGCGGCGCCGCACCACAGGATGATGAAGATGGCAGTGAACATGCCGGCGGCTTGGTCGTTGGGGGCTGTTATGCTGAGGCGGCTGTTTTTGCGGGGGGAGATGCCAGGAACGAGGGTAAGCTGGGGTTTGTGAATGATGATATCTGCGTGGGGCGGTGGGGATCCCCTTACATGGAGAGGACGAGACATAGGAGTAGCGGGCCCCATAGATCCCCTGTGCGAAACGCAAGGGTGTCAGCTGATGCAAATGTGAGATGAGTGGTCCACGAAGCGAAAACGGACAATCTTTGAGGATATTCGTCGTATTCGGCCGAGGTAGCAGCACTTGTTTCAGCTTGGCCCAGATGTTCAGCAGATCGCGTCGCTGTAGCAGCGAAAGTAAACGTGTCAACAAGTTGCATGTAACTGCACACTCCATTCCCAGCAAAGTAACATACAATGGTCTCCCAAACAGGCTCGTCCAACGTATCCAGCGTCGGTCTCGGCTGTCCCTCCGCGTTCCCATACCCCATATGCCCCGTCACGGTCGGTGCACTGACAGGGATGGTGACCGACGACAGGTCCCCCGCAGCACCTCCCATCCCCGATGCCGGGCGAGCTGGTGATGGTGCACCGCCGCCGAAGCCTGTTTGTGATTTACCACTTGGGTTGTTGCTGTTGGGGTTGTTTCCGAGGGAGGATTGTTCGGAGGCAAAGTCGCCGAAGGTGTAGGGTTGGAAGTCGTTGGCGCCGCTGCCGGTGGGGTTGCTGCCTGTGCCGTAGGCGCTCATCTTGATATAGCGATATGGTGATATACGGGACTGATATAGTGTGAGGGAGGATAGAGTATGTACTGTATGTATAGGAGGGTTGTTCCAGAGGGCGATGGGCGTTGGTTGCGAGAAGGGCGAAGGAGGCCGCGCGCGGAAGGTGTTCCAACACTGCGGAGGGCACTATCTATTCGTTCTCCCACTTTCAGACCCCCATTGCGGCTTCCTATAATATACAACCACCGCTAGACTGCAGACTGCAGACGGCCGCTTTGCCAGGTCATAGCTCGTCGGCAGAAATCTGACCACCGCCCATCTTCGGTCTACGCGAACAGAACCCTGTCTCATCTTCGCGGGGAACCGGCCATCTTCTTACGCCTCTTCGCCAAAGGGAACATCTTCCGCCGAGCCAACGCCGCTGAAACGTTGCGATGGAAAGGTGCGTAGCAAAGAGACGGCTCACACTCAACTGCATATTCTTTTCGCACGGTTTTTACGCGTAGAGCTAGCTCTGCATATCGCCGTTCGCATATATAAAGGGTACGTAGATAGCGTTCCAACCTTCCCGTCCACCTCGGCAGATATGATGAGCACAACCCCATCGCGAGAATGCGGACGAGGACGTAGACTATAGACTCTCATGTTGCCCAGAAGCGACGAGTTTCGGAAACCACTACCGGAGAACAGCTCCACATCTCTATGACCATGGCCCGTTTCGACAAAGTCGTCTTCCATCTCTTACGCCGTGGATAAGGCCGTGAATGGAGTCGACCGTCCGTATGCCTTTGGATGGATTGATGGACACCAGTTCTTCACCCTCGCCGAATCAGTCTGCCATCAGCACGCCCCCAAAACCACCCACTTCTGAAACCTCGGCATCGACTTCTCCGTCTGGCCCAGCTTCCCCCGCCTACGCACAGTAGCAGGCCACGCCGAACAACTCAGCGAAGAAAGATGGTGGAGAGTCGCGAGCATAAGGAGCGTGTGGATTTGGGGATCACGTTGACGAGCAGGAAGTTTGATGAGGTGCGGTGTAGGGCGATGCCGCCGCGTTATAGGTCGTTTCGCGATTTACAAGGACAGCCGGTGCCTGAGGTGGAAGATTGGAAAAAGGTAGAAAAGTTTTCCTTCTTTCTTCCTGGGCCGCGGCGGACAATCGCAAATGTAAGATCAACGGAGATGCGCTGTACATAAAGGTGGGTGGAACGGAGAACAGTTCAAACATTTGACATGAGATTGGATGGCGGGAGGCGATGTAACTTCAAAATCCCAGGAACGCAGACGGAAAACGGGGGTGCAGTTCAGTCATCTTGTAAATAAGAAAAGATACATTTCAAAAAACATATTTCCGGCGTCAAGCCGTCGGATTTCGCATCCAAATCCCTCACAAATTCTCAGGTCAAAATGCCCCCCCAAAAAAACAACCTCTCTCACCCCCTTCCCTCAGCCCCCCTCTCCCCGACCCTAAACTCCCTATCCCTCTCGGCACTCATCACATCGCGTTTCGAGAACGAGTTGTTGTCCCCCGCGCTCAACAAGTCCAACGTGCTCTTGCCCTTCCCATCCTTCTTCTCATCGTTTGCGAATGAGTAGAGGTTTTGAGTCGACGATGAAGGGACGGAGGTGGTGATGGACGAGAGAGAGAGGGAGGATTGCCGGATGCGGTCGGGGAAGTAGGCGAGGGGGGAGGAGGGGTGGTCGGGGTTTAGAAGGCCTGTTTTGGTGTTGCGGGTTAGATATGGGGAGGGGAGGAAGGGCAGGGAAGGTGGGATCGTGACGTACCTGTCCAGGAATCTTTTGTGGCGGATGCGACGGGGTTGGCCAGTGGGTTCGACATTGCGTTCTTTTTCCGGTTGTGGTGGTAGTAGTAGTCTGGGTTCGATGGATGTTTGCTTTCTCCAGCTGAGGCACTTGTTGCATAAACAACAACAGCAACAAGCTCAACCGAAACCACATGGATGAAAGCCACGACGCCCCCATTGTTTGCGCGCTGTCGATATCCCGTCAAAGAATCATCCCGACTGGCTACGTAATCCCTTCCGATGCCCCGATTTTTTTCGGCGACGCAAAGCCTCGAATCGACTCCAACCTCACACCGATTAACAGCATCGCAAAATCCGAGCAAGAAGAAATACCCCGGAGAATCCAACCCCCGCCCCACCCTTCCAAAAAAAAATGTCAGACCCCGACCGCCCCAAATCCGCCGTCCCCCCCAGCTCCGCCGACGGCGCCAAACCCACCAAAAAAGGCAAGAAGAAAACCGGCAAGAAAAAACTCCCGGCCATCCCGCGCGACATGGCGCTGAATGCCAAGGGGGAGCTGGTGCCGAGTCGGGAATATGTGTTAGAGCAGACGTAGGTGTGTTTGATTTGCGGGGGGGCTATTCGGGAAAGTGCGGTGATGGGTTAGGACTGACTTGGAACTGTACCGTTTGGTGGGACGGTAGGTTGGAGGCGACGAGCAAGAGTCTGGATTCGTATCGGGAGCGGATGACTGGGTTGTACGTATCGGTTTTCGATTTCAGTGTTTCTGTCATGCAATCATGCGGGACATGGGAATGCTGGTGGGGCTGATTGATGCTGGGGATTCCATGATAGAGTGCATACAAACGAAGACCTCCAAGAAGCCCGCGAGCAGCAGGAAAAAGATGCGGTATTTATCCCCCCTCCCCCCCCCCCCCCCCCCCCCGGCCCCCTCCCTCCTAACCAACCCCCGTATCCCACTCTCCCATGTTTCAAAGCTGGACGTCATCTCCGCCCTCCACCGCGAGAACGAAAAACGCGAGCTGCGAATCAAAGAATTACGCGAGAAGATGGAGGAGAGTGCGCGGTTGAGTGCGGAGGAGAGGGGGGAGTTGATTGAGGAGTATGAGAGGAAGATATCAGGTGGGAGCGAGCCGCGAGGGGGGAGGGGGAAGGCGCGGAGGGGTGAGTTGATGATTTTTTGCTTAGATCTGTCGACGATGATGGCGGAGAAGGAGGCGGCGTATAATGTGATGCAGCAGGAGTTTTCGACCATTAAGGATTTCCGGGTGAGTTTCCACCCGTTTTCTGAATCGTAACCTCGCCAAAAAAGAAAGTACCAACTGCGGCATGTTTGCTTCCTAGAAAAAACGGCACGACCTCATCAAAGAGCTCGAGCAGCAGAAGATCCTGTTGACGGATACAGAGCGCCGACACGGCGAGACGGTGGCGCGGATGGAGCGCAAGTTTTTTGAGGAGAAGATTCGGCTGCAGAAGGAGGCTAATCGGAAGATTTCTGAGCTTGCTACCAAAGCCCACAAAGTACGATTTTCATCCCCCCATCTACGTTTTCACCCTATCCAGAAGGGACTAACACCGCCCCTCAGGAAGCAGTATCGAACCTAAAAGAAACCGAGAAAGAAGTCTTCCGCCAAAACATGAGGATGACGGAAGCGCTCCGGTACCACGTACAGGAAGGCGAGGAGCTCAATAAAGCGAACGCGGAGCTAGTGCTGACGAACAAGCAGCTGCTGGAGGAGAAGAATCTGCATGATGTGATGGTCAAGGAGAAGATTTTGCAGAATAAGCAGCAGAGTAAAGATGTATGTCAACAACCCTTCCTGCAGTTTCGGAATGTGGAGAGCGGGTGGGGCAATTGATAGATTGTGAATTGCGCAGATAAAAGAACAACAACAAAAGATCCAAAGCCTGGAACATACCCTCTCGCACGTCGTCCGCGAGTTCGAGCGGGAACGAGATATCATGGCGCAGCGGGCGCAGCGCGAGCTGCAGGAGGTGCGGACGATCGCGGCGGGGTTGAAGGAGAGTTTGGATCGCAAGTCGAAGGAGATGAGACATATCAAGGTTTGTGTCACTTGTCCCTGGGGTGAAACATAGTTCTCAGATTTCTGATGGACTTTTGGGATGTCAACAGAGACTAGCACAACATATCCTCGACCAACGCACGGATCTCGAACGGTTCTTCATGGATGCGCTCGACCACGTGCGGGGCGAGATCGAGCAGGAGCAGGAGAACGCAAAGAAGGCTGTGCAGGCGGAATACACACGGCGGATGAAGGCCGTAAGATTCTCTCACACTACAGATAACCTGCCTCCCCCGAAAATCTGACCCGTTTCCCTTTACAGATCCTAACAAGTAAAGGCATCCCAACCCCACAACCCACCACCGACGCCAAAGCAGGCGCCCTGCCCGCCTCAATCATCATGCCCTTACCCGCACCACCTTCACCAGCGGCCGACTCCGCACCCGCCCGCGTAGACCTCTCCGACCTTACATGGGCCGACAAAGAACGCATCATGCGTCTCTTGTTTGCACGCATGAATGGTGTGTCGCTTGTCGGCAAGACCGGGGGGAATTATGCGGATGCGCCGCCGCCTGCATCGCTTCACACCAGTAATGGGACTGGGGAGAGTCATTCCGCGGCTGGTACGACCCATCTCCCGGCACCATCGCACCACCCAGCACACCACCAACACCATCAAGCAGAGAACACGCATCACATCCCGCGAAACTTTAACACGGACTTGGACGACGACGATGGGAGTGGGAATGATGCGGGCGATGAGGAGGCGCTCATGCCTGTGATTGTTACTGAGGAGTTTGGGAAGGAGGGCGAGGCGGAAGATGAGGGGGCGGTGGGGATGGGGCTGGCTTTGCCGACTTTTGTCATCAGTTAAGGTGGTCGTTTGGGTCCTAGTAAAATGATGACTCTCATGACATTTGCTAGAAGGAAAAAGACATCGATGTGAAGGTGAAGAGGAATGTGGGATGTTTTTCTTTTCAGTCTCGGTGGCGACATCCGGTCAGAATCGGACACACGAGTTGGCCGACTTCGAACGTTCAGCCTGTGCATGCTCGCCTGCCCGGCTCCAGATCCAGCTCGAGTGATTTCCAGTTCGGCCGCCAGCAGAGGGACTAGGCTTCCCCACTGGCAGACCCTCCAGATGCAGGCTGCGAGTGTACATACATATACAGTATATAAGGGTGCTGCAACGTCTTTGTGCGTCCTGTCAGTCTGTTCTCGGTGTCGAAGATTCCCGTCAGCAGATTGAGCCCAGAGGCTTCGTGACGTCCGCCCTTCGCAATCCTCCCTCCCGACATCGCTCTCATCCCAACCAAGGCCAGACAGAGATCGCAACCAAGCATCCCCCACACACTCCCAACACAAACCCTCATCACAACCACGCCCACCGCAACAAAATGCCCGTCGACACGTCCAACCCCACAAAAGTCATCCTCACCCACAACACCTCCACCGCCGAAATCTACTACTTTGGCGCAACCCTCACATCCTGGAAACCTCACGGGACCGAACGCCTCTTCCTTTCCTCCAAGGCTATTCTCGATGGCTCCAAAGCCATCCGGGGCGGAATTCCAATCGTAACTATCCTCCCACTTCCATCACGTGCCGAAACTGGGAAGTCCAACTGAACGATCTCCACAATCTTACTTTATTATCTTAGGTGTTCCCGCACTTCGGCACCATCCCCTCCTCCAAACTCCCGCAACACGGGTTCGCCCGCAACTCGCTCTGGAAACTCGACGGCATCCCATCCGAATCCACCACCGAAACCACCGTAACCCTCTCCCTCTCCCCGGACTCCGTGCCGCCCAACCTCCGTGAACTGTGGCCGCACGCATTCCACCTCGCCTACACCGTGACCCTCACCGACGGCGAGCTCAAAACCGCCCTCGGGATAACCAACCCCTCCCCCGCCGCGTGGGACTTCACCACCCTGCTGCACACCTACCTCCGCGTCGGCGACATCGCCCCGGTGCGCGTCGCGGGGCTGCACGGGGTGCCGTTTGTCGACAAGGTGGCGGCCGAGGGGGAGGAGGCGACGGCCGTCGAGGGACGGGAGGCTGTGAGCGTGGCGAGGGAGGTGGATCGGGTGTATGGACCCGTGCAGAACGATGAGCTGGTGGTGAAGGGGACCGGGGTGGGCGATGGGACTGTCTTTGTACATAAGCAGAACTTCCCGGATGTGGGTGAGTTTGCCGGACGAAAAGAAACGGGTTTTGCGTTTCCCCCCTTTGCGGGATATGCTATTTGGAAGTGTGACTGATGGCCTGGACATGTTCTCTCCACACACAGTGGTATGGAACCCCTGGATCGAGAAAGCCAAAGGCATGGCCGATTTCGCCGACGACGAGTACCACAACATGATCTGCGTCGAGGTACGTCCCCACCCCTTCTTCCCATTCCCAGCATGGAACCCTCACCCGCATCCCCCGTCCATCTCGCTTTTTCCCAGGTCGGCCACGTCTCAACACCCGTAACCCTCGCCCCCGGCCAAACATGGCAAGGCTCGCAGACCCTCGGCGCCCGTAAAGGCGCCGCGTTGTGAATGAATGGATTCCGATGGCGAGCGGCGCTCTATATTGTATATACCGATTCATAAAAGAACGTTGCGAAAAAGCCTCGGGAAATCAGCTCCCAAGGCGTAGTTTCCGCTCGTCCCATAGACTCGGATGAACCCCTCCTCCCATGTCCGCATTTTCGCATAAGAAAGAAAAAAAACGACGTATTGCGACCAAAACGGATAGATGAAAAACTTGGGGGGCGTTGTGCTTCATTTTCCAAAAAAAAAAAAAGAGAATGTATGATCGAAAAAACCTCCCAAAAATGTTGTAATGAAATAACCAATCGCAACACACAGAATATCTAATGAGTCTATCCCGCAGGGGCAAGTCACAAAAAAGGGGGAGGGGCGGGCGGGGGTTCATTATATACAGTTTATGCCCGGGGCCGTGGTGGGTTACTTGTTAAGGAGGTCAGCAAGAACGCCGAAAAAACAAATGCAGCAAGGGTGAATGTAAGGCCGGTTGGTGTCGGGGCGGACCGAAACGAAAAGGAACCGGTGAGGTAAAGGCCAAGCAAAGCGGGGTGGGGTGTCACGACGCTCCGACTTTCTTCAACCCGGCCCCCCTCGCGATCCTCTCGATCGTCTGTTCCTTGACGACCTTCCCCGCCGCCTGGCCCAGCCCATCCACAACAATCGCAGCGTCAGGACTGAAAGTGGTGAGAACCGTGCGGGCGGCGCTCAGCAGCCGCCGGCCGAATTTCCAGATTTGGAACCAGAGCCAGAGTGTGAAGCCTAGGACTGCGGAGGAAAATAATAAAAGTGAGTTCAGATGCGGGGCGGGATAGGGAAGAAGAGGATGCGGTGGGGGGTACGGGAAGCAAAAAACAATACGTACATCCAAGCAACCAAGCAATAACCGAATAGTACCAATCCTCAAACGACCCCAGTGTATTCGGCGTCCCCTCGATCTGCTGGATGGCTTCTTCCATCACCTTCAACTGCCGCGAGATGTCTTCCGTGACTTCTTGCGTCATGGCGTCTAGGCCGGTCACCATGGCGCTGACGTGGGTGTGTGAGCTGTACGGGATGAATTGAGTGGGAGAGATTGCATTGTGTCAGTGGATTTAGGGGCGACATGGAGGGGAGCGACGCAAGGGGGGAACTCACCCAGAATTGGAAGCAGCGATATCCTGGCATTTGGCATCCATAGCATCCAATCCGGCCCTCACAGCCTCCAACATGATCCTTAACCTGTCCTCCTCCGTGTCCATTCCCTTCTCAAATCCCGTATCAAACTTGGCGTCGACGTCCGTAGAGTTTTGGAAGATATGCGGCCGGTGGTCGTTGACGTCGTGTGAACTCGCAGAGCGCAGGATAAGCGGTATATGCGCGTCCCCGGTCGTGACAGCTTCGAGATTAGCAGCCGAGGACGCGCGCGAGGAGGAAGGAATAAGCGCGGCAGGTGACCAGCGGAGTGTGAATTGAGCTTGAGCGGCGATTCGGTCCTGCGATATCATCACAAGATATAAGTATCAACACACAGGGTGCAACCCACAGCATTGTGAACGAGACAACCTACCTCAACAGCCCCCCTGAAATCCTGCACACCAATAATCATCACATCCATGCGTCCCGTCAACGCCGTCAGGGCTTCCACCCACTCCGATTCCTCAGCTGTCAAGGGTGACTCCGGGTCGCGTTTCGATGGATACGTCCGGGTCTCCTCCGGGGAGGCGGTGCGGCGGGTATTGTACGCATGCGAATGGGACTGCGGTCGACCGCGATGCCCCCGGTCATGCTCCTCGTCGCCAGAGGTGGCGGAGGTGCCTGCGTCGTAAGCGGGGTTGTTGGTAATTTCGTTGGGACGTTTCTTGGTGCGGTGGAAGCGGTGGGGTTTGGGTGTGGTTGCTGTGCCGCTGCGGTGTGCGTCGTCGCTTCCATGTTGGGAGTTTTTGCCAAGGGAGGTTGAGGAGGCGTTCATGGAGCGGTTGCCCATAAAAGTTCGCTGGGTGAGATGAGGATAGAACGTAAGCTTAGTTCCGTTGCCCCGCTATGATAACAATACGTGCACCGGAGAACACGTTCCACGCTCGCAAGTGGTAATATGCTCAACTCACCATCAACTTCCTCCTCTTCTTGACCTTCTCCGGCGCCTCCAAATAAGTACTACTTCCACTCTTCGACCTCACCATCGCCTTCCCGTCCCTATCCTCCTCCCCATCCGTACTACTACTCTCATACGCCCACAAATGCCCCTCCTCAACCTCCGCCGACGTCCGGCGATCTTTCTTCCCCGGTTTACTCTTAGCGTCGTCGGCAAACACGGCGTCAAAGTCGGAGGATAGGCCGCGATGGTGGCTGCTTCCGTCCAAGCCGCTGTCCGGGTTGGTGGTTTCGCCCCACAGTTTTTTGCGACCGATTTTGTCGATCATGCCTTTTAGACGGCCTGAGGTTGGGCCCGCGGTGCGCTTATCGGCCTCGTCGGTGTCCGAGCCGAGACTCTCGTCGTGGAAGAGGGTGGGTTCCGTGGCGTTGCGGGCGGCGTTCAGCATGATGCGTTTCGATAATAGGCTCGGGGTATGTTCGCCGCTAGGCGGCAGCGAGTCATGATCGCCTTTATTTGTCCTCTGCTTGTCGCGCCACTCGGCCTCATTATATGATTGGGACCGCTGGGGAGCGAGGTGTCCCAATCTGTTCTTTTTCCCCAACTGCCTGGCTGCACCAGCGCTCTTTGCACCCCCGCTCTTCCCAACCGCTTTGACGTCGATGGTGAGGTCCAAATGGTTGTAGCTCTCCATCTCGCTCTGCGAGGTCGCTGGCAGGTCGTTCGGAGGGGCTTCCGACACCGCGTTGGCAGCCTGCTTCAGGGGGCTCGGGGCACGCATTTTCGGGCCGGTGCGAATGGACCCATCAGCAGATTTGAGCGTGCGCGGGGATCCCTGCCGTGAGCGATCGGTGTCAATGCTCTCCTTTGCATCCGCACCAGTCTCCGCGTCGTGCATGGCCGTCGTGGCGTTGATAGACACGGACTGCCTCCTGATCCGCGTGTTGATGAGATGTTCGACGGTCCCCGCCAGGCTCTTCTTCCGTTCCAGGTTCCCCAGGTCGGACGATGAGGAGCCCGCGCCAAAGCCGCTGATGACATCGGCCTTTTTGTCGCGGAGACGATCCCAGAAGGCGGATTTTTTTCGCTTGTACAGCCGTGTAAGGGATTCCCGCTGCTCGCCGGTGGATATGTCCTCGACGCTTTTGCGTTGGTGTTGCTCAAGATCCATTTCCGAGGCGAGGTTGGATACGGAGGATGCTGTTGTCTCCAAAGAGAGCTTGCCTTCCGGTTCCGACCCATCTGAGAGGTGCTTGGAGAAACCGGATCGCTGATCCGCCATGGAATTCCGGAGTGAGTTCTCCCCAGATACGAGGCCGAATCCCGCATCAGATAACCGGCGATCCTTTTCCTCCATCCCTTGCCGCGGGCTATCGTCTCCCCGCGAGTCCCCGTCGCCCGAACTGACCGCCCCCGTCAGGAACTGGGCAAACAGAGACGGACCTCCCGTATTGCTCTCCATCCCACCTGCTGGGCTGACACGTTGCGCTGCGCCTTCCATCGAGTCCATCGAGTCCACTGACCGACGGTCAGACTTCAACCTGCGGGTATCTTCGTCGCTGCGGGATAAGCGACGATCGAGTGGCGGACGGTCCGACTCTTCATCCGAGCCGCGAGACTTTTTGCCGCGAGCGCGCCGCCACCGCTTCTGCAACCCTCTCACAACAGTCCCGATCCCCTCATCCATCGATTCGACCGAACTCTGTGCGGAATGGTCATCCGTCTCATACTCCATGTCGGAACCGTTGGGCTTTTCGCCATAGAACTCTGTCAGCTCGCTGTTCCCGACAAGCCAGGTATAGTACCGCAATTTCCATCGCTTTTGCTCCTCTGCGCCGGATCGGACTGCACGTTGCCACATCGTCCGACGCCATCGGATGATCTGCAACGGGTTATATGGGGTGTCCTCCTTTGCCAGGACGACGGATATCTGGTTGTAGCGGGTTTCTAGATACGCTTTGCAACGAGCGGCGCGAAGAAGGGTCTCCGGCGAAGCTACAAATTGCGGATCAGCTGGGGTGGGTTGACTTTCGGCAGCGGTTTCTGGGGATTTTGTGACGGCGGCTGCGACCGGCGCTGCTGGACCGTTTTCCGGCAAGGTCGCCAGATGATTTTCGTCGGCGGTCCGACGGGAGGATCTGATGGACCGACGTGGTTCCATAATAGCATTGGTAATTACAGTTGCACCGAGCGTCTTGTCGGCCTGTGCTTTCTCGAGGTATTTTTGCGAAGCTATGTCCATAACTTGAAGTACATACGGATCATCATCTGGCACGCTTGAGAGCAACGAGCTTAGAGGCGGGGTCCCCGGGTTCGACTCGATCTGCGAGAAGCTGGTAACGCTCTGGCGGGAGTCGTACGAGGAATGGGAGATGACTGATTGTGGGTATCCGGACGAGACGCTTATGGCCTGAGAAGTCAAGGATGGCCGTCGAAAACGCATAGAATACGCCGGCATAGAGGCGTTTGGTGGTGTCAACAAACCGGACGGGTAGGTATCTACAGTCAAGCCGATATTTACAGGGCTGCCTCCACTTTGAGACACATTGCGAGTAGCGGGAGCGCTGGCGAAGGGCGAATCGCGATCGCGGAGATGTGAGGGAAGATGGTGAGTCCCGTAGGACTGCCCTCCCATACTCACGTGCCGATTGAGAGGTGACCCTTGGGGTCTCCGTCGTCCTGACCCAGTAGATATGCCCTCTGCCGCATAGGAGAACCGACGGCCAGCAGCGGGATCCTCGTTTGCGACTGAGATGGGTGCTTGCGATGTTGCTGCCACCGTGGACGGCGACGCTTTGGAGTCCCTGGCGCTATTCTCAGTGGGGACAGTTGGGGCGTGAGAGAGTGCGCCAAGGGTTCGACCGGATGGAGAGAGTGTGAGCCCGCGCGGAAACTCGTAACTGGTTCTGTCATCTTCGGAGCTGGATGGTGGGACGGTGGCGATAGTGGGGATGGGTAATGGTATTGGTATCTGTAGTGGCGAGGCTGCCGCGGCTGGTGGTTGTGTGGTTGCTGTGGGAGTTGGGGAGGGGGCGGGTGTTGTAGTAGTGTTTCTCGTGGCCTTTTTCCCCATCTCCCGATCATGTTTTGGTGGACGATGAGAGCAGCTTCAGCGGGCAGGCGGCCGGGGACGTTTGCGAAGAATCCTCTGGGGGGGGGGGGGGGGGGGGGGTGGGGGTATAACGATCTCTTGCCTACGTACGTGAAGTGGCCTACTGTCCGTATGAAGCAGCAGTGGGTTCTTGGTGGGCGTGGGAATATTGGGGGTTTGCGGCGAGACGAGAAACAAGAGAAGCACGCAGCGGAAGGGGCGATTGACGGCATCATGGATGATTCATGCTCTTCGAGAGCACTCGCAACCCACGTGTATATGTATAATAAGACTTGCTTACTTTGCATGCCTTTCTCTTGGGACACCGGCGGGTATGCATGTGCATAAATACAGTCATACCTACTATATGTACAATAATGTGCCTTTCATGTTGTTCTGCACGGGGGGCGTCCGATCCAAGAAGAGGAGGAAAGACGCAGAGCCCAGCCTCGCCCAGCGCCTCGCCTTTCCGCAACGCGTCTGGGACGTCATCAAGCCTTCGTGCGCTCGTTCACCTGAGAGCACTCCCTCGAAATGGGCGCTGGGAACGACGGGCTTGGAAGATACCTGGCAAATCCAATGATGAAGATCACCGTCACCTCTGATGTCTAGTATCGATCTATGGATTCATTTCACACGAGAAAATGGCGGGGGGACAAGAAGGACGGCATTTGAGCTATCCCTCGTCACTCTGTCGTCACATCAGGCAATGAACATGAATCGTCCCTTCAGAGTTCTTCCCCTCCCCTTTCGAGAGCGGTATGCATATAAAAGGGGGCGGCAAGGGTGTCCTCACCGCCCGTCGTCCAATCCCACATTGGACGCAGAAAGATAGATAGATGCTCCGCACGTTAACTCGCAGCATCCGAACTACAAAACCCACTCCTATTCGTGCATCCCACTTCAAATCCATCTCCCTCTTCACCCTCACCCCAACACGCGCAATGTCCTCCTCCAAAGCAAAGGACACAACCGCCTATCCCCAACCAGGCCAGGTACCGCCGCAAACCCAACTGCACCACGACCAACCCGGACTCCAGTCAGAGATGACTCCCAAGCCTAATGATACGGAACTGGAGGCGGAGAATAAGGGGTTGGAGGAGTATAGGGGGAGCGGGAAGTTGGAGGGGAAGGTGGCGTTGATCACTGGTGGGGATTCCGGTGGGTATTGAAATGAAGCACTGAGGGAGTTGTAGTACGCGAGCGGAGCGAGCGAACAATCATCTTATTACACACGCATCGTGCTTGATGATGGTTGACGTTGGCTGATTCGATGGGCGGTGGTGAATGGGTCGATGGTTGATGGTTGACGTATTGATGTACACATCCATCGCTCTCCTCCTCCCCTCAGGAATCGGGCGCTCCGCCGCCATCATGTTCGCGAAAGAAGGCGCGAACGTCGCCATCGCCTACACGCCGCAAGAAGAACAGGACGCGCAGGAAGTCAAGCAGCGGATCGAGGCTGAGGGGCGTCAATGCTTGTTACTGGTACGTTCCCACCACCCATACGGCCCACCACCGCACCGCATCTGATGCCCCGTTCCTCCCTTCGTTTAGCCCACCGACATCTCCATCGAACAGAACTGTTCAGACATCGTCTCCCGCACCGTCTCGACCCTCGGTCACCTCGACATCCTAGTCAACAACGCCGCAGTCCAATACATCATCCCCGACATAACTCAGCTCACAACCGCCCAACTCGAAAAAACATTCAAAACAAACATCTTCTCCATGTTCTGGCTCGTCAAGGCCGCCGTGCCCCATCTGAAGACGGGCGCGAGCATCATCAACACGACGAGCGTGACGGCGTACAAGGGGAGTCCCAGTCTGCTTGATTACAGTAGCACGAAGGTACGTTCATGGGGGGGAGGTGTAAGCACGTACGGCAGATGAGAATTGACGCTTGTGATTTTTCGTATAGGGCGCGATCGTCTCCTTCACCCGCTCGCTCGCCCTGCAACTCGCCCCCAAGGGCATCCGCGTCAACGCCATCGCCCCCGGTCCCATCTGGACGCCTCTCCAACCCGTCTCGCGGTCCGTTATCCCTCCCCTCTCGTCTCTCCCCCCCTTCCATCCCCCTCACACTAACTCAACCATTTCTATTCGTAGATCGGAGGAAAGTATCAAGGAATGGCAGGAAAAGACCCCCCCGCTCGGCAGGATCGGGCAGCCGGCAGAGTGTGGGCCCAGCTATGTGTTTTTGGCGAGTAAGGAGGGGAGCTATTACACGGGGCAGGTGTTGCATCCCAATGGGGGGCAGTGGTTGGGTGGATAAGAAGAGGTGGAGAGAGAGGGGAGGGTTGAATTGGGAGGCGCGGAAGGTTTCTTTTTCCCGCTGTTCTTGTATATTTGTTTCCGGAATTCGAAATCTACTGCTGAGCTTTGACCAACATGGCGGAGTTTGAGCATAGGGCAGAAAGGACGAAGGAAAACTAGGATTCACAAAGAGCAGTAAACACCCGCAAACTGTAAAGCAAGCTCAAGCCGGGGGGGGACGCTCGGGACGTGCGCAAGCAGCAGGCCCTCCGCTGGCGAGCGCATCCGATCCCAACGACCGACTGCCCTGCACGGTCGACAGCTCGCGTTGACCGTGTCCTGCCGGGTTTCCCTCTCTTCGCGCATAGCCCACATAGCTTAACCCACATAGCTTAGTGCACATAGCGACCGTAGATGAATAAATGCGTTCTACAGCGGCTTGCCATTCCTCATCTTCCTTTTTGTTCCCCAGATCCCCACTGCGCGAAGCAAGGAAGGATCTTCTCGATATCGTATTCGGCGTCGTCGTGCGGTAGTAATTGCGCTTCGATAGTGGCGCTTCGTTGATGGGTTACATCGCGAGCACTCGAAGATATGCCGCTCTTTTATTCGCTGTGAGCAGACCCAACGTCAGATACATGCGGGGATACACGAAACTGAGCTTGAACGTTCGCCACTTGACGGCAGCTGAGTGGGTGTTTTGAAGGCGTTGGGCATCAGAACATATATGCGGAATTGTACATCCGTCTCCGTCCAACGATCTTCTTCCTCGTTCAGCAACTCGCTCCCAGTGGTTGCATCCCCACCTTCCGTCTCCCCGTGTGACGTCCCCTCCTCCTCTGCCTCCCAGTCTTCGGTGCCGTCGTCATCATCGTCGTTGTCTTCAAAGTTCATCTCTTCCCCCTCCACCGCTTCAAGATTCTCCCCCGTCTCCTTCGCATTCTGGTAGCGGGCCTGGTGATGTGCGACGAGGGTCCTCAGGTGGCGGCCTGCTTCATCCGAGTCCGCACCCTCCAACGCCCGACGGCGAATCTTACAGCGTGCTCGCAGCGACGCCTTCTCTTTCTCACACACCGGGCCAGCTCCTCTTTTGCAAAGCTCCAATTTGTCATGGTCCCGCGCCCCTCGTCTTCCTGGTCTCCAGGGGCAGCGTTGAAAGGCCAAACTCGTGGGACGGCACGTACAGTTTTTCGCCATTCTGCCCCGTGTTGGATGCCTTCCCATCCAGCGTATGTCTTTACCGACAGAGACCGATGGTGATGTTTTTCCTCGGCAGGCCCGGACTCGTCACTCCCGTCCCAACCCTCCACCTGAATATGGCTAGATCCGGCCGCCTCAGTCCGCATTCCGGCACTATCATGGCATGTCCCCTCCACCAGCGTGCTCCCGCTCTCGCTTTGTCGAGATTGAACGCGAGGTTTCTCGTCCTGTGTCCTCTCGACAGATGTGCTTCCGAAAAGGAGTTCCATCTGAATGAACAACGGCCAGTGAGATATCTAAACTGTCTCGTTTCGCTGGATCCGGGTGAATGGGTTCATCTTCATCTGTGACAAACGCCTTGAAGGCTTCAGCTGCTTGTCCTTGCTGATCATCCCGCCCCTTGAGAATGACTTGAACTTTGTGACCTATCACTATAGCTATCCATCCCCACATCATGAGTCAATAGGCAACTTTGAGGATTGACCAAATATGGGGATGGATAGCTACAGAGTGATAGGCCCCGACTCTCCTCCGCGAGCAAGTCCATTTCACCGCGACCGTTTCGTAACCGGGACGCCCAAGATCTGGCGGCACTCAGCTTTAGACTCTAGCAGCTTGGTGTGCTGCTCCGACTTCCCCCCGAGGAATAGCCAGTTTCCCGCCAAGTATCTGGTGCAGCGTTCGAGTGTTGTCCAGCTCAACAGCCAGGCCTGTACGTGCTTTCTCGACTGGGCCAGCTATTCCAGTAGTAGACTGCGTCATTTTGCTCGTCGATCCAAATGTTGCGTTTCTTCATCCGCGTTTCGAAATACCACACTTCGGCGTCCGTTGCTTCATGTCCCCTCCTCAGCCGGCGATGACTATGTAAGAAGCCACCTTGTTCAGCTCCTCTGCCTTTCACGGAAATTGCGTGACTTGACGTCTCTTCACCACCCAACCGCTGAACGCTGGGTCCCAGTTGTGGGTGCGCCAATAGTAGAACCGAACTGCAGCCCAGTTTGGCTTCTTGAACTCGAGGCACCATTGTCGTAGAAACAGAATCCCCGCTGCATATCGTTGAGCTGGTCTTAACCTGCATCCCAGTCTGACCACTGACCATCCCGCAGACAACGCTATCGTGATAACAACAGTGGCACGGATATCCTCTGTGCTGCTGTCCGCATTTTCATACCCGATCCAACTACACCCCTGTCGCGCGGCACTGGACTCGATCCTAGCATATTTTTGATCGCCCATCTTGTGTCGCTTTGTCAAGGAAGTTATTTAAGCTAATCCTAATCCCCAGTACGACTAGGGCCGTGCCACATGTCACTCTGCGTTCATAAACCATCAACGCTTCCCAGTATGTCGTCCAAGGTCCTTCGTCCGACGCCCACTATGAAATAGGTGAGTGAAAGTTTCCAACCGCTCTGTTGATATTGACCATCTTCCGCACATCATCAGACGTGAGGCGTTTAACGTTCTGCGGGGCTTTGAGCTTCCTGAACTTGTTTGAACTGGCGGTTCAACTCCTCAACCCTTCACGGACTCGGTCAGGTTTGGCATGTCGGCCAATACTTCAGGGTGATTGAACGGTCGTCCATGAAAGGCAGTGACGAGAAATACGCTGTCTGCAAATGGCGACCGCTTGTAAGATTGCACGTTTCTTCGCCTCGACCGTGCGAACGAAGTTAGCCTCGGCTTCGGCGACGTCCGCGAGGGCGTTGTCGGTGGCCAGGTCCACCTCCGTGTTCGTGCGTGAGATCCAGCTTCAGACCGTAAGGCTCCGGGCAGTTCCTCCATTGAAACTGATTTCGCTTTCCGTTTTTTCTTGCAATTGCTATTGTGACAGCGAATTTCGAATCCCGGTTTCGACAGGGTGAGATAAATGTGGTTGCCGGAGTGTTCCCGCTTTGCAACTAAATCTTGCTCGAATTCCGTAATTCGAGGATTGGTGTAAGGGGCGAATCGTCCGCCACGACCGCCACGACTACCTCGACCGCGACTGGCTCCACGGCCGCCACGAGCACTTGTTGCCGAGGCAATCGGACGAGATGTATTGGCTTGGTTGCCATCAGTGAACCCGTGAGCCACATGGGCACGACGAGCTGCAGTGATAGCTTGATCGAGAGTGATAGGGGTGTTGATATTGGTAGTGCCCGAGACTTCGAAGTTCGTAACGGCTTCAACGAGATAATGACCGATCACTGTATTCTTGAGAAGACCGGCCTTGAAGTAGCGAATTTGATCGATAAGAGGAATCGTGCCTTGAGTATTGTCGAGACGATGAGCGGCTTTGAGCTCATTATTGGTGTCTTGAAACTCCTTGATGTATTTCTCAAGAGAGTCACCGAGCTTGAGGTTGGATAACTTGAGCTCAATAGTATTACGCAGGTTGCGGGGGTAAAAGTGAGCGATAGGAGCCGTTTGAAAAGCTGCCCAATTTGCGGGAGGTCCGGCGGCGTAAGTCGTATTGTACCACTTGAAGCGCGTCTGGTTACCCCCAACACTGTTTTGACCCCGAGACAACCCGCCCTTCGTCCGCGCTTTCCTTTCTGCTCCCTGCGTATATCGTCGACAGACATGTATTGGCAAAAGACGGGAGAATAGTACTATCTTACGCGGTCCCACGGGAGGGGCTATTTTTAAAGGAAATGTGCAAATGTATGGGATCTACTGTGTGGGGTTCTACAGCTTGGCTTTCACATCGGCGGCAGCGGCGGCGTTCAGGTCCTTGTACATTGCGTCGATAACCTCGCGGTATTTTTTCTGTAGGTTGAAAAAAAAAAACATCAATCAAAACGAACAAAACGAACAAAATCGCCCCCAAGTCATTGTTAGAGATGTCACCTACCGCAACCTCCACCCTCTTCAACTTGAAGGTCGGCGTCATCATCTCATTCTCAACGCCCCACGGCTCACACTCCAAATGCACTCTCTTCACAAACTCAAAGCCCCTCAATTTATCCTGCCGTCCCAACCTCCTCAAATCCTCTTCGATCGCTTTCCTGAACTTTGGGTCCTCGCACAGCGTCACGACGCGCGGGTCCATGGGTACGCCGGGGGCGAGGGGGGCTCCGGGGGGCGAGGAGGCGGGGAGGAGGCCGGATTGGATGGCGTACTGGATGGCGTATTCGGGGTCGGGGACGACGATCCCGACCAGTTCGGATTGGAGGGAGTCGCCGTGGACGTACATTTGGGCGACGAAGTTGGAGCGGATGTATGTGTTTTCAATCTAGAGATTCAGGGAGTGTTAGTGGACGGGATCCCTGTAACATTCAAAACGTTTGGCCCGCGGGAATTACCTTCTCAGGCGCACAGTACTCTCCCTGCGCCAACTTGAAGATATTCTTCTTCCTATCCACAATAGCCAACCGTCCCTTCTCATCAATCACACCAATATCCCCCGTCTTAAACCACCCGTCCTCCGTCAGACACTCCGCAGTCTTCTCCGGTTCCTTCAGGTACCCGCCAAAGATATTGGCACCCCGGACCCAGATCTCGCCCTTGTTCTCGCGGGCATGGTATCCCATCTCGGGCACGGACACGAGCTTAAGTTCCGCGGACGACATGATGGGGCCGACGTTACCCGCGCTGAAATCGCCGGGCCATTGAGCAGACACGCCGGCGGTGGTCTCGGTGGCGCCGTAGCCCTCGGAGATCTGGAACCCCAAGGCGGCACGGAGGAACATCAGCGTCTCCTTCCCGAGCGGGGCGGAACCCGACAAAAGGTACTTCATGCGACCGCCGAGGACGGCTTTGATTTTGTTGAAGACGAGGGGGTCCCATAAAGGGTGGGTCATCTGGCCCTTTTTGAGGTTCTCGAGCTTGGCGTTAAGGGCCATGCGGAAGAGACCGGCTTTGACCGCGCCGCCGCTGTTGGCGCCCATGACGATCTTGTCGTGAATGCGGTTGAGGAGGCGGGGGACGGAGGGGAAGAAGTCGGGCTTGAGGGCTCCGAAATCTTCCATCAATAAGGCGACTGCGAAGAGGGGAGTTCAGCTTCAGCATTGAGCGTGACTTTGAAATGACGAGGCAGTAACCTACCATCACCACGAGAAAAGCCTATTGCTGCCCCCTTTCCGATGATTGTGACGATGGTAACCCTTTCGAAGACGTGCGCCAAAGGCAAGTAGCAGCATTCGACACCCGTGTCATCGATGGGGATGAGGGGCTCAGTGGCGCGCTGGACCGCAACCGCGTTTTTGTGCGAAAGAAGGGCGCCTTTTGGTACTCCGGTAGTTCCTGAGGGGATTCCTGAGGTGAGACCCAACCCAAATTGCGCATAATCAATATGACCTTCCAACTATTCACGCGCACCTGATGTGTAACAAATGCACCAGATGTCCTCCGGAGCGGGTTCACGCACAGGTCTCGGGTTGGCCTTCCCAAGCTCCTCAACCTCCTCAAACGCATACAACGCAATCCCCTTCTCCGCAGCCCATTCCTTCAGAATCTGCAGCTTCGACGGGTCCGTTTCCGGCGTGGTCAAGTTTTTCATAACGACCAGCACTTTGAGGTCGGGCAGCTCCCCGGAGATTTTGAGCAGGCTGGGGATCTTATCCTCGGTCGTCACGCAGATCGGGATTTCGGAGTGGTGGAGAATGTATTGGCTGGCTTCTGGGCCGAGGGTGTCGTACAGCGCGACGGAGGCGTTGGAGTAGGCGTCGGCTCCCCAGTCGGCGATTAGCCATTCCGGACGGTTGATCTGCAAAACAGATGAAAATGGGTAAAAATGCCATGAGAGAGGGATGACGGCGGTGAATGTGGCATATTTCCGGACTTACGGAGTAGATTCCGAGGTTGTACTTTGTCAAAGCATCCCCACCGACAACCTCCGTATAGAGGTACTGACATCCGGCGCCAAAGTTCAGACGCCTCTCTCCAACCGTTTTCCAGTCCTGCCATTCGTATCCGCTCCAGACAGCGGCACCGGTCTTGTCGCGGCCGATAACGTGTCGGTGACCGAGACAGCGGTTTTTGGGGGTGGTCCTGATCGCGTTCTCGACGAGGTCGTAGACGGTTTTGATCTTTGGGTAGTCAAAGACCAGTTGTTCTGGCGACAACGCATTGCGGAAGATGCCTGGGAACATAGAGGTGTGAGTGGCACGACGACAGATGGGCCCTGGATGAAACGCTCGCGACATGGAAGATTGCGCGATCGACAATTCGATACCCTGCTCTCACCGCTCGTGACAAGGAGGTTGGGCAGTGTGTGATCCGCAATCCTGAACCTCCGGCCTCGCCGCCGTCAAGCATCCCTGTGCCCACGGCACAGTCCTCAAGCATTCTCCTCGCTATCGCTCGGAAGCCTCGAGCACTCCCATCCCAAATTCCCATCCCTCCCCGTTTTCTCTCCCAATGACCTACCAGTCTCGTTATCCCCCTTCCGCGTCCCAGGCAACTCAATGGCCTGCTTATCGAATTTCGCCAGCTCCTCGGGCGTGTAGTGGTACACATCGACGTCGCCGTACGTTTTTTGATGGTGGGGCATGGTTGTGGATGGGGGGGGTCAACTTGCTGGGGAGATGGCGAAGTGTTAGAGAGTGATGGGGTGGTGGTGGGGAGTGAGAAGGGATGTATATAAGTACCTTGACGGTTGATTGTTGTTTGTGGATGGGAGGGGGGGTGGGTGATCTATAGCGGCAAGGTAAACGACGACGGTTGGGTGGGTGGGAGGGTGCTGGGTAAATTGCAGGCGCGGACTTGGACGGAAATCCGTTCCCACTCAGGAGTTAAAGTGACTTCACATGCCGGCGTCGCACCCAGCCGGTTTCCTCCTCCAAGAGAGAGGAGACGCGTGACCAATCTCCATCTGTCGGATGTCCCCAGGTGACCCCCCAAACACGCGCATGTTATGATGTACATATGGCAGTTGGCCGCTCTCGTCGGCCGCTCTGCTGGGGTGGAGCATTTCTTTTGTTTTTGAAATTTGAAGTGTCGCAGGAGATGTACAGTATGTACAGTATATATTCAGCAAAGAAGAAGCCGCGCCTCATTCTGCTAGTCTCCACTGTAGCCTGTAGGCAAGCGATGTACTGCGTTAGACCCCGGCGGGTGACACCCATGCTCGATTTGGGGTTTCGGGTGCGCCATGCATAGTTTCTCAAGGAAAAAGGCCAGCTTTCCTTCGTTTTAAAGAAATACACAAAAAGACGGTGTGCAGAGTGGTGTAGCGAGAGAGTGACGCTTGGGAACAGCGAGGGGTAGGTAAAAGGGTATGACAAAATTTCAATAGCCAAAATGGGTATCTCCATTGAGATATAAGAAACAAAATAGCGGATTGGAATGGGGGAACTCATGGCACGCGGAATCAAAGCGACTGTGACAGCTGCTCACTCGACGACGGTAACCTATCCGGCGCCCTCGGCAGGGTCCTCGACGCCCTCCTCAACACCGTATCCAGATCCGTTTTCGACAATTTCCGCACCGTCTCCTTGAACTTATCCGCCAGCTTCGGCTTCTCTAGCGGCGACGTCGGTTCCGGTAACGCGCCGTGGGGCAAAGCGACCAGCGGTGGACCTGGCTGTTTCTTGACAAACGCCATACGCAGAAGCGCGTAACCGCGGTTCATGTGCAGGTTCCAGTGTAGATCGACCTTGACCTCCGCCTCCTCCATCTCCAGCACTTTCGCGTCTTTTATGGAATGTTTCCCCTTTGCGATACATTCCTCCTTATCCCCCTCGCGTTTCAGCGTCCACACCTCGATATACACATGATGCGTGTCCTGCGTGATGGGTAGGGTTGTTGGGAAGGTGTCGAGGGTGTGTGTGATGAGGCGTGGTGGGGAAAACCCGCGGCGGCCGAGGGTTGGCCGCCGCTCGGTCGGGGAGGCGCTGGTGGGTGGGCAGACGTGGGTATTCCGCCAGTCGGAGCCGTCGAGGGAGAGGCGGGTGTAGAGTTCGCGGTCTTTGAGGTTGACGTCGCGAGGGAGCGAGCAGGAGAGGACGGAGATGTCTAGGTTCCCTAGGACCTCGACATACATTTGGCTAGGCGATTCTCAGTGATTCTCAGGGGTGAGGTTTCTTCTCGCCTGTGTGGGCTGGGCGGGTCTGTCGGGCGGTATTTTTGCTCGTCCTCTGTTACCTTCCCACTCAGCGTATGCGTGATTCTCAGGCGAGTCTGCAGGCGTTGACGGTGTGCGTTCTGGGAAGTTGAGCAAGTTGCAGATTGGCCTCAAGATGGCGGACCTTCCTCTCTCGGACTGCTTGCGATATTCGAGGGATAAGTTGTGAATACTGCTATATTGATAGCGACGAGTGCCGGAGCTGTTGCGGCGGTGGTGCTGTTGCGGGTTGGTTCGAACGTTGTGGCGGTGGTGGTTGGTTGGTTGGTTGTTGCAGTTGCAGTTTTGTTGAGTTTGTTCTGACTGAGTTTGCAGGCTGAGAAAAGAGGGGCCTAGTTCCAATAACAACATCGCATAGTGATCGCTGCCCGTGACTGACTCCAAGTGATGACAGCGCGCTGTGACTCCCCTCCCTTGCAATTAATCATCAGAGGTCAGGAAACGGCTTGGCCACAGACAGACAGCCCAGTCAATTCAGCAAGTAGGTTCGGACGGGCTCGGGGAAAAAGGCCACCTTCCCACGCATTTCTTCTGGGAAATGGGCTATCGCCACTCTGCTCTCCAACCACCACCTACCTTGCTCAGGAGTGCCCACGAGACGGACCGCCATTCAACCAGGAGCAGAGTGGAGTTGGGTGCGGGCGACTGCGTGCCGCGGAAAGTGAGGGAGGGAAATGGCTTGCTGAGCACCATCGCGGCCACCATCCTGCGAATTGCAGGACAGAAAACGAGAAAACGATAATGGCCGCAACCCGCTTTTCCGCCCTTTATTGTAGTCAGGTGCGTTGCTGCATCGCCTTTCAGGTTATTGCCCCCATGAACACTTATCGGATTCTCAATTCTAGCTTTACAGGTAAGCCCCGTGGGAAATTGCAACCAACTTGCTCAAAGGAGCTTAGTCCCTGACCCAGCTATCCAATTCGTAGAAACAAAAAAGTCAAAAACTGGCTGGACGGCTACGTCGAGGTCAATGGCAGCAAGGTACATCCCTATCTTCAACCTCGTCTTCCATTTTCCCATTTTCAAGTTGTCTGAGCCTCACGATTCTTTCGTGTTTTCCCACGCATTGTAGATAACACTCCTAGACGAGCGAAACGAGGTTGTAGAGTCGCTGTATCGGACGGGAAGGAGACTGGGGGAGGGTGATGATGTGGAGTTTGATAAGTGGTATTGTACGGTTGAGGGAGCTTTGCAGAATGTGGGTGGGACGGCTCCTGTCGCGAAGAAGATGTCGCAATCAACCCCAAGATACGACACGCCACGGACCCCACTCCCCGCCCCCCAATCAACCAGCGTCCGCAAAAAGTTCTCGCTCACGGTAACCCCGCGCGCACCGACACCGATCCAGGCATCCTCCACCCAAGACGACGAAGCGCCGATGCCTAGCCCACTCCCAAAGTCCATCAGTCATCGCGTATCAGAACCTCTTCGGGAAATAGAGCAACCTCACGAAACTATCCGTGCTCGTGCCAACGCGCAACCACAATCACAGCTACAGCTCCAAACGCCATCGAAACCGGCAACGCCAGTCAATCCACGTGCGCCGAGAAGTTCTGATGAGCTCCTGCAGCTGTTTGGCATGTCGGATGAGGAGGATGATGAGTTGGACGCGCCTGTGCCGATCGTATTTGACGCTGCTGCAACTGCGGTGATGCAAGATGGTGTGCCGCTTGCGTCGGCGAGTCCTAGGTTGAATGGCACTAAACGGCCGGCGGACGTGGGGACATCATTAGTATCGGAGGGCGGGGAGGATTTGGTGGTAAGCTTTTGGCCGTCATTTCACAACGAGTATCACTTTCGCTTAGCCGACCCTAACAAACATCCTCCCAGGTTTCAAAGCGCAGACGAATCGTACCCAGCGTCGACGCCGTTTCAGAACCGCCAAAGAGCGCATCAACCATACCCGCGGTGAACCAACCAGCCGGAACTCCATCTAAACCGTTAGTCTAAAAAAAATTCGCCTCCCCCCATTCGTATAGCACGGCGTATCACAAAATCAGACTGACTGACTTTTTGTATTCTACACTCCATTGTACATACCTCGAATACATACACAGTCGACCGTTACCGCACCTGTTGCATAATATTGTGGATTGTTTGAAGTTTCCGGGTCCTCAAGGTGCGTTAGATGGACTGGTTGAACACTTACGCTTGAGGGAAGGTGCATGATGATCACTGTCTTGACCCATCGCTCCAACCCAGATTGCCAAAAACTTAAACCCGAAAAAATCCAACGCACTACCCGCATCCCCGCCAGTTTCGTAAGACACCCTAATCTCTCATGCCCATCCGCTCCCGGCATCAACAACAACTGACCTCACACGAATTTTTTAACAGAAAACAGTAAACGCTTACAAAGAGTCCTTCCTCCGCGCCCTCACCGAAAACCTCCAGATCCAACTCCGTACATCCGCGATCAACTACCACGCCGCCCTCCGAGAGGCCAAAAACAAAAACAAGAAGATTGATAATCTCACGGAATACCTGCGAGCAAAAGGACTGCCGTATTATGAGCGGTGTCAATTGACGTATGTGCATTGGAGTTTGTTGATACCCCATCACACCATCTTTCGTTTTGACGGGCCTCTTTTTGTGCAGGTGGTATAACGCCCCGTACCAAACTGGCAACAAGAAACGGCCCAAGAATCTGTTGTTGGCGTTTGAAAATAAAGAGCATTATTCGGTTTATTCCAAAGGTATCGTCACATCACATCACATCCGCATGAAGACCACCCGTGCATTTTTTTAACGTACCCTCATCTACTACAGACGACCTGTGGGCCATCTCCGGCGACCCAGACTTCACCACAACCTTCATCGGCCGCTCCCAATTCTACGGCGCCTCACGAAATTCCGTCATGGAGGTACTTCCCCCCCTTCCCTTCCCCATAATCCACCCACCCACTAACCCCGTCTATCCGCACGTAGATAATCCCCATGTCCCCCCACGACACAACCCTAGCCAACACCCTCCTCACAACAACCCACACCGCCTGGGCGCTCCGTGTCGCTTCGGCGAGTTCGGATATTCTGATGATGGATAATCTCCGTGACAATCTCGGAAGAACAGGTCTATTGACGACGGTGTTGGACCCCAGCGCGGGTGGTGGGGGTGCGGGCGGGACAGGAGGGACGGGGACGGCGAAGGCGAAGGCAAAGGGGAGGGGGTTCAAAGCGCCGTCGAGCGCTGCGTTGGTGGACGGTGAGAAACTGGAGGATTATTGGCGGGTTATGGCGGATGTTGCCGGGAGTTACGGGTTGAATGAGAGTCAGAGGGAGGTATGTACATGATGGGTGGGGGGATCGGGGGTCCTTTTCCCGGTTTTTTTTTTTCGTGTGCCGGCTGATGAGAGTTCCTTGCCGGATAGGTTTTGACGCAGTTTGCGTCAAGCATCGCCGTCCCGGGCACCCCCCCGATCTGTCTCGCCCACGGCGTCTTCGGCGCCGGCAAGAGTTTCCTCGTCTCCGTCATCGTCATCTTCCTGCACAAGGCCATGGCCTCCGGGTGTCTCCGCAAACCGGACAAGTTCAAAGTCCTGGTGGCGTCCATGACGAACGTCGCTGTGGATCGGATCCTGCTGGAGTTGCTCAGGCTTGAGTTCAGAGATTTCGTGAGGGTGGGCAGTTTGAAGAAGATTGCGAAGCCGGTGTTGCCGTTCACCGCGCAGGCGAAGAATGATCATGAGGATACGCGGGATCTGCAGGATTTGTTGAATGGCGAGCTGACGCCGGAGGAGCGGAGAGATGTGGAGGAAACGATGGCGAAGTTTAAGAAGAATATGAACAAGTCGATTACGGAGAAGGCTTTTCTTGTTGGTAAGATTTATTCCCGTTTCTCGAACTGAGTGTTCTCACTCGGAGATATGTTGGCGGAAAGAGGGGGGGAGGAGGGGGAGCCTTGGCTGATTTCGTTCTTTTTGGTTTGTGTGGTGGGTGTAGGAGCGACCTGTTTGGCAACGACGTTCGAGAGCTTCGACTGGTATCAGAACACCGTCGTCATCCTCGACGAGTGCAGGTGCGTCCGCTTCCCGCCTGAAACCCTCCCCATACCTAACCCCACCCCCACCCCCCCCACGCAGTCAAATGACAGAACCCATGTCCCTCCTCCCCCTCGCGCGCTTCGGCAGCCAAAAAGCGCTGCTTGTCGGCGACCCGCTCCAGCTGCCCCCGACGATCCCGACCACCGCCGACCCCAGCCGCAAAGACGGGTTGGAACGCACGTTGTTTGAGCGGTTGGCGGAAAGTGGGTTGACGCCGGTCTTGTTGAGGACGCAGTATCGGGTGAGTTGCGCAAAAATCAATCATCCGTCTCACGCTTTCCTTCCTTGGTTTTTTTTTGCTTCTGACATCTCTTCTGGTCCTTCTCATGTAAGTGTCATCCAGCGATCGCACAAATCAGCAACGAGCTCTTCTACCAAGGCCAGCTCACGCACGGGAAAACGGCCCAGGAGCTGTGTCCGCTCTACAACGGGTTACCGACACTTTCGTTCGTTGATGTGCCGAAAGGGCAGGAGGTGCGTGTGCTCCAGGAAACATTCTTCTGCGCACATACTAAGATTGCTTATGATGCTTCTTTTTTCTGGGGGGTAGGCTCAACAGAAAGGCGGGACGTGGGCTAATTTCGAGGGTGAGAGATTGATCGACATATATGTGCCCTGGATGATGCGAAGATGAGGACTTATGGTTTCTGTTTTTCTGTTCATCGCGCGCAGAGGCCCACCTGATCGTCACGGCGACACGCAAACTCCTCGACATTGGCGTTGATGCGAATGAGATTGGGGTCATTGCTTTGTGTAAGGGTTTTCGAATGATTTTTTGCGTAAGGCGGGGATCGGATCGAGATCAAACGTGCATACTGACTCGAATTCAATGACCCATAGACCGCGGTCAAGCGGAAGTCATCCAAACAATGCTCCGCGGCGAAATGGCGACGAAGAAGAAGGGCGGGGTGCAGGTAAAAAATCAAAAAGTGCGGTGCTTTCTTGAAGAGTTAATACTCACAACCCCCCGGGTCTTTTTGAAGGTCTCCACAGTCGACGCCTTCCAAGGCGCCGAGAAAACCGTCATCCTCCTCTCGACCGTGCGCACGCGCTACGTCGGGTTCATTGATGAACCGAGGAGGGTGAATGTCGCGTTGACGAGGGCCAAGCGGTAAGCAGTGGAGCCAAACTCGCCGACATGAGTATGGAATCGGGGACTGACTACGACCATTGTTGGTTTTTCTTTTATTTTAGCCATCTCTTCATATTCGGCAACAAGACCCTGTTATCGCGCGATAAGCTGTGGGGGAAGGTGTTGGCACATAGCTGTACAGGTAGGTGGGATAATCCACATTTGGTGTTCCTGCCTGTGGGCAACCGGACACGCGAGAATGGAGTGAAATGCGTATCTCACCGGTATTGATGCAAACAGAATCGGGCGAAACAGGGACCCTCCACCCCGCCGGATTCATAACGCTCCTGGACCGCATTGCTGCGGATGTCGCTGCTGCGGATGCGATGGCGTAGCGCCGGAGCACGTATCATTGACGGGCGGGATATCTGCGGCGTACCTGTTTCTTTCTTTTTGGATGGCCCCTCCGTTGCGGCGTTTTGACTTTTCACACCTGGATTTGAATGTAGACGCACATCCCAACACGGACATATGTCCATATCACGCTTGGCATGGTACGAGCATCGTGTCTTTGCAATATACACACGGGGAATATAGATGATAGAAGAACGGAGGCAAAAGAAATTCTTAATACTGTATGCATACATGGGATGGGCGGACGTGACAGAGACCATGAAACCCGCCCAAACCCCGTCAACGTAAAACACACACACGCACACACACACACACATCGCGAGCAGCCCACCTTTGCCCCTTCTGCGTAAGAACCAGCGTCAACGACGCGTTAGCGAGTTCGAATCTCCGAGACTTCGCGTAAGGGAAACCCCGACCAAAAACGCGTTGTGGATTACTTAATCCAAACTGACAGGTTTTGATTACACGTCTTCAACCTGTCAGTGTTTCCCCGGCGATTTTTGCATCCGATGATTTCTCAATGTATGGGCCTTGAGAAGCCCAGAGTTCCCGGATGCTGTTTGTTGTGGTACCGCAGATGTGGACTTCCTCGGCACGGCAGAAAGGAATGGAAGTACGTATGGGGAACGCATGTGGGGCATCACCCGACGCGCTTTGCTTGACTAAACTATTGTAGCCGGGGAAAGCTGAAAACTGCCCACGGCTCGATGACACGGGCATTGTGCGAAAACAAAAGGCTGCGGGAGGGGACCCAAGTCAGTCACATTACCTTTCCCGTTTTTCTGAGCGTTGCCGTCATGGGTACGGAAATGCTGGCGGCCCCGAGATCCAGACGACCCAACAACGCGGAGGACCCCTATTCCTCCGTGCATTTTGCACAGGGGGGACTGACTCTCTTCCCCCTTCTCTCCTTTTTTGGAGGCCATGAAAGACTTGGTACGATGGTAGGCTGCTGCGTAGCCGAAAGGGCCAGGATACTCTTCCGCTGCCATGATTCTTTTGTCACACCTACGGGATTGACACCGTGTACAATTGCAAAAAGCTACAAGCAACACTTCGCTCATTCTCCTTCCTCGGGGTTTCATAGCCCCACCACGACGATTCTCCCGCCATGCGCAATCCCATCTGACCCGTCCGACCCTCCGCGTTCTTCCCAAAGCGTGTTCGGAAAGATGCTGGCGGCCTCCAAAATCACCAGCGGGGGGGTGAATGCTAACGACGAAAACTGCCCACCCTTTGCCGCTGGCACCTCCAGCCGGGATGGGGTTCGTGTTTCGGCGGCCGCTGTCTCTAACGGGCTCGCGGCTCGCGGCTGGCACGTACCTGAGGGGTGCGATGGGTGTGAAACAGTGCTTTTCAAGGGGACGATGTGCGCCAGATGCAGGTTCGAGTTTGCGACTAGGTACCGCGGATACGACTTGGGCGAATAAGGGGTTCCTCTTGTATCCAGGTGGATCGCCCTCAGGGGCGGCGACCTGTCCTATGCTGATGTGGTGCAGCTTGGCGATTTTGGATTGCGATGCAGGTTTGTGAGGGTCGAAGCTCGAACGCGTCGATTCACGCGTCAGGATCGTCCTTCCCCGCTTTTTGGCTGCATTCGAGATGTGAAGGCTCCGTAACCACCATCGGAAGGTTATTTTCGGTCCTCCTATATACATTACTCGATTATTGCGGCTTCCCCTCCGCGGACTTGGGGAGGCTACATACGTTCGCACCATCCTTCTGGTATTCCGCCCCGGTGCGTCGCCCTACGTACCACCGTCCCGCCCTGGCACACACACCTACACCCATACTGAAAATACTCTCCCACGCGACTACTCTCACCCCTCCCACCTCCCCTCCACTCACGCCGCAACCTTGGCCTTACTCCTACACTCATTCTCGCCCACCTGTCTCACAAACACGCTATCCGGCGGGTGATCCTTCTCGCCCTCATCGAACGAGTAGCTGCTCGCGACGGCCAGCATGGATCCGTCGCAGTTGAAGGCCAGCGACGAGATGCCGGTTGGGTAGCGCGGGTATTGCCGCATGCGCTTTTTGTTAAGGTGGTCCCAGATGTAGACGACGCCGTCGCTGCCGCCTGAGGCGAAGGTGCCGTGGCTGTGTCAAGGGGAAGAAGTGGGTTTGAGGGTGAGAATGGAAGCCAACGCAGCATGCAGAGATACACGCGGCACGATACATACATGGGATGAAACGCGATCGCATTGACAGGGAAGATGTGTTCCGTGTCATCCACCACCTGCCGATGGCACTTAAACGCATATTTCCTTGCCTGCGACTCCTTCGACGGGTCAAAGTACTCGACCGCGATCCGTCCCTCAATCGACCCGCTGACAAATCCTTCCCCGTTAGGCATACACCGCAACACCCTCGTCATGAATTTCAGCGAGCTCTCCCGTGGCTGGAGGGTCTCCTTCATGTTGCGGATGTCGTAGACGAAGAGGCTCCGTCCGGCGGTTGCGACGACGAGGGTGTGCCCGACTACGTCCATGGAGAAGACTTTGGCGGGTTGGGCGTATTTGCCGAGGGAGGCATTGGTGCGTGGGTCCCAGAGCCCGATGTGGTGGTCCCAACTTCCGGTTAAGATCTGGCCTGTTTGTGATGATGAAGGAGTCAGTGCTTGTCTGGGAGAGGTAGTATATTCTTTGAAGGGGATGTGCTCTTACCTGTCTCTGGCGCATGCACGACGCACCGAATCGCATCGTCATGGCTCCCAATCACCGTTTCTCCGGGTGCATTCACATCGAAACTTTGGAGAGTTCGAACACACGATCAGTCGTGCTTTCTTGAATTCGCCGAGCCACTCCCACACCCAAACCCACCTCTTCAGCTTCTTATCCACGCCAACGCTAAAACACCGATTCCCGGACGAAAAGCAGACGTCCAATGTGGCGGCCTTTTGATTCCACTCGCGTTTTAAAGTGTCGGTTGTAACATCGTACAGTCGCAGTTTCTGCAGGGACGGAAACGGCCATAAGAATTCTTTGTCGAACCCGAGCACACTCAGACGCCCCTTTGCCCGTTATACAGCAGATATGCGAGTACTGCTCTATGTTTCGACGTATTGCTCCAGTCGCCGTACCTTATCCCAACTTCCCACGAGCAGCAAGCTGGGGTCGTCTGGACTGAACTTGACACTCGATATGCCGTCCGTGGGAGGGTTTGAGAGCTCGTGGCCCAGAGTAGCAGTTGCGCTGCCTGCGAGTGCCATTATGTTGCGTCGAAGTGAGTGATCTTGCAGTCCATGTGCAGCCAATCCCCGCCGGGTATAAGAATCAGTACTGTATAAGAATGCAGAGAGACGCGGCCAAGCCACAGTTCGCATTGTCTCGCAAATCTCGCCCTCAAACGCCCGACGGGAACTCCCTGCTAGCGCAAACGGAACTCCACAGCCCCGCCGCCCCCCCTGCCTGAACCCAAACCCACAATGGCCTCCACCGCACCCGCAGCATCAGCAGCCTCCCGCTTCTCCAAAGACGCTACCTGGAAGACCGTCCTGGCCGTCACCGTCGCGGGTGTCGTCGTCGGCGCAGGTGCATGGTACCTGCTCTCCCAGCGCCCGTCGGAGAACAGCAAGAAGGCACAACCGACTCCGAAGAAGCCGTCGTCTTCTACGGGAGCGTCGAATCTGAAGCGCAAGACGAAGAGTAAAACGACGTTGGTGGAGAAGAAGAATGTAACGGTCGCTGAGGCTGCGGCTCCTAGTTGTAAGTAGGAGGGAGGGATGGCAGATCAGCGTGGATGATGGAGCGGTTGATAGAGTGTGACGGCGAGAAGACTACGTCATGTTCCAATCAAGGAGAAGAGGTCTGAGAGTGTCAGCGGAGCGGTGGGGGCTCACTAGCAAGCGACACGAAGCCGGCTGGGCCGTATGCGCAAGGATGCTTGGGGATGGCAGGTGTGGGCCTGTGAGCGCTAGAGGGCTACGTTCCACTCGTTTCTTAGTAGAAGCTCCCGCACATGGCCGGACATTGTCCCTCTCGTCCCTCAATATCAGTGTCCTCAACGATGGTTCATTCTCCTTCTAGTGGATGACTTGACACCGGCAGAGGCCGCAACAGTTGCGCCCGCCGAAACCGTCGAAGGCGTCCAAGCCTACCCGCAGAACCTGTTCCCCGCCAATCCAGACGCCCTCTCCGAAAAGGTTAGTCCGCACATGCAGCCAATCTGACGGACTGTAGTAGTGACTCTCTTCTCAATAGGAACGAGCAGACCTAGCCAAATCCGCAAAGACACTGGGCAACAAGTACTACGGCGAGAAGAAGTACCAGGAGGCGATCGATCTGTACAGCCAGGCGATCGTGTTGCAGCCTGATGCTGTTTTCTATAGCAATAGGGCTGCGTGTTATGCTAACCTCGTAAGCAGCCGTGGAGACTCTGTTGGGATGCTCTGGTACTAACACACTTGGGAAATAGAATGACTACGATAATGTCATCAATGACTGCACGGAAGGTGGGTTGATACACCGGGCTCCCTTTCTCCCCAACGGCATGCGGATTGACGCTCTTCTTACCCTTATCAGCATTGAAACTGGACAACCAGTACCTGAAAGCGCTTAACCGCCGCGCCCAGGCCTACGAGAGCCAGGAAAAGTGGTCAGAGTCTCTCAACGGTATGCTATCAGCGTCTGAACTTGGCCCGAAGGTTACAGACGCTGACACCCGATCACCCGCACAGACTACACAGTGATGTGCGTCCTCGAAGAGTTCAAGAACGAAAGCGTCCTCGGCTCCTGCGACCGCATCCTCAAAAACTTTGCGCAATCCAAAGCGCAAGAGCAGATCAAAAACAAGGTTCCCCGCCTCCCCTCCGACACCTTCATCACCGCCTTCATGGACTCCTTCCGTCTCACCAGCAAAGGCGCGAAAACCATCGTGCAGCACAAAGCCGAAAAGCCGGGCGACAAGCTGGTCAAGAAGGCGTTCCAGGGAATCATTGACCATAAGTGGGACGAGGCGCAGACGGCGACGGTGGAGGCGGTTGAGAGCGGGGAGCTGAGCGCGTTTTGGGAGCCGTTGGCGTATAATCTGAGGGCGACTTTTGGGTTTTTGAGGGGTGATGGTTAGTACGCCGAAACGCTGGATATACCCAACTCCGTCCTGATGTTCCTAATGATCTTTTTCATTTCCTTCAACAGTGGACCTGGCAATGACGGACCTAGAGAAATCGCTAGAAGCCGACCCGAAGAACGTCAACACGATCATCAAGCGCGCGTCGATCTACATGGAGCGCGCGGAGGTCGAGAAGGCGATCGAGGAGTATAACCGCGCCATTGAGCTGGATCCGAGGGATCCTGATGTCTACTACCACAGGGGTGTGTACTTGTTTTCGTGGTTGTGGTGGGTGGTGGTGTGAACGAGGCTCTCGAAGAATGCTGAACTCCTCCCCCTCCGAAATCCAGGCCAAATCCGCGTCCTAACCAACGACAACCAAGGCGCCATCGACGACTACAAAAAGTCGATCTCCCTCGACAGCGATTTCGTCTATGCGCACATCCAGCTAGGTGTGGCGCAGTACAAGCTCGGCGATGTTGGGGGCGCCCAGACGACGTTTGAGAAGGCGAGGAGGAAGTTCAAGAACTCGCCCGAGGTGTATAACTACAATGGAGAGATTCTGTTGGATACGCAGCAGTATGAGGAGGCGTTGAAGAATTTCGATAAGGCGTTGGGGATTGCGCCCAATTCGCCTTTGCCTTATATCAACAAGGGTAAGGGGATGAGAGAGAGAGAGAGAGACAAGAGAGCGCCATCAGCTGACTGTTCGGCCGTTCGTCTCTGTCTATGAATTTTTTGTAGCCATTTTGTACCTGCAATGGAAACAAGACGCGACGACCGCCGAAATCGAATGCCGCAAAGCGATCGCGGTCGACCCGTACTGCGACATTGCGTACGCGCAACTCGCGCAGTTGCTGCTGCACCAAGGCAAATTCAGCGACTCGCTGGACGCGTACGACAAAGCGGCGGCGTTGGCGCGGACGGAGCCTGAGCTTGCGAACGCGTTGGCGTTGAGGGAGGCTGCGGCGGCGCAGTTGCATGTTGCGACGTATTATCCGGAGGTCATTGCAAGGTTGAGGGGGGGTGCCGGGTTCGGGGTTGAGTAAGGGATGCTGTCATATGCGACCCGATTTCAACCGATCCCAACGCCATCATCACCCACACATATGAAACCGATCCGCACCCGCACATATCTTCATTTTCCCGACACCCGCCCGAAAAGAGACGGGCCGCCGACAGAGGGAAGAAATGGAACACTTTCGCCGTCGGTCCCGTAGTTCACCACCACAACCCACCAATGTCCGATCCACTTGCCCATCATCGTCTCCCGCTCGCATATATCACGGCTTTGTTGAGTGAGTAGTAATACATAGTCATTATCCAACCCCTTCATTTCACCAGACGAGGGGTGCGGGTTGTATGTATGTAGTTGTTGTGGGTTTCTTCCTCCTTTTTTTATATTTCATGTTATTGGTAATATGTACATCTTCATTTCGATCCTATGGGAGTTAGCGATGCGGGTGACTCATTCGACTCCCTCCCCAATGGAGGGCGCGCGTGATCTTCCTAGTGTGTGTATTATTCATCCGCGTCGCATTGCATTCATTTGGGGAAGATCTGATCTGCTTGCCCATCAACACAGAAAAAGGACAACAACCAGCAACCCCCCCCCTTCCGACAACAAACCCACGTTCCCACACCCCCCCCTTCCAACAGCACGCAAAACATGTCCTTCAACACTCCCTCCAACCTCGTCCCAAAGCAGAACGGCACAGCCAACGGCCACGGCCACGCCGCTGACGCCTCGTTTGTCGTCAAGGCTGGGTTGGCCCAGAACTTGAAGGTGAGAACACTCGAACGAACAACACTGGTGTGGTGGAGTCATTGGACGAGAGGTGGAGAGGGCAGGGTGGAATGGGGAGGGAGAGGAGAGGAGGCGGGGAGGAATGGGAGCTATGCATTGGGGAGACGGGTGTTATTCCGGAGTTTATTGGATGGGTGGCTTTGTACGATTGGAGAAAGCAATTTGGACAATGCTGCAGGCATGTAGGTGGAGGGTTGGTATGTGGGTTGTGGAGGGGAGGGTGTAGTCGAGGGGTTTTATAGGGGTTGGAGTTGGGGATGCGGAAGAATGGAGTCTGGGCATTCTTCGCTCAGTCGAGGGAGGATTCTTTCTTTGGGTTGCAGGGGGTGCCACTGCTTCGGCAGCCACATGGTTGCCCCACATGTGTGGGAACTCCCAGATCGTGCTTTGGAAACCGGGATGGTGGTGTTAACCGAAAATGATTCCATTCCTTAGGGAGGAGTGATCATGGACGTTGTGAATGCCGAGCAAGCACGCATAGCAGAGGAAGCCGGAGCATGCGCCGTCATGGCCCTCGAGCGTGTTCCCGCCGACATCCGCAAAGACGGCGGCGTAGCCCGCATGTCGGACCCCAAGATGATCAAAGAGATCATTGCAGCAGTCACCATCCCTGTCATGGCCAAAGTCCGGATTGGCCACTTTGTCGAAGCCCAGATCCTCGAACACCTCAACGTCGACTACATCGACGAGTCGGAGGTCCTGACCCCCGCCGACGAGCAGCACCACATCGACAAATCCAAGTTCAAGGTCCCCTACGTCTGCGGCGCCAAGAACCTCGGCGAGGCATTGCGCCGCATCAACGAGGGCGCGGCGATGATCCGCACCAAAGGCGAGGCCGGCACCGGTAACGTCGTCGAGGCCGTCCGCCACGCTCGTCAACTCACCTCCGAGATCCGCCGCGTGCAGAACATGGCTGAGGAGGAGCTGTACGTCTACGCAAAGGACATCCAGGCGCCATTCCACCTCGTCAAGGAGACCGCACGACTCGGTCGTCTGCCCGTTGTCAACTTTGCCGCGGGAGGCGTCGCGACACCCGCTGACGCCGCCCTCATGATGCAGCTTGGCATGGACGGCGTGTTTGTCGGTTCGGGCATCTTCAAGTCTGGAAACCCCGCCCAGCGCGCAAAGGCGATCGTGCAGGCCGTCACCCACTACCAGGACCCCGCGGTGCTTGCGGCCGTTTCGGAAGACCTGGGAGAGCCGATGGTGGGTATTTCAAATGCCGAAAGAATTCTATGCCGAGGCGCGGAAACTAGGCTAACTAAGGGTCAATTCCCCCAAAACTAGGTCGGAATCAACTGCGATATCCTCCCCGAGGACCAGAAGTTTGCCAAGCGTGGTTGGTAAACAACACCATTCGTGGACATATCTTTGAAATCAACACCCTCGACTCGGATCCCTTAAAAGTCGATCAACACTTCACAATCCGTAACATAGATACATAGCACCCCCGAACACCCCACGCACCAGCAAAACCATGTCCACATTTCCCCACTTATTTCTATTTGTAGTCCGTGCCATGCTCTGGTATCGTCTGTCACGTCCACATATTAATTTCTGCATAGAGAGATTATTCATTTGCTTGTTCTGCATGTCTTGCCCGCCCATTTTCGTTACACACTCCGATTAAGCGATCTCCAAGCGCAGCCCGTGCTTGCCCATGCGGTGCTTCACCGGACTGAATCACCTACCGTACCCTATGCAGGTCTGTCAAGAGGCTCATCCCCGAAGCCGATTACCATGACGGTCTGTCAACCATACGCCCCAAGCTCACCCTTCTCTGATATCTGACGGCGAGATAGAAGCCATTTTGCGGACTGAACCCAATCCTGGCCATATACTTTACTTTGCTTGTATCGGTGGCTTTATCGTGCAGGATGGCTGAGTGAGGGCGGCGCGGGCGGAGCTTTGAACAGGGCGTTTTGCTGGGTAGACGTGCGACCAGAGCCGATGCACGGCTAGCCGATGAAACCCATCGATGGTGAGGTTTAACATGCACAGGGACATGCGAGAGAGTAAACCTTAAGAGGAGGTGAAAGCGTCTACCCTGCCGGTCCCTTCGCCGTTCTCCGCTGGCAGGGACCCCTCGCGCAAACGCAGAGCGCCGGTGAGGCCCATCTCCTCTTCCGATAAATATCCCTCGGACTCGGCACTCAATACCCACTTCCCAGACCTCAGGGCGAAACCCCCAACGGTCGCTCAGCGCCCTACGTTCTCCGCAGACGGGCCCGTCTGGAATCTGCCTGCGCGTAGACGCAGAGGATCGACAGGTTTGAGGGATCGAACGTTTTTTCCCGTTGTATTGTGCTCTACCGGAATGGTGTACGGTTGTCTGTCACACACGCATAGTCAGTTCCGCGTTAGGCCCTTTGGTTCTTTGAGGAAGTATCATGAATGACTTTTGGAAGTTGAAGCAAGTCGTGGTACACCATACATCCCTTTTCTTCCTTTCGTTCCCATCGACAACTACCGCCGGCGGTGATGGGAAAACGAGGGAGAAAACATAACCAGTGTTCTTGTCCATAGAAGGATAGGAGTTCATTGACCTGCCTAACTTCCTGTTGACGCCAAACGCGTCCGCAACGAGGCGCCAGGAAAACTGTCAGTGATTAGCGAATCGTGATTAGCTAATCTTGACGCGTTCTCTCTCCGCGACCAGATTCCGAGCTGAACATGACCCATGTCCGACGAAATAAACGCTCGTTGTAAAGACCGAGGTCGAGTGATGAATCTCCTGTGCTTCCAGTATGTCCAGTACAACACAGCAGCGATTGCCAACGAGTTTGCGCATGTATATCTAGACACGACACAGTAGCTCCAAGTTCAAACGGCTACTGTTGGGCTTCACACCTTCGCATCCTTTTTCACACGCGTGCAGCTTGTTGGCACGATAAATGGACCGGATAATGGAGTAGATTCACTTCGTTAGGACGATCTGATTTGCGGCGTATGAACTTGGATGGGAACCCGTATGAACTTGGTTAGGTATTTGCGTAGAAAGTTATAAATCAGCATGTAAATAAGAAAAAGATGTGCGTATCAAAATATACTGCTCTATGTGAACTGAAAATGCGTTCAGGATAGCTCAAGAGAGGGGTTGGCTGCCAGGGCCTGGCGAATCACAGCTAGGCGGTCACGGACAGGGCGCATGATGGCGGCACCTTTCACGAGGTCGGAGATGATACCCGCCTCCGTGGAGAGGTAGAGGTTTTGGACGCAGCCCACGAACACCGCCTTGCAGACATTGCCAGAATGTGCCGTCGGCTTCACAAGAAAGACCAAGGCCTTTTCTTTGAAGAAAAGGATCCACGGAACCTCAAGCTGATGCGTCCTGGCCAGCAGACTCACGGCGGTGTCCTGAGCACTCCGCGCCGATTTGCGGATTCTACTGATCGAGCTGGCCTGCTGTCGCTCCCCCAAGGCTCTCGCCCGAAAAGATCTCCTCGCCACGTGCTTCCTGAGTTGATTGGTCGCAAATCGTCCAGTCAACCAAACGAACGCTTTCCAGTCCACGGACCGCCTGGTGAGCGCTGCTGCCGGTCTCACCGTACTGAATCAGCATTCCTGGGTCTTCGAGGAGGTCCATCCAGCGGGACCATATCTGGCGATCTATGGCCTGCCTCCGAGTGCATCAAGCTACGGTTGGATCATCAAAGACACGTTAGGACCTGGAGCCAAAATCAATGACAAGACGATGAACATACCATTTCCTGAGCACGTCTAGTGCGTCATGGACAAAAACGGTCGTCGTGTCTAGAGACACGCCGATCTCTGCTCCAACACCTGCCACTCCATGGCTTTTCAGTCGAGCCAACGCTTCCTTCATCCGTTTCAAGGGCATGCCCACCAGCCCTTCGATCGGCTGCAATTTGCTGGTGTCGAACTCATTCCCCGCCAACGTGTTGCCCAGGATGTGATGGTACAGGGTGATGCGGGCGGGTACGCCGCAGAGCATTATGCCGCTGGCATTCAGGGAATCCTCGTCCGCTTCGTCCAGGAGACCCTTGAGTTTACGCCGCTTCCGGGCTCCTTCGCTCTCGTCACTATCGCCACCAGAGTCTGCGCTTGCTGTGCGCTTGCGGCCTGACGTCCCTTCCAGTGCGGTCCCAGGGGCGGTCTTCAGAAAACGAGAAAAAACAAGAACTTCAGATTGACGCACATCATTCAACGTGCTTTGGAAGTGTTCACCTTTGTGATTGATGAATTCCTACCACATGAGGAAGGCATGTCATGCACTTTCCATCATCCACCAGACAGTTGGGAAGGTGGACTCACGAAATTACGCGTCCGTTGGTGGCATTTGGTGCCTCTCGAGCCACTCTGGAGCTGCGCTGCTGCGGAGGCGAGAAGCAGTGGACCTGGAAGGCTCGGGCGGACGAGGTGAGGGAGAAGGAGAAGGGTTTCCCACGGGTTTCCCACTCAACATCGGTTGCAGTCGTCGCAGGCTCCTGGCTCCTCCGAAAACCGCCCGTTGCGTTTCTCCCGGAACTCTGAAGACACGCATTGAAGAAAGCTGCCCTCCTCCGCAAACACGGTGAGTGTGATGTCGCCCACATCCTTTATTTTCCACTGGGACAGGTGGACGTGCGCCTGGGTCAAGCCTGGGGGTGTCTGTCACGCAGGCGCTTTCGGTCCTTTGCTTTCTGGCTTCCTGCTTTGGCAGACCAGAAGCTTAGGCCCCTCCTATACTTCGTTTATAGGGGGATGGTGGGGTAGCCCATATCAACGTGCATCTCCGACTTCGAGCCTCATCGGAGTTGTCAACTCGCGGTGGGGTAAGACTCGGCCCTGCTCTCTCCTGAAGTCTGGACTGCTATTGAGTCCCACTTGAACGGTCATACCTGAAAACTGAGCTGCAGATGTGGAGGGGATGACTGTTTTGCTCTTGGGTTCGCCCCACAGTATTGGAAGAGCAGGGGCCTCGGCCCACAATGTGTAATCCCAAATTGCACCGTTACTTCTCAAACAACATACTGACCGTGACTTCTACTCTTCTTTCTTTCCCTGGTTCGTGATTTTCACCACTCTTCACATTCGGCTCGTATATGTCAACATGGTGCCGAGAGCGACGGCTTAAGGGAACATCTCACGGACGGATTTCACCACCCGCTACCCAAATCGGCTTAACCCAACACATCCCTCATCATCACTTCAAGTGCATCTACCACTCTAAACTCGGCAAATCGTCCTCTGTAGAGTCCTTAAACACGGTCAGCACCCGACATGCCCCTCCAATGCCCGATAACTCGCCCCTCCATGCCTGCATCGCGCCTCGTTCGGAAGCGAATTGGAGAGAATGGTGTCCACCCTCCCTGTAGTGAAGAGCATCATCTGCCTTCTCTGTACGCTCTATTTCACTTACGGGTTTTCTCGCATGTACGTAGGCGACGTTGTTGGATGTTGGGGCAAATATATCACCGGAGTTGAGATTTTCTGCGTCCCTACAGACGGGTTGAACGATCTACGTCAACATACATTGTGGTAGTGCAACAGATATGGGCAATGAATACCGTTTATGCTTCTAGAGGACCATATATTCAACTGCATCGCACACCACAAAAACACCTTGCTGAGACTTGTTACGTTAAACTGACGCGCATCCGCCCGCCCGCAATATCCCACTGGACGTACTGTAGATCTAGAGCGTGAAGGAGAGATGGAACCTATCTGCTGCCCTCAACCACTCCATGTATTATGCACTCTATAAAATGATCACAGGCCCTTGTTTTTCGGCCTTTGTTTTTAGTATCCCATTTTGCATGCCATAGAGGATTTAACGAGCACGGATGGCCGAGTTGGTCTAAGGCGTTGGTCTCAAGTTCCAATCTCGTAAGAGGCGCGAGTTCGAATCTCGCTTCGTGCACAATCTTTTTGTCTCTCCAAATCGTCAGCCCCCCTCCACAATTTTGCTCTTTGGCGGCCCTTCTCAATAGATCATTCCTTCCATCAGCGAAAGACCTCTGCTGTAGAGGCTTCTTCGATCAATACCACCGATGACCAGAAATCCTATTTACAGACCATACAAAACATACAAATTTACAACACCCCCATTCCCCTCTTCGCCCAATCGCACGCCAGCGCACAGCAGAAGCGAAACCAGAGAAACAAACGATCAAGAGAGTACCTAAGAAACAAAAGGGGGTCGCTGCGAGGGAAGACGGGGGGAGGTGGGCACGCCGTCTGGGGAGTCTATGGGAGTGAAATGTGGCATACGCGGGTGTGGGAGGAGGCGCGAGGCAAGGGGAGGAGGGGACCAAAAACTGAAATGTGCAAGACGATAACGAGAGCGGTGTGCTGCTGCGGTGCTATAGACGAAGCGAAACATCTACGCGTGCTGAATGGCGTCCTGCCTTGCTGTGTCCGTTGTTCCGCTGGTTGTGGTGTCGATCACCTCCGCTGGAGCGGCAGCGGTCTCCGCCCCACCCTCTGCACCCTCACCCCCGCTTCTCTCCACACCCAGAGACACAGCAGTCGCGGGTGAAACAGCCCCACCCGCAAACCTCTCCGCCAGCAACGGCGAAATAAACAACGCCGCCGGTCCCCTCGACACACGCACGTTTGCCGATCGTCGTTGCCACGGTGGCATCACTGTTGTGCTGGGTGGTCGTCTTGATGTCGCTGTCTGTGTCCCCGTTTCACTCTGTTGCGCCGTATCAGGCGTAGATGAAGAAACAACCTGTGCATCCTCTCGGGCATTCGCAACACCACCCCCCTCCTCAGCCATAGTAATATCCAACAACTCCAAATCGCCGGCATTGAACCCAAACCCAGCCGCGCGTTTCTCCCATTCGAGACGCACGTGTTCCGGGGTCGCGTCTTTTTTGCAGAGGGGGCATTGGGAGGATTGTTCTGTTAGCCATGGGTCTGTAGAAATATTCAACGAGATTGTCAATGAATGCGTGTACGTAAAAGGCAAAGAACAGATGATGGAGAACGTGGTAATACGCACCAATACACTCAGCATGGAAACAATGCCCGCACGGCAACTCTCTCAACGTCACGCCTTCCTCATACTCGTCCAGGCAGATCGCGCACGTGTCCGCTGAGACGCCACCGTCCACTGTATGCGCCGACCGGCCGGAGCGGACGGTTCGGATCGAGCGGATGGATTTGGCGCGGCGGGTCGAGGCGAGGGAGGGTTGGCGAAGGAGGGTGGGTGGGGATTCCGTGGTGTCGACGGCGTCCGTGAGGGGGTGGAGTGGTTCCGGGTCCGTAGTGGGAGTGGCGGGAGTGGGAGTAAGGGGCGGCTCAGCGGCTGGTGCGACCGCATTCCGTGCAACAGGCGGTGACACTTTTGTCACGTGTGGATCAACGATTTTCTCGTTGGTAGCCATCTTCTCCGCACCATCAAATTTCGCAGTGGCCCCACCACCCTTAGAATGAAACACCTTGATCGGGAACGTATCCACCACCCCCTGCGGCAGCGTATGCCTCCCATCCCTCCTCCCACCCACCATCCACCCAACACCCAATTCTTCATGCGCTCCAGTTCTCAACACGTCCCTGTACATCTGCAACCGCCGATGCGCGAGCCAGCAATGTACGGTGATGGTGAACGACGCGATGCATGCAAAGAGGACGGCGGCGGAGAGGAGGACGTATCGCCATACGCGATTGTTGAGGGGGTCTTCGATGACCATGGCTCGCATAAGTCTGTTGGCTCCGACGGGGCGTAGTGTTGAGTGGAGCATGTTGTAAATGGTATTGTCGATAGTGAGGATCGGGTACGCGGTGTTGTACTCCTTCGTGACGGGCGGGTCGGGGAGCAGGACGAAGAAGCCGCGGAGGTACGTGGAGGATTCAAGGTTGCGGATTCTGCGGGTGAGACTGCAGTTGGACTTTGGGGTCTCGTCGGAGGCGTTGATGAGTGCGATGAAGGTGTAGTTGGTGTTGGCGAGGGAGGGGTTAGGGTCGCAACCATTTCCAAAATCGCGCATGATGCCCTGTGAATGATCGGATGAAGTAGACGTCAGTTGATGGTTGATGGATGAAACGATACCTTGGAATTGATGGTTGATGGATGATGGATGGTTGATGATTTAACGATACCCTGCTCGCTCCGCTCGCGACGAGGAGATTGGGCTGCGTGTGCTAAGCTCGCCGGCGCTCGCTAAGAACTGCAGTTAGGGGAAACATTGCGCCTTTGGCGCAATGGGAACTCGCTTCACTCGCGAAGGGGCGTTCGCTGTGGTCGACCTAGCGGTCTCCCAGACCGAACCATCCCGGCACCTCCCTTTCGCTCGTTGCAGACGGGCCACCATCGCTCGCTTCGCTCACGGCTCGCATAACATGGCTCGCGCCTCAAGCAAGTCCTCACTCCGTTCGGAACCCTCAAGTATTCTCCTCGCTCCGCTCGAAAACTCACCGCAACCCCGCCACTGATATCCCCACTATCAATCAACCTATCGACGCCATCGGGAAACGACTGCTGAGTTCCATCAATCCTCCAAGCCGTAATATCGCTAACCGCCGGCTCATACTCCACGGGCACGACATAGATCGAGATGGCGTTCACCCCCCCGTAGTTAAGTGCTAGGAGAAGGGTGAAAACGAGCAAGAGGAAGATATGGCGGCCTGGCATGGTTGTACGGGTTTGGCGGGAGAGGCGAACTTGGCGCTTGTAACTTTGTGAAGTTACGGGAGTGGTGGTGGTGGTGGTGGTAGTGGTAGGTTTAAGGGAGCTGCGTGCGCTATCACCGTCGTCTTCTCCGTCGCTGGTGACCAACATTCGTGATGCTATGACCGACCGTACGAGGGAACGCGAAGTTTGATTTGCTGAAGTGTGTGAGCTATTTAACAACTTGTGGGGAAAGTCTTCGTCTGGTCCTCGTCCAGTTTCGGACGGAAAACAATAAGGTGTTGTTGGGCGACGAGACCGACCGGTGTTATACTGGTGTCGTTGGGAGAGATTGGCTGCGAGTACAGTTCTGTAGGAGTGGAAAATATGAGAGGCCGGATAATAATTCCCACTGACAAATGTGGGGAGCGGGTTTTCGCGGTTGACCGTCTGTGCCTACACGTTCGTGCTGGGGTAGGCAGAACACCATGCTGCGTACGTACATACCTGAAGTCAGTGGTGTTTGGCAAGAGGGGATGCAGCTGACGAGGACGAGTATGTAGTTGCGACTCCCAATGCAGTCACTGGCATGTCCGTCTGGTTGTGGGCTGGGCTGGAGGTGGGTGCTGGGAGACTGGGAGTGAAACATAGGCCTCTCCTTCTCTCTCTGATTCATGCGAAGTCTCCGGGGGGGTCTCTCTGAGTGATTGAGTGATTGCGTCACGGCGTCGCTCCGGTTAACTCACAGTGATTCACAGTAACTAACCGCTGCGTATGGCTGACTGACTCATCGCTTGACGGCCTTCTACCGTTTCTGAGGACGTTTACGACAGGACAGGAATCCAAATGCCATCCATCCCTTTGGACCTCCTGAAATCATCAGAACCTTCAACGTGGCGAAGATTCTTCGGGGCTTGCGTGGCTTCAAGTGGGAACAGCCAGGACCATACCGACCCCGGACGATGATGGTATCCAGAACACCTCAAGAAAACGACAGTAGAGAAACAGCATCAATCTCTGCAATGTCCCTCGTACTCCTCGCTATCTGCAGCCGATCTTGTTGTCTTCATCACCAGCTCCACCTCCGCCGCCATCAACTCCGTCAGGGCCTTGATTTGGACTTGGTGGGTCAATGGTAGTGGCGGCGGCTAGGCCTGGAGCGTGTAATGCGATATGTATGCAGAGACGGTATGCGTTGTATTGTCAATGGTGGGTATGGTGACAGTCATGTCACCATGTCACAGAGTCAGGGTAGCGTCGTTAGCGATTCCCATATAATGATTGAGGTCTGAGACTTTTAGACAGACTTCAAAGGAGACGCAGCTACATTTGGCAAGGCGGTGATTTTAAGAAGAGGAGTGAAGCATTCCATGAATTTTTGTAGCTTCTGGCAATCTCAACGGACTTGGGTCCAAATAGGCCAGATGCTTCTTGGCAGTCGTCAAAGACTTCGAACATCCCGGAAAGAAATGTCCGAAAGAGAGCCTCACGTGACGAAACATCTATTACGTGATCGCTTTTATTCAGCGACACGTTGCTCACGCGTCAAAGCGCTTGGGAAATCGGTACCCGCCTTCTTGCCCAACAGAAAGGTAATGCACTGTAGTAATCCTCGCCCATTCTAGAGTAGGGAAGTTCAAGCCATCGCATGCGCGCTATTCAGGATATATACAGATGCATACAGCTTTGTCTATGGTTATGAGGCAAAACCATAAAGCACGGGGAAATGAATCAGATATCTGTGTTTACAAGCCGGCCCAAACGTGAAGGGGCATTGAATGATAATAAGCAATGAAACAGGGAGGAAGGGACGATAGTGACGCCGATCGCTTGCGAATACGCAATGTTAGAAAGTGATGATGCCGTGGTCGACAGGATAGATTTACATAACGAAAACCTTCTTCTCGCCCGCAAACCCCTCACCCGCCTTCCCCACCGCCGCCAGCAACCTACTCTCCTCCTCCTTCCCCACGCCTTTGGCAAACCCCACCTTCCCCCACCGCACCTCCCTCAACTGGCCCTTGGCAATCATGCCACACAAATCCACCAGCATGCGCTCACGCAGGGAGTTGTCGTGCCGTGCGTTCCAGCGGGCCATCCAGAAGCCGTGACAGGAGAGGTTTTTGAAGATGAAGGGGGAGGTCGGGAAGGTCAGCGGGGTGCGGGACATGGCGCCATAGGTTACGAGGTGGGCATCGTGGCTTCAATCAAAAATCATAGTCGGTGGGTAAGTCGGACACTCGGAACATGAATCAAACACCAGCTCTCACAGTCAATCAAACAACAACTCTCGATCACAACTCACCCCAGAAGCCTCACAAGGTTAGTAGCGCTCTGCCCGCCCACACAATTGAACGCCAGCTTGACGCTTCCCCCTCCCTTCTTGTAGTCCCCATCGTCGTTACTGGTAGCAGCAAGTGCTTTGATCTTTGCAGCTGTCTCGGGTGTCCGCAGATCTTGTTCGGTGATGACCAGGTCGGCGCCCAGGGAGGTGAGGTGGGCGCGGAGGTCATCAATGTTGGGTCTAGTGGGGGATAGTATGAGTGACCTAGTGATCGTGAAGGGATGTGTGGTGAACTTGCATCATCGAACCGATCTTTGCTCATACCTATCACGCACGACATTGACGGTTTTGAACCCCCACGCCTTCGCGAGCTGGATAACGGCCTGACCGACCCCCGAGTTGGCGCCGTTCTGGATAACCACATCCCCCGGCTTCAGGTCAACGAAATCTTTCAGCATTCTGTATGCTGGGATAGGGTCAGTTCAGTCTTCAGCGTGCCAAGTCGTCCTTTTTCACAGTCCATATGTGTTTTTCTCACCAGTGCACGGGTTGACGCTAATAGTAGCAGCTGCAATTTTCGACACGCCCTCCTTCGGCAACTTGATCAGCTCCGCCTCCGTAAAACGTGCATGCGTTCTCCATGTTCCTACATCATAACTCAACCCTCAATAGACCGCTCACCACATCCGCATGTCACAAAATGCAACGTACCAAATCCGCTGTCCTCAGGAATGACCCAATCGCCAACCTTCAAACCCTTAATATCGCTGCCGGCCGCGATCACTTCCGCGACCCCTTCGTTCCCGCCGATGGCGCCGAATGTGTCGTTGAAGGTTGGTTTGATGGGGTATGCACCTGTGGGAGATGCGTTGTTGTGGGAAAATGTTCCGATGCGGTGATCTTCATATACTCTTGGACAGACAAACCCACCTTGGATCTGATTGATGTCCGCCGGATTGATAGGACTCGCCAAGAAACGGACGTGTACGGTTGAGGATGTGAGCGGTGGGAGCGGCACTTGTACCAATCTAGGATTCGCCGTTAAAGGACAGTAAGGACAAATGAAGGATCTCCAAATCAATCTCTTCTTCCTGCGTTAAGATTCTGGTGGTATCCCGCATCCTTCCGTCCCTTCTTCCCTCTCCTCCAACCTGTCCCCAACACAAAATCACACACCTCAACACATCAGTAGGGTTCCCAAACTGCTTATATGTCAATGCCGCATACGATGTTGGAGCCACGCCCGCTCCTGCGCCAGCGTTCGTACTGTAAGCATGCGCTGAAGAGGGGATGGCGGCGGCGGGGATTGCGAGCGGGCTGGCAAGAGGGATGGCGAGGTTGTGGTGGGTGAGGTGACGCGCGAGGGCGTGGATGCGCAGCGTCGAGGGGAGGGTGCGGGCGGAGCGGGACATGGTTTACGAGTGGGTTTGCTAGCGATGGGACGGGATGGAACCTAAGCGCCGCCCAGTCTTGCTTGTGATGGGAACCGGTGGGAGAGAGCCCTCACGCGTCTTTCCGCTTCTGTTTGCGTTTTGCCGGACAGCTGTCGAGCGCATCCTACCAGGCGACGGGGCACAGTAGGCACAGTAGCCCCCAATCTGCGTCTCCCCCTCTTACCTTCGCAAAACCTGTGGTTTGTCAGACATCAAAGTAGGGACGAGCGGCAGGGCTTTCTGTTGGGCCCATACAAATATCACTGCAACATCACGAACTCTCATCGCGAACCCCAGAAGTACTCCTGCGACAATGTCAGGAGCATCCCGCTCAGCGGCCGTCAAACGGCTCATGAAAGAACTGTCGGATTTGCAGGCTGACCCGAGCCCGGAGTTCACCGCCGCGCCGTTGGAGGATAATCTGTTTGAATGGTGGGTTGGGGCTTGTCAGGGGATGTGGGCTCTCCGTGTTGAGGCAGGTCCGGCTGTATATGCCAGGGTTGCTGGCGAATTGAGTTGGTATCCATTGAATGTTTTGATGTTCTGTCTCCTGATGGTCTTTCTGTTGCGCAGGCATTTTACGATCCGCGGACCGCCGGAGGCCGGGTTTGAAGGCGGGCGCTATCACGGCAGGTACGCTTAACGTCTCAATCGTACATGACCGTAGCGTTCATCAGAAGATCTAACACCCCACAACCCATAATCGCTCTCTAGACTCATCTTCCCCCCCGACTACCCGTTCAAACCCCCCAACATCTCCTTCCTAACCCCCAACGGGCGTTTCGAGGTCGGCAAAAAGATCTGTCTCTCCATCACCGGCCACCACCCCGAATACTGGCGGCCAGCCTGGGGCGTGCGACTCGCTCTCGTTGCGCTGATTTCGTTTTTGCCGACTAAAGGGGATGGCGCGATTGGGGCGCTGGATTATACGGTTGAGGAACGCAGGGTGTTGGCGGGGAGGAGTCGGGGGTGGAGGTGTGGGGTTTGTGGGGTTTGTTGTGGGGATGTGTTACCTGATGAAGCCGTGGCGCCGAGTGAGAGGGTGCGCGGGGAGGCGGAGATTAGGTTTTCGACTGCGGAGTCGACCTCGGCGGGTTTGGAGAAGGGCAGTGACGAGAGTGGCGAGGGACAGGGACGGGCGGGACAAAATATGGGACCGGGTGCTGCTGATGCTGCTACTGGGGATGCAAAACCTTCTCAGGCGACGGCCGAGTCCACGCCGGACGCCAATATCCCCGTCTCTCCTATCGCGGCACCTCCTACGTCCATAGCCGCCCATCAACCTCTACCCCAGTCGACCCAACCAATCGACTCAAAACCCTCCACATCACAACTCAGACCTCAACCCGCCACCCCCGTTGCGAAGATCCCACCATCACCGTCTGCCGTCCCGCCACCAGCATCATCATCATCCTCATCATCCACCACCGCCCCTCCCTCACAACCGCCTGCCCCCCACGCCGTAACAATCTCACCCACCCCTTTACCCCACCTCGATCCCACCCCAACCCCGACCCCCACACCTGTACCCCAACCCGCACCCCCGCAACACCTAACAGAAATCCTCCGAACAATCGACCGCGCCCTCGCCCTCGTCTTCCTCCTCCTCGCGTACTTTGTCATCAGGCGCGTGTCGAAGCTTGTTGAGGGGGAGGCGAAGGGTGGTGCCGGGCGGTTTTGGGCCGAATGAGTTGGACTGGAAGGGGTGATTAAGGGATGTGTAGGCCGGGCGTGTCTCGTGTGTTCCTCTGTTTTGGGTTGGGTTTTCTGTTTTGGGAATGGTCAATGGAATTCATATATAACATAAGAACAATCATAAATCCGGTATTCGCCCATAAGTTTGATTTCTGAGTTTAACTTTCTGCGTTTTACAGTATCATATTTACGTTGGGGTCGAAGGGGGTATACAACATCCCACAAAAGGGAAGAATTTTTTATGTGAAGCGCTACATAGTCTACACCAAACTTTCCATCTCGACGACAACCCGTTCCTCCGAATACGTCACACCCCACGCATCGTCCTCCTGACCATCCTCCTGCTGCTCATCCCGACCCTCACAATCAACCGCACAGGTATATACAATAACCGTCCCGAAATCCATACCGGCGGCGTGCCGGTCCAGGAAAGTTGATAGTGTGTTTTTCGGTTCCCGTTGTGATTTGTGCGGGGAGGGTGGTTGGGACGGAAGGCTGTTGGACGATTGTTGCGCCGCTGATGATGGTAATTGCTGATGTGGTGTTGTCGGGTCCTTCGCACGTTTCACAGCCCTCGGCACACACTCCTCCGTCGGCAACAACCCCAACACCATCGGCATCAACTGGCACTCAAACACCCGGTCGCCTCCACACCGTGTGCATTTGCCCCGTCCTTTATCGTCGCGACTCTCCCGATAATGCACAACCTCCCCGCCCACCCCGTAACGCACACACTGCTCTGGATCCGCTTCAACGCATTTCGCGAACCGTTTGAATGATTTGGTGTAGTGTTTTGGGGCGGTTTTTTCGTACGTTTCGCCTGTCCATGTTGCGTCCTCCGCTGAATTCGAGGTGGTGGGGCCGGTGGTGTCCAAAGTGGTTTCGGTGCGTTGGTATTCGGCGAGGAGAGCCAGTTCGTGGGCGTAGGTGTCTTCGGAGGGTGTGTCAGAGGGCTCGGGGACGAATTCGAGGGGGTAGGCTGGGAAGGTTGGGGATGACGACCAGGTTAAGGTTGGGGTGGAGAGTGTGAGATTTGTTTCCAGGGAAGCCGTTAGTGCTTCGATGGCGGGGTCCGTCGTTAATTCCGTGTTGGGCTCTGGCAGGGCTGCAGTGGCATCGTTTTCTCCGTCTACTAGCGTATCCCCACGATCGACAACGCCCTCTCCGTTTTTAGGTTTCTTCTTCGTTTTCTTCTTCTTCGGCTTCTTCTGTTTCTCAGCGGCCCCATCCTCGTCCTCATCATCGCCCCAACCATACTTCCGATCCCGCAACTCCAACAGACTCTGCAAGTCGCTCGCAGGCGACGGTGCCGGTGATCCAGCAGCAAATCCAAACGGCGATGGAGCGGGCGAGGGCGACGCCGGCGCAGGTGACTCACTTCCAAACAGCATAGGCGTTTTGGTGGGCGTCGGGCCCGTGAACGTATCTCCAAATGAGAACGTGGCTGGTGTCGGCAAAAAGGACGGCGGTGTGGCCACGGTAGCAGCAGTCGTCACAGGTGTTTGGAACCCGTTCTTTCCGTTCCCCGTCATCGTCGTCGTCGGTGTATCCGGAAACACGTTCGCCTTCTCCTTCTTCGGTGTCGCCAACCCCACCTCCGCAGCCTCCCGTCTAACCCGTTCCCTCCTCCTCTTAACAGCCTTAACACACCTCCAGCTCCCCTCCCTAGCCCCACACATCCTCCGATTGCATCCAAAGATATACAGCACGCGATCGGGTTTATCGAATTCGGCGCGTTGGGCGAGGAGTTGCGCGATGAGGAAGAGGGGCGCGGTGCAGGAGGTGCAGGTGGACCATGTTGCAGGTGGGGGGCGGTGCGGGGTGAACCAGACCTGTTGAGGGATATAAGACGTGAGTTTCTCGACGGGTACGGGCGGAAGGGAAGAGAGTAGAAACTTACGGGACGACCACCAATTTTGTCGAGGTACGGGTCTGTGTCGTCTGCGAAGGGGAGCTTGTCGCACGGATAGCCGATATGTAAGGCGGTCATTGCGACGTAAGGAGGACTCTTGGTGTTGCTGCGAATAAATTGCCCTTCTGCCCGTCCCGCACTCTCTGTTTCTCATATGCTGGCATGTGTGAAAGTGGACAGAGAGTGTTTCTCAGGGAAAAAAACAAAGGGGGAAAATGGGGAGCAAACGAGGCCTCGTGACTCGCGAATGCAATTTATTTCACGTTGGTCTCCAGCTCGCACAAGAACATCCTGCTTTCCGTTCACGTTCACACTGCCAGAATCATATTCACTATTCATGTGGTATATATCATCGGCCAGACTGCAACCTGCAAGCCGTTCCTTCCACAATCCGCCGTCGGTAGGTGGTACTGATTGCTCTTGGGAACCAGCAACCGTCCGCTCCGATCCATATTCGATTTGTATACACGCCACGGCCCCCATCGCTCAGGCGCGCAGGAACGACGTCGCTGCCTCAGCCGCTTCCCCAAGTGCGATCCCCAAAGCCCTGCCAAAAAAAAGTTCAACGTCCATACGTCACATACAACAACCGTAGTATGACATTGAGGAGGATCATCCCCCTCTCCCTCCGAAACCGTTCGCCCAACTTCCCCACATTTCATGAATTCCTCATCCCAGTCGATCGCTCATGAATTCTTCTTCGAGCAATTGCTTTTGCTTTTCTCGGAAATCCCTCTGGAGTCGTGGGTCATCTCCTTCGATGCCGATACCCTGGGAGGATTGTGTCAGGAATTTGTACTGTGCCCTGTACACAGCAATACTCCTTTGAGACATACCATTTGTGCCGTCTTGGCCTCAATGACATAGTGGTTGTCGCAGTTTGGGCAAAACTCGTCTTCCTCCTCGTAGTTGCTAAAAACAGATATCATTAGCTGGGAATACTCAACCTCAGAATTCCCAGACCTTGATATACTCACGACATGTCTTTCCGAAACACCTTCTTGCACTTCTTACACGCAAAGCACATTTCCAGCGTTTTCCTACGTGTACGAAACGAGTCAGAAGAATTCCGTAGCAAAGACGTCGTTGCGGGAATAATCGGCGAAGGGCATTCTGGCGCCTAAGAGGCAGTGTGGATTTGCACACTCCTGCGCCTTCCTCCATCAGATGTCGCCCGCTCCCACGGCTTCGCTATCCCGCCAACCCACTCATCCCTTCCCTCAATCCAGTCCCTCCGCCTGCCCCCCGTGCCTCCTTCCTCATACCTCAAATTATGGTCCGAAACCTCAGCGTGACATTCTGGACAGTCGAACCACTTCTTGCAGCAGGGCGCACGGACAGCGACCTGTGCGTTCAATACGTGTTTGCCTGTGATTGGAGATAATTGTCAGAAGTTGGACTTCGCGGGGTTGCAGGAAGAGAAACGCTTAACGGCGCAGGGACTTACACATGGGTGAGTTAGAGCGAGCGTTGAGAGAACAGAGAGGTGTCGGTAGTCGATTCGGGCCCGTGAGAATAGCCGGGTTTGCGAGCGATGCTGCTGTGCAAATGGCGAGGGTTCTGATCAGTGAGAATTGCCCAAGCATATTCGGACGGAACGCGCGACGCAAGGGAACTTTATCTCAGTCATGTCATCGCTGGTCATGTGATTCCGCAGAGTTTATTTCCCGTGAGGTTTGTCGTTTCTCGCTCTCTTTTCTCCTCGTCTTTTCCCTTGGCAAACCGCCTTACCACTGACACCCCCATCACGCTCTCGCCGCTATGTCCGCTGTCGGGAGCAGCAGCAGGAGCTTCGGCCTCAGGCCCACAGAGGCCACCACAGCCACCACCACCACCAACGGCTTCCTCGCACCCATTGCCCACCCCGCCGCCACAGACGCTTTCGAAGTCGCCTCCTCTATCGGCGACGCAGAGCGGGACTTGCACTCCGAGTTTGGCGACGAGCAGGATACGAACTGGGATGATTGGGAGGATGAGGAGGGTGGCGAGGAGTGTAGATGTTTGGTTTGTGAGCTGGTTTTGGGGAGTGTTGGGGAGGCACTGAGCCACGCGAAGGAACAGCATGGGTTTGATTTGGGTGCGCTGAGGAGGGATTTAGGTGAGTCTCCCAAGTGAGCTGAGAAGGAAGCGAGGCGATGGTGGTCGTCTGCGGCGACCGATGCGAGACCGATGCGAAGCGAGGTACAGGGTTGGTTCGGACTCGGAGACCGAGCGTAAGGAGGTTGCCTCGGTCCGGGAGACCGCCAGGTGGCTGCGAGCGGACCGAGCCACATTGACGCCAAAGGCGCAATACTCCCCTCACTCTCGGGCGTTCTCTACTCACCTACCTACCAACCAACCAGCCGTCGCTCACGCCTCTAATTTCTATAGGTCTCGACTTTTATGGCTCGATCCGGTTGATCAACTACATCCGAACATGCACAAAGGAGAAGAAGGCTGTATCGGCGGAAAAGATTCTGAAGGAAGGCAAAGATGCTGCGTGGGCAACGGATGACACGTACCTCCGGCCTGTGTTGGACGACGACCCATTGCTGTATGCTTTCGAGGATGAGGATGACGAAGAGGAGGAAAATGTTGTGGTGGAGCCGATCCCTAACGGAAAGGACGCGGCTCCCACGTCCGTCGAAGATGAGTTGCGGGCAAAATTGGCCCTAGCGGAACAGCGCGCATCCCTCGCCGAACGGAGACTTGACGAGCTTACAAGGGCGTTCGGGCAATACAAAGACATGGTACGCGAAGCCTTCCTCGACGAACCCAAAGCCACCAACGTCCACGCCGACTCCGACACCGATGACGACGAAACCGCCGACCCCGATGTCGATCCTACATGGGAGATGGACTACTACTTTGGGTCCTACGCCGAGTCGGAGATCCACGAGTCTATGTTGAAGGACCGCACGAGGACGGAAGCGTACCGCGATTTCATCTACCACAACAAAGACTACTTCAAGGATAAGATCGTCCTGGATGTGGGGTGCGGAACGGGGATTTTGTCCATGTTTGCGGCAAAGGCTGGCGCGAAGAAAGTGTTTGCGGTTGACAACTCAACGATTATCAACAAGGCGAAGCGGATTGTGAAGGATAATGGATTGGATCAGATCATTACGTTCGTTCAGGGGAAGGTGGAAGAGATCAGCCTTCCGGTGGAACATGTCGATATTATCATTTCTGAGTGGATGGTATGCACCTGCTTTTTCCTGGTATTCTGTTGCACACACTTGCTAAACAGCGTTACTCTACGTGATTCAGGGCTACTTCCTCCTCTACGAAGGCATGCTCGACTCCGTCCTGCACGCGCGCGACCGCTGGCTCCGACCCAACACCGGTCTAATGGCCCCCTCCCGCACCGACATCCTCCTCACCGCCATCCAAGACGAAGAATGGATCAATGACAAATACCACTTCTGGAACGAAGTCTACGGCTTCAACATGGCCGTTATGAAACGCGGCTTCCTCAACGACGGCTGCGTCGACCACTACGACCCGGACATGATCGTCGCGGACGTGCAGACCGTGAAACGCATCGATATCGGATCCACTACCGTCGCCGACCTCGATTTCACCTCGCCTATCACCCTCACGGCCACGAAAGACGCCCGCGTGAACGGGCTTCTAGGGTGGTTCGACACCTTCTTCACGGCGCGCGATGAGGCTGGCAACGCGACATCGTCCCCCGAGCAGATCGAAGACGTCACCTTCTCCACAGGGCCGTACACGACCCCGACCCACTGGAAGCAGACCGCGTTCCCGTTCGAGCATGCGTTGGAGGTGCGTAAGGGCGAGACCATTTCGGGCACGTTTGAGTGCAGGAAACATTCGGATAACCATCGTGAGTTGACGGTTATCGTGGATGTGTGTGTGAGGGATGCGGAGGGAAGTGTGAGGGATGGGAGTGCGGTTAGGAAGGAGTATATTGTTAGGTAGTGGGGCGTGGATTTAGATAGCCTTTTGCATAGCTCTCGACGCACACCCCCGAATTGGCCTGGGCCGCAGGGCGGCTAGAGCATTAATCGAGCAAAAAGGGTTTGGGAATTGGAAACTTGGCGTAGCTTCCTTAGTTTGTACATGTATTTATCCATTTTTATAAGCATTAGCATTATCATCTCCGCAAATATTAGCCCAGGCTTTGCAGTGCATGTGGTGCTGGGAACCTTTCTCTTACTTTGCCCACGGTTGCGCTGACGCTATCGCCCTTGTAAGTGACAAGTGATCGCGTGCGTCCAATCACCGAGGAAACCTTGGCACAAGTAAGAGTGGGCGAAACCTGTGCCTTGCTGCACTCTTTGTGGACTACATAAAGAGGAGAATACGCAGTCCAAACATTGGGAACAAAGCTCAAACCCATTGCAAAACTTGGCAGGAGAACCACGAAAGGGTCGGCACTGCGGGGAATCTTGCAGGCAGTGATTGGACCCGCCAACGCCGATGCCACCCCGCAGGGAGAGGAAAGAGCGCCCGAACTTTTGAACAAGATCTTTCTGGCAGATGCGAGTCGCCAAGGCAATCGGTCACAGTGCTGTGAGCTTTTGCGGTCATTGACGGGAGAACGTCTGGGGCGGTCTGAAAGGGAAGTGCGGTCGTTGCAGTGCGATTGGATCTCGAGGTGTTGCAATCTCGGGCCGCCCGGGCCACTTGCTCTCCCTGGTCGGGGGAATCAACCGCGGCATTCATGCGGAACAGACATCGACTGGAAGCCGTTTCCTTTTCTTTCGAGGTCCTTCAAGAAAATGGAATGGTCGGACAAGTCGATGCGGGGTAGCGTCAACTTGCATGCCGACCTGCATGAAACTGATCCCACGCCTGCTGAAAATGCCCAGCTCGCCGATGAGATAGCCAGCATTGCGCTTTGGTCTTGGTCTTACAGATCCGCCCCGAGTCCGCGGGCGCTTTATGGGTTTACTACTTGCACATCCGGATTCATCAGAGGACGACGAGTCTTGCCGCAACGCTGCCAACTCGCGAGTGAAACGTGATTTTGCTCACGAGTTTGCAGGAGTTGCGGCGAGTCTTTGGTTGCGACGCGACACGGACTTGCATTGGCGAGGAGGACTGAGGACATTGAGCAGACGGACACAGCCTTGGATTGAGAGCCCTCGGGGCCATCGGCAACATCGGTTGAAGTGCCTCGTTGGAGATCAGTTTGTTGCTTCCGAAAATTTTGGCAATACCCTTAGCTTGTATCGGGTTCCGCCGCGGGAGGGCCCGTCGTATTCCGATGGTGCCCATGGATGTTGGGGTGGACGCCATCGTTATCCGGGAAAACTTTCGCTTTAAACGAAGACGCCTCACCCGAAGGCATGCCCAAAAGTAGTAGGCGCTACCGCAGCAGGCGTGTCAATGAGCCCAACGAGCACGGTTCTATATCAGATGAGGAAGATGAAGTTAACCAGCACGGGATGCGGGACGACTCGGAAAAAATTAGGCTTCCGCTGCACATTCTGAGTCGGGTGCGAGGTTTTGCCCGCTGACTCTCAGATAGCGCGGTCATTGTCAAGGAACGAAGAGGGCGTCAGAATCCTCATTCTATGGTGGTGCGCGCGATGATACCCCGTAGAGTAAAGCCGATTATTGTCTGGGGTTCTGCAAACGGAGCAGTGACTGGGTGCCTTCGCCTTACCGTGAACACCGGTCTCCAAACCATCCAAAACTGTCTCAGAACCCGGCGGAGGAATTCAACACCCATGTCAGCTGCCTATGGTTTTCAACGGGGCACTGTACAAGGACCCAATTCATTTGGAGCAGATGCAAAATTCATCGTGGGTGTACCGGAAACCCCATATTACTATCTCAGTGGAGATGAAGAAGAAGGTAGATGAGCTGGAGATGAGCTGGAGACCGGAGAGCCGCTGACGCAGATGCCACTCAGAGCACAACAAGCACTTTTAGCCAACGAAACCACAACATCATTCCAAGCAGGAAAAAGACAGCAGCTCGTACGCTGCTACCTCAACTCAAACAGAGTTTACACTCTGTACCCATAGCCTCCCGACTCCCTTGTTCAAGAGGGTGGACTTGGTCAGCGTTTCCCGCGACAGTAGAGCCACAGCGAGCCAAAAGTTACCTGCGAAAGAAAACGTTCGGCTTCGCCAAAGGGGCTCAATTTTCCCGGAATGAAGCGTGAATCTTACACGACGGGCAGTGGCGCTTATGTAGCGCGTAACTCGGACATTACGTGATCCACGGCACGGATGGAAAGAAACGCGCATGTTGGTTGATTCACTCTGTTCGCGATTTATGGCCTCCAGGCCGACTGGGGAAAGACCAGATGGCTGGGCAAGTTCTTGGAAACCACAGAAAATCCGCTGCGTTCGTACCCCATGTGATGTATCGACGGAGCCAGGAGAGCGGCCATACCTCAGTGTTACGGATGGAAACCATAGGAAGTGATGGAAGGGCATCTACAGCGCTTGCAGCGTTGTAGACGATGTAATGTTTCGCGCGTGCATCCGTGTTCCAAGAAAACCGTGATCTCCGGCGAACCTGAACGCATACCGCCAGGCAAGCACGAAATGCATCACTACAGGAGGCGGCCGTCCGTACGTACGCAGCAGAATCTCTGGAGAAACCATCCGCCAAGAGCCCGCGATCATGGAGATCGACGATGTTTTGCTGTTTTCCGCCAGCGCCGACCTTTCCGCCGTCACGCCGACGCGTGGGCTGCTTTCGGACGCGTTTCAGGACCGACGCGTCGGCTTCGCTCACAGGTCCCGTTGTCGTTGTCGTAGGCTGCTTCCCTGGTGTTCTCCGCTATGGGTGAAATGAGAGTATACAGACAATTAGAAACTATGTTGTTGGGTTCTACGTACTGATCATTGTCGTCTGTTCTTTTTCCTTCAGACGGGAGTCTCTGCAACGCTGTCAGCCTTCTCCCACTCGGGCTCTGGCTCGGCCAGGGTCCTCGTGTCTCTGGCCGTGTCGTTCTTCCGCTCGGCTACTTGACCGATATGATGTATTCCCGAAGTGTTTTGCGTTGGAAATGGGAACGGGGGAGCGCGTTGGTTACAGTAACACGAACAATGAGCGACTCGTCTACAACGAGAGGTACAACGAGAGCGTGTCCGGAACTTCGAAAGGGGAAGGCGGGGATAGCCTTCTGATAAGCGCCAGCGAAGTGCGGGCGGAGATCTCTCAAGACAGGAACCACCATCTCTATGCGTTCAAAGCCCGTGAAACTGCTCGAAGATTTCATCCGGCGCATGCGAGCAGCAACGTCCGAGTTGTTCCGGGAGCCCTGAAGACATGTCTTGGTGTACGAGGTGGCGTTCTCCGCGAGTTGACCCACCACAAATCCTAGGAACGATGCCTATCGAACCGCTTACAATAGGACAACGGTGATGCTACTCCGCCGCAAAGCTGATCGGCGCCAGGCTATCCCGTTACCGCTTCAGCCCTGCCTGGACGACAACGTACACCATTTTCAAGCGTCCCTGGTGGAAGGAGAGTAGGTGATCGGGGCCAGGCTACAAATGCATCAGGGAGAATCAGGGGTAGAAAGGCCATCGAGGAGCGAGTGTCTTCACTACGACGCACCAGAGCAGAGATCCGCCCTTTCCTGTCATCTATGCAGCATTGTCAATGACACGAGGAAGATCGAGTTCATGCAGATTACGCGTACATAGCGGTTCAGTGCTGGCATCAATCATCACCCCACGCCTTTTGCGCTTACACCAGCGGAAAGAGAACGGATGGACTTCCGTTAGACACGGAAGAAGTTGTTCGAGAAACAGCGAGGAGATCGCTCCGGGCAGATTCACCCTTTGAACCGAAGGATCTGTTTGGCTCTCTGCTAGCTGCCTCATGTCGAACCGATTTTGTATACGGAGGGACGTCATGGGGAGATGTCGTCGATGCAGATGCGGAGGAGCCGATTCTGGGAAAGGGGAAGCAAAGGGTTAGCTCGCACCCCCCGCATCCTGAGGAACGGGTCAGCCCCGTCCGATGAAAACGAACACGAAACGAACACCCGTTTTGGAAAGAAGTGATAGATGCCGAGCGTTAGAACTTTGCGGTCCCGCATTGGGACATTTCTTGTGACTCCAATCTCCTTTACATCCGGGAAAGAAACCATTGATGTGCGAGAAGAAAGCTCCTTATCAAAAACGAAACTTGATATTTGTAAAAAGCCAAAAAAAACGGCGTGAAATCTACATGTTTATCTACAGAAATGTTTGGTATGTCACAGAAGGATGGGGTTTCCTTTCTACAAATGCTCTAATCGGAATCTACAAGTGGAGGTGAAGGGGAAGGGGTGATATACAAATGAGAGGGCTTCCTAGTCTGATCCGTATCGATCGAGAGTACAAGCTATCTACAAAGAAGGAAGAGGGGCGAGATCTACGCGGACTTGGACTGCGGCAAGTCCGTCGCGAAGGTGGTCTCGATGCCTAAAGATTTGTTGAAATCGTCCGCAACCTTGCCCAAGGTCTGCAACTGCTGGACGGTCAACGCCGAGATCTTGGCTCCTTTCGCACCAGCCGCCGCCGCCGCTTTCACGACCTCCTGCGCGTTACGGCAGGCCGTGATCGCCGCGTCCCCGGGGTTGCACTGGCCAGCGAGACGGGTGCAGATGGCGGTGGCGATGGAGGTCGGGTCGAGCGCGGAGGCGGTGTTACCAGCGACTTGGTCGTCGTCGCCGAAACCGGCTGGGATGAAGCGGACTTGGTCCGCGTGGTCGGGGAGGTCGTCGACCTGGAGGCCGACGGCGAGGGCGAAGGCGGAGCCGAAACATTGGTCGACGCCGGTGCCGTCGGAGTTGGTGTCGGGACCGGGGTTGGTGTCGATGGGGGCGGCGGTTTCGGTTGCGGCGGGAGCCGTTTCGGTGGCGGTTTCGGTGGCACTCTCGGTAGCAGCGGGAGCGGTGGTCTCGGCGGCGGTCTCGGTAGGAGTCTCAGCGGCGGCGGTGGTCTCGCTGGCGGTCTCGGTGGCGCTTTCAGTGACGGCAGTGGTGGTCTCGCTGGCAATCTCGGTGGCACTTTCAGTGACGGCGGGAGCGGTCTCGGTCGCAGTCTCGGTAGGCGTCCCACCAGCAGCAGATGTCGTCTCAACAGGGCTCGCGGTGATTTCAGCAGGCGGCGCATCTTCCTTTCCAGCCGGCAACGTCTCCGCAAACGTCGTGGTGATCCCAATAGCTTTGTTAAACTTATCAGCAACCTCTCCAAGCGCCCTCAACTTGCCTGCGTCCAACGCAGTAATCTTGGCACCTTTAAGTCCAGCAGCAACAACAGCCTGCTGAGCAGCCCTGCACGCCGTCACAATCTCCTTCGCAGCTTTACACTGATCACCCAGGCGATCACAGATGAAGTTGGCGATGATGGCTGGGTTCAAGGCAGAGGACTGACCACCGAAGATGGGATCCTTTTGGAACCCGCCGGGGATGAAACGAACCTCCTGCGCGCGCTCGCCAGAGGGGTCGGCGCCGAGAGCGACTTTGAGTTCGGCGGCGGCAGGGGAGCAGGTGCCAAGGCTGCTGGCAGGTGGAGTGTTGGAGCCGGAGCCGCCGGTGTTGGAGCCCGCGCCCTGTTGGGCAGAGGTGGGAAGCGTTGTAGCGAAGTTGGTGGTGATTCCCAGGGCCGCGTTGAACGTATCTGCGACTTGTCCGAGAGCCTTAAGCATATCCGCATCCAGAGCCGAGATTTTCGCACCCTTGACACCACTGGCAGCAACGGCTTGCTGCGCGGTCCTGCAAGCACCAACCGTTGCCGCGCCCGCTTTGCACTGATCATTCAACCGGTCACAGATGAAGTTGGCGATAATAGCCGGGTTGAGCGCTGAGCCTTGGGATCCGAAGATAGCGTCTTTCTGGAAGCCGGCGGGGACGAAACGCACTTCTTGGGCCCGTTCGCCGGCGGGGTCGGCGCCGAGCGCGACCGTTAAGGCTGCTGCGGTGCTGGAGCAGGAGCCGAGACCGGATGATGCAGGGGGGGTGTTGGTGTTACCGGAACCGGAACCGCTGGAGGGAGAGACGGCCGAGTTGGGGAGTGTAGCTGCAAAGTCACTCTTCAAGCCAATTGCCGCGTTGAAGGTGTCAGCGAGTTGACCAAGAGCCTTCAATTTCGCGGCATCTAAGTTCGTAATCTTCGCGCCCTTGATTCCCTGACCAGCGCTGGCAGCGACAACCTGCTGAGCAGCACGACACGCAGTAACGGTGCTCGCAGCGGCTTTACATTGGTCGTTCAATCTGTCGCAGATGAAGTTCGCAATAATAGCGGGGTTGAGCGCCGAGCCTTGAGATCCGAAGATGGGGTCTTTCTGGAAACCGCCCGGGATGAAACGGACTTCTTGGGCGCGGTCGCCTGAGGGATCGGCGCCGAGGGCGACGGTGAGGGTTGCGGCGGAGGCGGTGCAGGAGCCGAGAGGGGCGGCTTGGTTGTTTCCGCCTTGGTTGCTGTTTCCGCCTTGGTTGTTGTTTCCACCTTGGTTGTTGTTTCCGCCTTGGTTGTTGTTTCCACCTTGGTTGTTGTTTCCGCCTTGGTTGTTGTTTCCACCTTGGTTGTTGTTTCCGCCCTGGTTGTTGTTTCCACCTTGGTTGTTGTTGTTTTCACCTTGGTTGTTGTTTCCACCCTGGTTGTTGTTTCCACCCTGGTTCGATCCGGTGTTGGCACCCTGAGCCTGAGCCGGAAGCGACGTGGCCAAATCGGTAGTGATACCAATTTTGCTGTTGAATTGGTCGGCCAACGCACCCAGCGCCTTCAACTGCTCAGCGCTGAGGTTGGTGACTTTCCCGCCTTTCGTGCCGGCGCCCGCGGCGGTCGCGACGACCTGTTGGGCGGCTCTGCAGGCGGTGACGGTGGCGGCGCTGGCTTTGCATTGGTCGTTTAGGCGGTCGCAGATCTATCGAAGGGAATGCAGTGTGAGAGTTGGCTCTACAGTTTTCAGACTAATACGGAGAGAGGGGCACTTACGAAGTTGGCCACGATAGCGCCATTGAGAGCAGATCCCTGTCCACCAAAGATAGCATCCTTCTGGAACCCCGCAGGCACAAACCTGACCTCCTGGGCGCGTTCGCCAGAGCTATCAACCCCAACACCCACAATAAGTGCCGCGGCGCTAGCCGAACAGCTACCGAGATCCTTGTCTCCCTGTGGAGGTGTAGCAACTTGCGTCTGAGTCGCAGGTGGTGTCTGGTCCTGAGTCTGAGTCTTTGCGGGCGGTGCCTGCGTCTGGGCAGGCGGTGGGGTCTGGTCCTGAGTCTGAGTCTGCGCAGGGGGCGCGACCCCGGAATCCTTGAAGTCGGTAAATCCGGCCAGCTTGACCTGCTCCGCGATCGACTGCCCTCTACACGACTTGTTCTTGCCTCCCTTCAACGCCGTCGCGAGTGTCGCGTCCGCGATGGTGTTATACGCCGCCGCACCTACAAGGCCGTCGACATCGGATATATGCGGGAGGATACCGCGTAGCTGCTTGGTAGCAGGGAGGTTCCCGTCGTTACAGAAGACGGGCCGGCCGGCGCCGTTGGCTGGGTTGAAGTTCTGTTCGGCGTTGACGAGCTTCATGGCTGCGAAGAGGGGTGCTTGGTCGGCGGGGTTGGAGCGGGGCGCGGCGACGATTTGGTCGGCGAGGCGGAGCTTGGCGCAAGGGTCGGCGGCGCCGAGGAGGGTGCTGGGGACGGTGCCGGAGAGGGTGCCTGAGAGGCCTGGTTGGGCAAAGTTCAGCTGTGGTGAAAAAGCATCGTTAGCATCAGATTGGGACATCACTACGGAATGTGATGTTCAGCGCAATACATACCCCGCTAATCTCACCCTGCACCGCGGGGTTCTGCTGTCCGAACCTTCGCGCGCTGAGCGTCGGCAGAGCAAGGCTCTGACCCGCCAGCGAGGAGAGTAGCAGTGATGCTAGAACCGCCTTCATGATGGAGTGAAGGTGGTATGAACTTGATGAATTGCTTTGGTGATGATGGTGATGACGAGGAAAGTTTGAGGGGACAGCCTAGGGTGGCGCCCTTTTATGCGTATGTTGTGAGAGAGAATGGCTCCGGCGGAGGAGAGTCGAGCGATTACGCCGTCGTGGAAATCAATGGGGTAATGGAGCATGGAAGTGAGTGTTCGTACTAAATGACGGGCTAACCCTTCCCCTCATCGCTAAAGCCGAAACGCGTTTTGCGAGAGACAACGCGCCTCCCTCCCTCTTTCCTCACACACACACACACACCCGCACACTGGGACTTTGCGGATGAAGCCTCCCTCCCACATCCCATACGGCGATGGCGGTATTGTTACCACACTATACGAACTCTTTGGACATCGTACAATGACGCCCAATGACCGAGGGTACAGTATACGATCAATCACTCCCTCCCGGTGGAAATCCGTCGGCCACAGGTCACATCAATGGGCATGTTCTCTCTCAGGCGTGAATGGACAATGCGGATTGGAGCAACCGGCGTCACAGGAGGGTTGAACATATATGCGCCGCACAAATCATTTGCCACCCGTTTCGCATTGTCTTGGCCGTGGATTTGCTGCTCGACCCAGGTGTGCGTTTCCGCCGCACGCTGAAACACGGGGGCAGAAATGTAACTGTCAGAACTGACATCTCCGACCATTTGGACAGCGCGACGAGGCGACATTGATTTGTGGCATGCTGTCAGTGGATAAACGGGCCCGATGGAACGGTGTTTAATCGATTTCATTTGTGCATCGACCACGTGACTCGCTTTGTACAAGTAGCGGCGGCAACGCGCTACGAAGTCTTTTCTGACGGCTTCCAAGAGGGCCATCACCTATTAGGACCCGCTTATCAACATCCCCAACTTGAAGCGATATTCCTTGAGCGTACCCGTTCATCAAAAATCTTTAGTGAAATACCAAACCTGCTTGTTTTTGTTGTTTCCTCAGTCGCGACGGGCTCGCCGTGGAGAAAGTAACGTCTTGGAGACAGCTGGGCGTTGGCGAGGCTGCATGGTGTTATAGCAATCTACCAGATGATGGTAGAGCGCAGAGAAACGGGATCGAGCTGTCCAAGTCCGCGTTCTACGGCTGGACATGGTGTATTTCCCGACGAGCAGATGCGCGCGGTGGCACCCAACGTATGGCGCAACCGCTGTTCAAATCAACCAATTTGAACGAACGACATCTGGAAAAGTCCGACCTCGACCGCTGGTGGAGACTCGAGAGGGATACCTTATCCATGATGTAACAAAAGCGAAGAGAGCGGGATTGAGCTGACCCAAACCCTAAAAAAACGTGGGATTATGGGCGATCGACTGCCATTGTCCATGGATGCGGGCATAAAATATCTTTGCGCAAAGGATTTGCGGCTCGTGTACTGTACATGTACATGTTACAGGCTGCATGCATACCGTCTCGTGATGAAACCTGTCCAAATCTCTTCTAATCCCCAGCAGCGACCACAGCTTGTCGATCTTGGCACTCATATAGAGAGGTCTACGTCATCGTCTGTCCATGCCTGTCCATTGCTTGACGTCTCAAACAAGAAAGAACACTGGTATTTGTACCCGTAGACAGAGTTCCAGTCAGAACTCACCGTCCTCCCCCGCACCGAGTTCCCAGCAACACCAGCCACTGAAATAAAATTTGAGAGCCAAGATTCTGCGCTTGCCTATATCATCAATCACCAATAGCGAAAAAGCTGATGGATCCTTCCTAGGATCTGGAATTGAATAAATAATTGATCCTCGTTTTGTTGGACAGAGCACGTTCATCAGTGTGTGAAAACTCTAAATGGGAGCTAATCATTTTTGATTGAAGGGCTGTGCGAACGGGTGTGCGGTTTGACTTAAGTTCATTACGGAGTTATGTTCCTGATGGGTTGGGGGTGAAAGATTATTGGGTCCGTCTTGTGATGAGGAGGAGGGAGGAGCCTTTATGAGGATCCTAATCATTTTGGGGGGTTGAAGTTGATGCCGCTTTCCGCCGCCGTGACTGTACTGTGCTGCTGCTGCTGAGCCTTTTGCTTTGCTTTGCTTTGGCGGCGCGCCCCCCCGCCCCCCCCCCCCCCCCCCCCCCCCCCTGTCGTGTTTCGCTTACCCTGTTCTGTTCTGTGGGTTTGCTTGCTCATCATTTTCATTCCGAACGGCATTATCACGGCCTTCTCAGTCCGTCATCAAGGGTTACCCGCTGACCGCCCTTTTCCCCTCGTCCCTTTGCTTACTACCGCTCAGACCACCAACAACAACCCACCGTCAACATCCTTCAACAGACAAACAAGAGATCACTCGCTCAGCACAGAGGAAACTTCACTTACGGGCTGGGCTGTTGGAGAGAGGCCGGGTCATCACTTTGTCAGCAGGGCTTTAGAACATTCGCGCCAGCCCCATAGAGAGACGTGCATTTTCCCACGGAAACTTGCACCTTCGTTCTTATACAACATAGACCTGACGCCCCGCCCCGCCTGCCCGCCTGAGTATATATTAGTAGGGGCGTTGTGCAGCTGTCAGTGGCTTCGAATCTGTCACTTCCCAGGTAAACGGAGTGGAGTCTTGCTTTTGTTTGCCTTCCCGCGCGAATGGAGGAATTGCCCCTTTCGCTTTTGGGTTGGCACAGCTAGGACAGTTTGTTGACAGTTCGTCTTCCTCTTTCTGTCATCCGCTTGCAGCTGGTTTGGTGTGGCTTGACGGCTTATAGAGTGTATATACTCCCTCCGGTAAAAGTTCGGTTGAACACACCTTTGTCCCCACCAAGTGGAAGACGGACCTCACCTGTAAGTGCCGCTGCTTGTGGGTTCTTTGCGCCGGAGTAGAGTAGGTTGGTGTCACTTGTCAAGGGGGACGTCATAACTGAAGGTCGTCCGCAACTGCAGGAAACTTGCAAACACAAATTCTCCAGCACATGCACCACCCAATTAGCGCTGCATCAAAAACAGTCTAGACTTCCTCCCTCTGTTCGATGCTCGGAACCCTCGACCGAAAACCACTTCCAGATACCGACGGCGACGCTCTACTGATGGAGACCGGTAGCCAAGCGGCCTCGGAGGCCTCCTCTGTTCCGGAGGGGCGTGCTCCCCACCCGGCATCCTACGCCATCTCTCCGTTCGAAACACCGACATCTCACTACTCGTTTGACAGGCGGCCGGACAATGTCAGGGTGGGGAACAGGCCAGCTGCGTCCGGTCGACCGCCCGTCGAGGATCATTCGCATATCTTTCCGGCCCGGCACAAGTTTGAGATTGAGAATGGGAACCTTGTGCGTAGACAGACGGGAGGTGGTGGGTTGGGGCGGAAGAACACCCTGTCCAAGCCCGAGCGTTCGAGGAGTACGCGACGAGCGCTGATGCGTCGCCCCTCCGCCGCGCCGCCAGCAGCTCGTGCGGGCGCCACCTCCGTCGCACGACCCGAACCGTCACCACTCGGAAAACAGAAGAAGGAGGAGGATCCGAACGAAGATAGCCAAATATGGCCCTGGTCGGCGCGGATCCTGACATGCTGTTGCTTGCCTTTCTGCTTGACGGCGTTGGGAAAGAGAGACAGAGCGGTGCAGCAGGCGTGGCGTGAGAAGGTCGCGTTGTGCATGATCATCCTCGTGCTGTGTCTGGCGGTCGTGTTTTTGACGGTGGGACTCCGGCGGGTGCTGTGCCCGGATACGAACGATGGCCTCCTCTCGCCCATGTTCAGCGCGACGCCGTCGCACGACTACTTACCCGCAGACGTGAAGGACGTCGTGGTCGGCGGTTACTCGTACGACTTTGAAGAAGTAAAGAAAAATCTCGGAGCGAACGGCTTTATTTTGACCGACGACTTCAAGGGCAAAGATATCACCAAGCTCTTTGGCGTCGCGCAAAATGACGCCAATTGCCAGGCCGTCATTCCGGCTACCGGGACCTGTGCAGCCCCTGAAGTGGCGTCTATCACGCGTCCTGCTCCTGGGCAGTGCGCTCGGATTGGGTGGGTCACTGGAATCAGCAATAGGGCCAGGCGGTACATGGAATGGACGGATTTGAATCATACAAAGCAGACCCCTAACGTCTTCACAGTGTTCAATGGAGGTAAGGATCCCGGTTCCAGTCTGTGTGCTCGGTGGTCGGATTGCAGATTCGTTGAACTAAGCACAATTGCAAACTCCGTTTCACACAGTCATAGTAAATATCACGGAGTTTTTGAGCGGGGGCGTCTCACGAACAGGGCCATATGCTTTCCTAGCGGACAGCATCGGCAGGGACGGCACGTACCACTTCATGCGCAAGGATGAAAACCGCAAAGCCATGAACTGCCTTCGCGCGGCCTACCACGTCGGCTACATCGGCGTCGAGCGCAACGGCTGTATCGCCGCCCAAGTCATCGAGACCATCACCCTGGTCGTCATCTCGGGCGTCGTGCTCTCCAAATTCTTCATGGCTGTCTGGTTCCACTGGTTTGGTCTGCCCAAACTCAAGCCCACCAACTCGATGCTGAGCAACGACAACAAGAGCAAACGGCTCTCCCGCGCCAGCGCCCGCTACTCGATCGCCATGAACAACCGCCACTCTGTCATTGGGTCGTATACCCCCTATCAGAGCCAGGACCTGTATACCATCATGCTCGTGACGTGTTACTCTGAAGGGCATGATGGAATACGCGGGACGCTGGACTCGTTGGCGGGCACCGAGTACCCGGACAGCAGGAAATTGCTGTTCGTGATTGCGGATGGGATGATTACGGGGTCTGGGGAGGAAAAGTCGACGCCGGATATTATTTTGGGGATGATGCAGTTTGATCCGGGGATGACGGAGCCGGAGCCGAGGAGTTATATTGCGATTGCGGACGGGGAGAAGCAGCATAATATGGCTAAAGTGGTATGTACAAAGTACTGAACGGTGGCTCAAGGTCGATGGAACAGTGAACTCATCTTATCTCCCTCTAGTATGCTGGATACTACATTGTAGGCAGCCGTCGGGTCCCCATGGTGACTGTCGTGAAGTGCGGCACCCCGGCCGAAGCGAGCGCCGCCAAGCCCGGAAACCGCGGCAAGCGCGATTCCCAAATGGTCATCATGAACTTCCTCAGCCGCACGCTCTTCAATGACCGCATGACCGCGCTCGACTACGAGATCTTCACGGCCATGAACAGCGTCGCCACCACCGCCGACAAATACGAAGTTATCCTCATGGTCGACGCAGACACAAAAGTCGCACCCGACTCGCTCAAACACATGGTCAACGTCATGAAAACGGACGTGAATGTCATGGGACTCTGTGGGGAGACCCGCATCGCCAACAAAACGGCCAGTCTGACATCCGCCATCCAGGTGTTTGAGTACTACATCTCCCACCATCTCGGCAAGGCGTTCGAGTCGGTGTTTGGAGGCGTTACCTGCCTCCCTGGCTGTTTCTGCATGTACCGCATCAAAGCGCCCAAGGGAGAGAACGGGATCACCGTGCCCATCCTCACCAACCCGGACATCGTCGAGGAGTACAGTGAGAATATCGTCGAAACCCTTCACAAGAAGAATCTCTTGCTACTGGGCGAAGACCGGTTCTTGACGACGCTGATGTTGAGGAACTTCCCGCACCGCAAGATGATATTCGTACCCCAGGCGGTGTGCTGGACGATGGTGCCGGACCAGTTCAAGGTGTTGCTGAGTCAGCGGAGACGGTGGATCAATAGTACGGTGCATAATTTGCTGGAATTGGTGCTTGTGAGGGATCTGTGTGGGACATTCTGTTTTAGTATGCAGTTCGTCGTCTTGGTAAGCAACCATGTATCATTTTTCCCTCTCTCAACCACCCCGCAATCATTAACCAACTCCATGTCCCCCACAGCTCGAACTCATCGGCACAGTCGTTCTCCCCGCCGCCATCTGCCTCACCCTCTACCTAATCCTCTCCGCGGCCATCAACCACAATGCGGAATTAGTCCCCTTCCTCATGCTCGCAGCGATCCTGGGCCTCCCCGGCTTTTTGATTGTGATTACTACCAGGAAGATGATCTATGTGTTGTGGATGATGGTGTATTTGGTGTCGCTGCCGATTTGGAATTTTGTGCTGCCGGTTTATGCTTATTGGCATTGTAAGTTTTTTTTGTGGGGTTTTGGGGGGTGGGGTTGGGAGATGGGGATGCTGATTTTTCTCCTTTGCGTAGTTGATGATTTTTCATGGGGTGAGACCAGGAAGGTTGAGGGCGAGACGAGGGAGGAGGCGCATGGAGGGAAGATTGGGCAGTTTGAGTCGAGGGCTGTTGCTATGAAGAAGTAGGTTTTCTGTCTTCGACTTTTCTGGGGAAGGTGCAGTGCTGACTGTCATTCTTGCATTACAGATGGGTCGAGTGGGAAAAAGAAAAACAAAGCGCCGGACAAAGTGCTCCCGAAAAGGAACGTGAAAAGAGCCGCCGCTTCTCCGCCTGGGGCGGTCGCCCGCCATCCGCATACGGTGGCGTCTACGGCGTCAAACCCCAAGGCTCCCAATCCCAACTCCAACTCAACAACGTCCGTGGCCGGTCCACCGACGTCGTCGCAGGTGCTAACAGCGGAAGCAGCACAAGCTCCCTGACCCTCACGAACAACCCCCGCTCCCAAACCGCGCCCATCCCCAACAACAACTCCGGGATGATGACCGATAGCAACAACATGCAATTCTCCCCCCCACCACGCAACCGCTCCTCAATCATCTACCCCCCGGGGAATCCCACCCACGCCCATTTCTCCGAACACCCGCCCATGCCCAATTTCCCGTCCTCCGGCCGCAATCCCAATCTCCTCCCCCCACCGCCGCTGATGATGGGCGGCCTCAACTCACCCAACGCTGGGGCGATTCATACAAGTCCGGTATCATACCACCACCACTCGCCCACGTCCCCTGTGGGTGGACAGTACCCGCCTGGACCTGCACCTGCCGCGGGACCGTACGCGGCGGTACCGGACCAGGACGGGGGTTATGCGTCGGCGTTGTATGGGCAGCCGGCCCAACAGCAACCCATCCACCCGCCGGTTCCGAGACCAAGACCGAGGTCGACGTATGAGTTGATTGCGAGGGGACAGGAGAATGTATGGAGTCCGACGAATAACTCGACGACGGGCTTTGATGGTGCGAGCTCGTCGGGAGCAAGCCAAGGGAGGGGCGGGAAGAGGAAGTGAACTGAACTGAGCTGAAGGCTGTGAAAAGCGGTTCTGTTTCGGTTTTCCTCTCTGCGACGACGGTTGTTTTGGTCCTCCCCGGCCGTTCTTTCTTTCGATGCGGCGACTGGACCCGGACCCCCCATTCTTTTCAACTTTTCTCTCTCTCCGGGTTTTGGTCTTCGAATCCCCCCCCCTTTGTGCCGTAGGTTTCGCCCCACCTACTCTCATGGCCAAATAACCACAGCACCAACACCGATACGGCGTATGCGGCTTCCCTCCATCGTCACCCCATCTTTACCAAAACGACCTCGTCCCTTCCTTCACACCTTATAGATATAACTACCCCATTCTTTGTTCCGCTCTGTGATATACATCCCTCCCTCTCTTTGTTGTTCTAATTACCGTTCTCCTGGTTGACCTTTTTTTTCCTTACACTTGTACGTTTTTTCTTGAATGTTGTGTGAAGAATGGATGTATACTACGTACTGTTCTCCTCTTCGATGGGCGTGGTGGTATGCGGGTGCTGTGTGAAGTTTTTGGGAAAGATGGTTGCGAAAATTTCCGTTGGCCAGATTTTTTTCGCCAAGTTGGGGGATGTGTGTTTGCCTTTTGGGATTTCCTTTATGTATTTTGAGATGAGACCAGACCAAAATGAAAGATAGGCTACGCTATGTGATGACGTGACGATACGCAAAACACTGCCCTAATAAGTTTCCAGGAGCCCATCTGGCAAACGCTACAGTAGCATGAGAAAGAAAGACGACCCTCCGAACGAATCCGAATCGCATCGAATTGATCACCGCCAAACATACGCCCCCTGCGTAAACCCCCACGCCTCCCACCTCAACACCCTCTCTCCCTTTGAGTCCCCACCGGCGCCCGCACACACAACCGCAGGCATGAAATGCTCGGCGCCACCGACGGGATGCGCGTCCCGGGCGCCGTCCCACTGTTCCCACGCGCTGAACGCGCGCCCGCGTTCCGCAGCGTCCGCGATGCCGACCGAGGCTTCTAACGCGGTGTCGAACGGGGCGTTGGGTGGTTGTGAGTTCGCTGGGGGTGCGCGGAAACGGAACGCGCGCATGTTGTGGAACGACATGCCAGACCCGACGACGGCGTAGCCTTCTTTTCGCAACGTGCCCAAGGCCTGGCCGAGCCTATAGTGTTCGTCCGCGGACTGGGAAGCGAGGACGCCGACGACGACGATGGGGATGTCGCGGAGTTGGCGGGATTCGGGGGTGTCGCCGTCGCCGAGGAGGAGTTTGAGCGGGACAAAGACGCCGTGGTCCCAGCCGCGTTGCGCGTCTGTTTGGGTTTGGATACCTGCGGTGGAGAGGGCGGCGATCACTCGTGCTGCTGCGTGCTTGTCGCCCCGCGCGTCGAACTTGACGTTGTATGTCTCTGGTGGGAAGCCGCCGTAATCGTACAGGAGGTGATGGGGCCCGTGGGCGGTTGAGATGTGGACGACGGGGGATTCCCAGTGGGCGGTGATGACGATGAGGGCTTTGGGGGCGGTTGGGGTGAGGAGGAGGGTGCGGGCCTGGGTTGTGAGGAAGGTGTTGAGAGGGATGTGGGCGGGGTCGTTGAGGAGAGGCATGGGGCCGCCGCCGTGAGGGAGGAAGAGGGAGGGCGCTAGGGGGACTGACGTGGTAGAGGTCGGTGGGGAGGTCATTGCCGTCGAGAAGGATCCGAGTCCTGGAGAGGAGGAGGTCGAGGATGGAGTGAGACGGCCGAGAATGGGAGAGCGGAGGAGGGGAAGGAGAATGGCCAGGTGCTTCAGGTGGCGGAAGATGGGTATGGTTGCGATTGTACTTGTCGCGAGAGGGAGATGACTGAGGTGCGAGGTGTGAGATGGAACGGAGGTGTTGCAATCCCGTCAGCTTCGGTCGTCCGTCTCTCAGATTCAGCGGTTGATAGGGGGGAGGGCTCTCCAGTTGCTCGCCACGTCCTTTTATAAGTGCCGGGAGCTAGTATGTACTGTTGTATGTGGTGGAGTGCGTGCAAGACGGGTTTGTCATTGCTGGAGTCCGCGTGTTGGGCGATGCATTTCTCATTGGCGACTCTGCGAGACTACGCGACGGAGTTCCGGAGGCAGGCGTTGCGACTCCGCCGCCCGGGGAACTCCAAATGGGCGAGAGACCGACCACTGGGTTCTGGTATCGTTCCTGTCAATGCCGAGGGACACAGAACGCACTTCCCTCCTCTTCAAACAACCAACCTTACACATCGGCTGGTTGGGGATCTTCATTTATCATTTGGACCACCATATCTGCGAGACGCAATCAAACACCGAAATGTCCCGTTGCTCGAATGTTTGACAGCCCCGAAACTCAGGCGGTAGCTACCAGATCTCGCCTACCTGGCGACGCCAGCAACATCCTTAAAGTGGTAAACGGAAAGCGGAGCGCCAACATAGCACATACTGTGCCCGTTTTGGGGTCAGGGATTTGATGAAGTCGGATTGGGGAAGCGGAAGCTTGTGCCGCACTTTCCGACGTTTGTTATCGATGGAGGCCAAAACGAAGCGGGAGAACAAGAAGAGCATACCGAGGATGCGAACGAGAAACAGCATGTCACTTCATGGATGGGCACAAACGCAATTGCACGATGCGGCAGATGAATTCGCGTTGGGAGCGGGGCAACGTAGTCAGGTCCCATACAGCTTGGTCGTACTGGAACGGACAGGCTGTATGGTACCTGACTGCATTCTGCTTCAAGCCGCCGCGACTTGGCTGATCAGCAAATGTGGAAACGTTTGGAGTGGTGCTTTCTTACAACTTCATCATAACCCCACGGTGAGGGGGGGATGAGAACCCGCGAGCGAAGCTAGCTACCTCAAAGACATTGACTGACAATGCGGTGGACGAGCGAGGCTCACGGGCGAAGACGGGTATTCCGACTCGGGGCATACTGCGACTGCCAAGTTGGTCATCAGACGAAGTGTCCTCGGGACTCAGCTCTCGGTCGAGCAGATCGTGGCTACTGCGACTGAGAGGATGAAGTTCACCACGTCCTCCCTCCGCCGGATCTTATCAGCTACCGTAGGTGGACCTCGGCCGTACGACCGCTCCCGAGAATTTCTTCTCACTTTGGAAGTGGTTATCGCCTTCGGAAAGTGATATCTCTGCACGGTTGGAGGCTTTCATACACAGCGTAGCCGCACAGCTGCAGGCAAAAGGTTCCGAAAAGGACATTGTGAAGGAGAGGGAGCGGGAGAGGGAGAGGGAGGAGTGGATGACCACCGCAGCGGAGGTGAACACGGGGCGCAGACAGCTGGGGCGCAAACACACCCTGGACAACACGGCGTCAAATCCATACCACAATCTGTGGGCGGTTGGCGGAGCGGAAGGAGGGCGTGGGTGCTGCTGCGGCGGAGGAGCTTTTGAAGTGGGCAGGGCAAAACACATGGATCAAGTGTAAGACACGAAGAGCCGATGGCAGGCTACGGCAATGTCTGCAAGGCCACGTTCGTCGGCTGCTTCCAGAACCTCTACCACTCATTCGAGGCGGACATCGTGTCCGACCTCATCAATGCACTTGATGACAAAAACTGAGCGCGAACAAAATGCGAGATATCGTGAAACATCAACCCCACCAACCTTCCGCCCACTTGCCCTAATCACCACGACACATTGGGTGTATTGCATTCTGTCTCACGACAGATTATATGCACTCGAACTCAGGAAACCACCCACGTGTCCCCACCGCACACCCACCGGACAAATGCCCAAGCGCAAGAACACACACAAAGCGCACAAGGACGGTGTGGAGCCACCACGTCCGCTGCCTGGAGGACGGGCATTGTCGGTGGCGTTGAGACATCCCGTGCAGCTTGCAATAAGTGTGGGCGTGCAAAAGCCTATCTCGACGCCATCGCAACCATCCCTGGCAAACCCGTGGTCCCTCCCAACACTATCCCCGCACCCATCCCAGCCCCCACACCCCTCACTCTCCACCTCCCGGCCCGCCCGATGACCATCCCAACCCCCGTCACCGCAGCCCAACCCACTGTCTCCGCCGCCGCTGCCCCCGTCTCCGTGCCCCACCCCCTCGCAATCTCCAGCCTCCTCAACCCCGCCCCTATCCCCAACCCCCTCCCAATCTCCGCCCTCCCCAACCCTGCCCCCATCCCCACCCGCTCCACCCGCGCCGCCGCCATCGCGGGTGTAGCAGCAGCAGCAGCAGCAGCAGCAAGCTCACTCCCACACCCGGCGACGAGGAGGAGGAGGGTTCTGATGCCGCCGAAATCGCCCAGGAGGAGCTGGCGGCACTGGAGGAGGAGGATGCACACTGGCGGGCGTTCGGCAAGGTGGTCAAGGGGACGTGCAGTTTGAGCGCATGTCAGGCAATGAGCGCTCACACCGCACCACTCTTTGACGCTCATCGAGCGCGCCTCGCCGCCGTGAAATAGAAAGCGGAGACGGTGCAGGCCTTTACACCAGCAGACGATGACGCCAAGGATGATGATGATGAGTATACGTCGATGGAATCCCTCCCAGACTCGGAGCCCGTGTTACGGACCTACGGATCTACATCCGGTGGCGACGAGACAGCGGGCTCCGAGTTGTGCGAGGAGGAGGAATATGCATTTTCGTGAGGGTGAGTTCATCAATGTCTCCGAGACAAACTGTCTCCGCCATCTCCACTGCTCCTGACACACGCTCTCTCGTAGGAGGGAAGTTTCAGCAGCACACAGAACACGGGCATTTGATTACCAGACAATGAACTGCTTTCGTAAACGCCGACCACGGGCGGTCATGATACTCGTCCAGATACTCCTCCAACGTTCCCAGTGGCATATTGCTTGTTGATGAGTGGCGATCGTGCCAAGATTTCGGTGGTGATCGTGCCAGATGACAATTGTTGCCGGCAACAATACACAGTCGCGTCTCGGACAAGCTAGACAACTCGCTCAACTCGCTCAACCGTTTCTTCCTCCTTCCGCAACCCGTCACTGCGAGACATCAAGGTTGCATCCCCCAACCCTACACACATGCAAGACCTCCGCCAGCTACAGCAGCCTCCTCTAGGGCCTTCACTTTGGCTCCCCGCTCTCCGTTTCGTGTCTGAGTTACTCTGGACTTGCGATTACTACTGACAATATGCATGGGGAAGGTCACTGTCCGGATCCGCCAAGTCAAGAAGTGGAAAGATACCGGGTTGAAGAAGGCGAGGGAACTGGAGAGGTTGGCGAAGCTCCTGACGGTACGTTGCGTGGTGTCGCGGGAGATTATCCATCTTGTGCTGATTGTTGTGATTCAGATGAAGAACCAGTATGAACAAGGTCATGCACGCCGACAGGCCCAGCATGCCTCGAGCGTCAGTATGGGTATGAAGGCCCACAGCCATCTGGCTGCCGCGCAGCAGACCATCTTCGAGGTGGCGTTCGTCCGGAAGAAGCAAAAGCGTGCGGATAATGAGGAGGACGGTGAGGAGTTGCCTCCGGCGAAGAAACGGAAGGCGGACGACGACGAAGATCGCGACGCGGATGACGACGAAGAAGAACGCGACGCCAGCGAAGAAGGCACCGACGAGGACGGTGAAGGCACTGCTGCCGTGCCCGCTAATGCGCAGTGGACCACACCAACATCCTCAAGCAAAGGATTTGGATTCGTCGATTCGGAGAGTGAAAGTTCGAATTCAACCATGTCATCAGCCCCCGAACCCGATGAGCCAGAGGAGGTGTCGGAGACAAAGCTTCGCGCCTCCCTGCAAGCGCTGAAAGGAAAGATGTGGGAAGTCGGCGGCGTAAATTTGGCCATCAAGATGCGGCGTATGCAGCGCGCAATGTTGGCGCGCCTGGAGAAGACGGGTCCAATCATAGAGACGGCAGCGACGCTTATCAGCGAAAACTGCCTGGTGATCACTGCGGAGAAGCCTAAAAGCTATTTCGCGTTCTCAGACGATGAGTGGGTCGCGGTACGGGGAGCGTTCGCGCAATACCGTCTGAAGCTAGATCATGCTTATGAGGCCTACGCCCATGGCGAGGTTCAAAGGATGCTCACCGCAAGAGATCAGCGGCTACCATATCGCGCGTTGATCCGAGGGGAAGGCACGCAGGAGGACCACGACGTCGCGTTGCTCCTTGATCAGCTGAACAAAAGGCTTCGAACGACGAAACCTGATAGGGGGGTGCACGAAGCCACATGGTGCTGCAGATACATGTTGCCCTACTTTGATGTGCTGAGCCCGGAGATGGTTTGGAAGTACGACAACGGTAGCCACTACGGTCCCAAACGCCCGGACTTTTCAATCGCCGACGATAAGGGCATCGGGCTCGCCAACTTTGAGGTCAAGTCCCCATGGGCCACAGACGCTGCGAAGTACCAGGATATCGCTCGCACCATCCACCGCGGGATCGATGAGATGAAGCTGGACCTGCAGACGTGGCGACCGAAGCGTAGCCCAGCCAGGCTCTGCGTGGCGGTGGCAGCGGAGCAAGGGACGGTGTTCCAACTGATGCTGCACAAAGGCATCTTCGTGGCGGTTGAGATAGGCGTGTGGTGGTTCCCCACAGCGCTGCAAATGCATCAGGAGTGGCAGGTGGCGTCGTCTGTCGCTATGGCTTGCGCGATCATGAAGCGAGCTGGATGGGTGCGCAGGCAGGCGGCCCAGTACGTGAGGCTCGGGGTAAATGCGCCGCGGCTGAGCATCCTGCCGCCAGTGACACCTGTTTCTGTAGCAAAGTCGTCCGCTGCCAAGGGTGCGGCGCAAGCTGCCAAGCGTGCAGGTAAGCCGGGCGGTCCGCGTGCGGCTGTCCCCAATCCGCGGCCCCAGAAGACGAGCGCGGACCTTCCGGTGCAGAGCGTCCAGGTCAGTGCGCGGGCAGTCATGAAGCCTGCCAGTGGTACTTCTTCGAAGAAGCGTCAGGAGTAGGGGCCGTTTCTTCGTCTCGCTTTGTTTGTCGCGGTATACTAGTAGCCGTATGGTGGTGCTTCGTTTCGTCAGATCTCGCCGTGCCTTTTCTTGCAAATGCTTTTTCGGGGAGTTACTAACCGCGGTACCCTTGGCATTTTTTGACTCGTCGTTGGCTGAGAGTCCTATTGAGTCCTATTGTGATGTGGGTTGGTTCGGTGTTGTTATGACCATAAGCTTACCTCATGACAGCACACTGACAGCCGCCAATGTCAAACGCCAATGTCAATGTCAATGTCAATGTCAATGCCTTCTCCTCTCATTTCGCCAATCCCCCGCTCTCCTCTCATCCGCCAATCCCCCATTCGCCGCTCCTCCTCTACCCCGCTCATCTGTGAGCCAATCTCTGGCCATTTGTCAACCCCCCCAGTACTTCTCCACAGCAGCTGTAGCTTGCTCTCTACACGCCTGCTACGCTCGCTCTAGGCTAGGAAGCATGGCTGGCGCTCACCCAGTCCCCTCTTGTTGTTGTCTTTGATCTGCTGGGTTGTTTATTTATAAATAGCCGCCCCCTCTTCGTCCATTCCCGTCCTCCCCAGCAGATCAACACCAGTTTTTCTCATCTCCTGTTCTAGTCCTTGTTTCTTGTTTCGTCAATACAACCTCTTGTCACCTATCGCTCTCGCTCTGTCTTCTCTTCTTCGCTTCCGCATCCGTCGTCGAGATCATAACACACGGTTTGCGAGTTGCTGAGTGGATGACGCGGTGATCTTGAGATCGCTTTGTTATCCTGAACAGCGGTGCTTGGGCTCATAACCTAATAAGGCTATTATGTGCGCTGAGGTTGAATGAGGGAAACGATGTTATTACCAGTAATGTGCTAAAGTTCTATGAGCTATGCTACGAGGGGAAGCTTTTCTACACAAGTTGCCATCATTGGCGACGCCTCAGGCAGAGGTACAATGATGTGGATGGCAGATAACCACCATGGAAAATGGAATGGGGTGAAAATTCTAGACTACCTACGGTTACGGGAGAATGCGTCTGGTCTGTGGCCATTGCCAAACACCACCGAAGGCACAATCGAGAGGAAATTCTTGGTGCTTAGGACGTCCCGATTGTGCACTCTCATCCGTAGTCGTAGTGGTCGTCTTCCAGAAATCTCAAATGGCGTCCAGTCTTGGTTGATACATTCGGGGTTGGGGCAACCCACCAATCCATGGACAAATTCCATTCTTCCCTTTCGAGCTTGCCACGGCTGAGGTGACAGCCGGCGTCGGATGTTTTTCTTCACACGCCCGTGGCAGTCTGGGCACAGGGAGGACGTTCGATACTCATCTAGCAAGTAGCATGGAATGCTGTTTCTTGCAAAGAGTGTGCGGAATCTGATTTCCCCCCATGAGTGAGCGTATTATAATACATAAAAAACAATGATGGTCACTCACCCTTTGGTCTTTGATGACTCCTGAAAGCGCATGGTTTTTCCAGCGTCGCTCCAATCACCCAAGATGACCGAAAAATGCTTTCCATACAGGCGTCGCATGTTCTTGATGAGCTTGCTCTCAGACTTTTGCCGCAGTGAGAACGCCTTGAATCTGCGAGCGACGTGAATCTCATCCTGTTAAAACTCATCCAGGGCGGGATCTGGGATATGGATGTCGGCCCATGTATTACCAAAGTTGAAAATCAAAGTTGAAGTGGAACATCATACCCGCATGTTCGTAATCCACGATGAACGCTGAGAACGCCTCGATGTTCATGCTCTTGTGTGATGGAATATGTGATCCCATCTCTGCGATGCCGGCATTGATCTTTCGCTCCGTCATGTCTCGTTGAAAGTACCGAGACTTTGTCTCGACCGCCCGTTGATTGGATGTGTATCTGGTATGGGGTGGTGCATTGTGAGAACGCTGCAGTGGAATGTCGCCGCAACGGGGATGGTGGGGATGGTGATGGGGGGGATGGTGACGGGGGGGATGGTGGGGATGGGGGCGGGGACAGGGTTGAGGAGGGCGTTGATGGGGATAGCGGCGACAGCGGCGACAGCGGGGACAGCGGGGACAGCGGCGACAGCGGGGACAGGGGCAACAGCGGGGACAGCAGGGCAGTAGTAATCAACTGAAACGTACCGAAATGGCCGCTCCTTCTTGTTGTCTCGACAGAACAGGAGGTCACGCTTGCCTGGATCAATGCAGACGATGTTTGGAGCCTCCCTTAGTTCCGCAATGTGGTGCTCAAAATACAGCTGCTTGACTTCTTCCCGCATTTGGGCCTTGCTGCGCTTCCGGGCCTGATGCCCATACTTGAGCCCTGGCTTCTTGAAGTGGATGGTAGCGGAATACCCGTTTGTGCTGATTGACCCATCAATTTTGAGACCAAGCTTCTTTCGATCCTTGAAGACCTTGTCCTGCAATCCGTCATTCAGCGAGGTAATTGAAATAGGCGCAAAAGGATACAGACTTAACTTACATTCACATTGAGAAACTGCCCCCACAGCTCCCGCTTGCGTTCATCGGTGAAGTTCCCCATGCGACCTTGGCTCAAACCCAGGATATGAATGGCTAGGATCAGCGTGTCAATCCGAACAGATGACTGGATTCGAGATTTGCGCAGCGGGATAGCAGAGAACAGCCGCATTCCACAGCGCTCATAGAGGCGTGAGAGCTCACAATAGGCACCTGTGATGAGGCGAGGCAGGTGCAGACCATGATTATACAAAAGAGGAAGCGGGGGGGGGCCGGAAATATACTAACTCACCCAAATATGGCATTGCGTCCACCGCAAGGCTGTACGCAAGCGGCTCATCCTGGGGAGGAAACAGAGCCCATAACTTGTCGAGGACGGTCCGCTCAAGTCGTGTGAGGCGCGCAAGCTCCTCCTCGGTTGGGTACTCTTCAAACGTCGCAAATTTTGTAAATTGACGGACCCGCTGATAATACTGTCTCCGCTGCGCTCGGTTGGCTCTGGCTCTACGGAGATGCAGTACAACTTGCTTCAAACCAATCCTTTTGTTAACGTAGCGCAGAAATATTTGCATAAAATGCTCTTGTACGTTAACTTTGAGGTTGGTGAAGATGCTCTGAGCCGTGTACGCTGCAGTCTGTTGGCAATATCGCATGCGTATGGGGGCAAATCTGTGAACATCGCAGTACTCTTGAACCCGTGGACGCAACTCTTGCCCGATGACTGGATTGCCATTGTAGCCTGGATTGTTTAGCAGCTCAAATATCACGCTGATGTGCTTGTCCGTGATGTCCGGCAAATCGTGTAGAGGATGATCGGCTGTGGTGGGCAGACCTAGCAGTCAGGACATTGTTATGGGAAATATTATGGGAAATATACAGTGCACCTAAAAAAACTCACCAAGGTAGTACTTGAGAAAGAAGGTGGTGTGGCGCGCAAGGACGTGAACATGGGCTATAAATGCTGTCAGGCGCTCACTTTGAACTTGATTTTGATTATGGATGATTCGGTGAAGGGAAACCTTGGTGCTGGCATGTGTTTGCGGGCGGTGTTATGATCTCGACAAACTGAGGCGGAAGCGAAGTAGAGAAGACAAGGCGAGAGCGATGGGCGACAGGAGATTGTATTGGCAAAACAAGAGACGAGGACTAGAACAAGAGATGAGAAGAACTGGTGTTGATCTGCTGGGGAGGAAGGGAACGGACAAAGAGAGGCCGGCTATTTATAGGTAGGCAACCCAGCAGATCAGAGAACAACAACAACAAGAGGGGACTGGGGGGGCGCCAGCTATGCTCCTAGAGCGTGCGTGGCGAGCGTAGAGAGCATTGCTACAGCTGCTGGCTATGGGGAAGTAGTGGGGGGTGTGGAGAAGCCGAGGGGGGATTGGCGAAATGAGAGGAGAGAGGAGGAGTGGCGATATTGCAAGAGGATTGGCGAAATGAGAGGAGAGAGGGGGAGTGGCATTGACATTGACATTGACACTGACATTGACATTGACATTGACACTGACATTGACACTGACATTGACATTGACATTGGCGTTTGACATTTGGCGGTTGACATTGGCGGCTGTCAGTAGGTAAGCTTATGGTATGGGCGCGTCGTCCATAACATCACCCCTCTCTTTAGCGGCGGCGGCGGCGGCGTCGAGTTTGGTGTGGCCGCAGAGGAGGTGCTACGGGGACAGAGGAAGACTTGTTGGGGTACGCGCTGTGGAAGTCCTGGAGGAGTGCGTCGGTATGGGTGAGGTGTTCCACGGGCTCCCAGGTGTTCTCGGAGTCAGGCCAGCCCTGCCATTTGACCAAGTACTGAAGGCGACAACAATGGATGCGAGAGTCAAGGATGGCTTCAACAACCCACTCTTCTTGACCCTCAATGGTCTCTGAGGGCGCGGGTTCGGGTTCGTGTTGTTCGGGGATGGTGAAGCGGGGTTCGAGGAGCGAGACATGGAAGATATCGTGGATTTTGTACGTAGGCGGGAGCTTGAGCCGGTAGGCGACGGGATTGATTTTTTCGACGATGGGGAATGGCCCAATCTTGCGATGGTCGAGTTTCTGAGAGGGCCGGGTTGTATGGAGGTTTTTGCGGAGGAGCCAGACGTGGTCGCCAGGCTTGAAGTCCGGTCCAGGAATTTGTTTGGCGTTGGCGTAGCGCTTCATTTGATCTTGGGCTTCCTTGAGCTCGAGGGCGAGCTGTTCATGGACTTCCCTGATTTGTTTAGCGCGGGCTTCAGCGGCGGGGTTGACGGATTCGGAGGTAGCAGAGGCCGCGAAACTGAAGCGGGGGTGGAGACCCTTGTTGGCGTAGAAGGGGGTGGTCTGGGAGGCGGACTGGTGGGTGTTGTTGTAGGCGAACCCGGCGGACGACAGAAGCTGTTTCCAGTTGTCCTGTTGGTGGTTGCAAAAGCATCGGAGATACTGCTCCAGGATCTGGTTGGTGCGTTCCGTCTGGCCATCGCTCTGGGGGTGGAAGGCCGAGGAGCGGTTGGCTTTTGCCCCAAGGAGTTCGAGAAGTCGACGCCAGAACCGGGACTTAAACTGGGGTCCTCGGTCAGAGATGACGTTGTCGGGGAGGCCGTGGAGACGGATGATGTTGTGGAAGACTAGGTCGGCGGTGGATTCGGCGGATTCTGACTCGCTGCAGGCGATGAAGTGGGCCATCTTGGTGAGGCGACAGTTGACGTTCAGGATGGAGTTGTACCCGTCCCCGGGAGGCAGACCGGTGATAAAGTCCAGGGACCAAGATCCCCAAGGGCGGGTAGGGATACTGTTGGGCTGGAGTAGGCCGTATGGTTTGTGTTGACTGGATTTCGCTTGGCTACAGGTATCGCAGGACTTGACGTAGGCCTTGACGAAGCGCCACTGGCTGGGCCACCAGTAGTTGCGGGAGGCGAGTTCGAGCGTCTTGGACATCCCAAAGTGGCCGGCTAGGGGAGTATCGTGCATGTCGTGGCAGACTTCAGCTCGGAGCTCGTTGGTGGGGACATAGACCAGGTTATCGTGCAGCAGGATCCCATCTTCATCTGAGAACCGCTTGATACGATCTTGGGTTTCCTCAGTTCGTTGGGCGAGGGGTATCTTGAGCTTTTCGCGAATGGTCTTAGCGAGGGGATCAGAGGCCTGGGCGGCCTTAAGCTTGTCAAGCAGCGTGGTATCCATGGGTGTGAGGTAGGCAGCCGTGAGTTGAAGGCGTTCGGGAGTCAAAATTGTGGTTGCCTGGGAGCGGAACGCTTCTTCCCCCTCTTTTAGCTCATGTTCGGAGCGTCGGGAGAGGGCATCGGCTTGGTGCTGCTGGGGACTGGGGCGATAGGTAATGACAAAGTCAAAATCCGAGAAGAATATCGACCAGCGGGCTTGGCGGCGGTTCAGGGTGCGGGTGGTCATGAAGTACTGAAGGTTTTTGTGGTCGGAGTAAACGGTGATCTTGTGACGGGCGCCAATGAGATGGTGGCGCCACTGGGCAAAGGAGTCTTGGATGGCCAGAAGTTCCTTGTCATAGATCTCGTAGTTGATCTCTTCGGCCGTGAATTTGCGAGAGTGGAAGGCCACGGGGTAGGCTGCATCCATGAAACAGGACCTCGCACCGATGTCCAGGAGGGCGGCAAGCTGGAGTGGGGCTCGGCGAGAGGAGATCAGGAGGGTGACTCCAAGGTTTTGGTAGCTAGAGGTAGGGTGTTGCTGGTGACTTGGGGTGAACTGGGCGTGGGTGCGCCCTCTGCCGTTGCAATTGTTGCGGGGTGAGAAGGCCTACGGGAGGATTTGTTCAGCGCGCCGGCCTTTAGTGTCTACGGGGCCGGCGGGAACGGAAGCGATCTTCCAAGGTGAGAGGGTTGCGAGAGGCGAGCATCCTTTGTGTGGACCCCGCGAGAGGCAAGCATTCCTTTCTGGGAACCCTGCGGAAACCGAGATGAGA